CTGGGGCTGAACCTGCAGCCCCAGAGCCCTGATCATGAGTCCCAAAGAGCTGGAAGGCCTCTTGGGCATTCTCTGGTTAAACATCACCACTTTCCAGCCGAGGGCGACCACTGTCCACAAGGAGAGATGATGGATTGAAGTGCCCTGGCCAGTGGCCTTGGACAGACTGGCTTCTCCCACTGTGAGACACACCACTTTCTCACTGGCCCTGAGGATACCCCTCCCCTGGGGCCACCGCCCCACCAGGGCTGCCCTTTCTTGGTCTGCATTGTTCATCCCCTTCTTCTTCCCTGCCTTCTCATGTCAGTGTCCCCGGGTCCAGTCCTTGGTCCTCTTCCCGTCTGCTCTCACTCTCTCTGGTCAGATCCAGTTCACAGCTTTCAAGACTAGCTCTCTGCTGAGAGTTCCCAGAGTTCCCAGGTCCATCCAAGGCTTCAAATTTCCTGAATCCCAGACTCCAGATTCTTCTGTCTATCTACCTGATTCTTATCATCTCCACTCTCGAGTCTGGGAGGCATCTCAAACCTAACCTGGCCAGTGCTCCCACACCTGCTCTACTATGCTTCCCTACCTCAGCTGAAGACCGCCCCGTCTTCCATTGTTCGGACCAGAATCCCTGGGATCCTCCTTGCCTGCTCTCTCACACCCCCCCCCCCATCTACCAGGGAACCCTGTGGGCTCCAGCTCTAACATATTGGTACATCTGGCACCTCACCACCTCCCCCCCCTTCACTGCTGCCCCCTGAGCCAAACTACCCCTTAGCTTTCACCCGGATTATCTCAGCCTCCTTGCCCTGTTTCTTTCCGTTCTTAACTTCTGCAGCCTCTACTCCACACAGTAGCCAGAAGTAATTGCGGTCAGCTGTTGACTGTGGGCCCATCATGTCCCTCTGCTCAAAACTCCCTGATGGCTTCATCTTAATCAGTAAAAGTCAAAGGCCCTATGATGGCCCACAAAACCCTCCATGATCTCTACCTCCTTTTACTCCCCAGTTTGCTTTTTAAAAACGGATGTTCAGCTGTCCTTGATTCAGCCATCCTGAAGAGTCCTGCCACGGGGCCTTTGCACAGACTTGCTTGGAAGATTTCTTTCTCCAAGAATGAGAAGAGGCCCCTCTCTCACCTCCTTTGTATTTTCCCTCAAATGAGCGCTTTTAAAGCCTTTTCTGGCCACCCTAGTTAAAATTGCAAATCACCTCCTCTCAGCACTTGCCTCCCTCGCTGGTGCTCATTTTGTTTTTGCAAGCATGGATTTCCAACATACTCGGTAACTGACATCTTCATTGACTCTTGTTTATCTTCTTCATTAGAATGTCAGCTCCAGGAGAGCAGGGGTCTCTTGTCCCCTGTTCACTGAGGATATTCAGTGCCCATTCCAGAGCCCCGCGCATACCAAGACTACCTCAGGCTGCCAAAGCAAAGAACTTTGCGTGGAGCCTTGTCTTGCAAGCCCTCACAAGACAAGGGGTCCTACGGTGGGGAAATCCTAGCTTGGGAGTCTGCCTGCAGTCACCCCCTGCCAGGCAGACTCACCTTGGACAAGTCCCTTAGTCATTCTAGACCTCCTGCCTGATGAAAGGAGTCGTTCCGCATCAAGGGCCAAGTAAATGTTGGCGCAGGCCACCACCTCCCAATACCAGTAAAAAGAACCCCCCCCCAAAAAAAAACAAAATAAACGACCCCTGGCATTTAAATGTGATTTGCACTTTTCCATGCAGGTTTTCATTTCACCCTCACATTCACCCCAAAGGTAGGGAGAACCTCTTCTTGAAAGGTGAAAACACTGAGCTCTGTTCAACTAGTGAAAAAAGCAAACAAACAAAAACCCACCGCAGGGAGGCCCGGTCCTTCCCCGCGGCTGGGACGGCCGGAGCGCCCGGGCCCCCAGGGTCCCGGCCCGGGGCGGGGTGCCCGCGCCCCTGGGGTGGGGTGCCGCGCGGCGGGGCGCCGGGGGACTACATTTCCCAGGAGGAGTTGCCCGCGGCGCTGCGGCTCCGGGGCTGTTAAAGGGCTCGCGTTAAAGGGGCCGGGGGAGTCCGCCCGCCCGGCCAGAAAGCGGCTCCGCGGTCCGTGGGGGCCCGAGAGTGCCCCGCCGGGGTGTCGGGGCGCGGTCGGGCGGGGTCTAGGAGCCCCCAAACCCTGCAGTGTGAGCGAGGCGAGGCGAGGCGAGGCGAGGCCAGGCTAGAGCAGCCTCTTCTCATTTTGCCCCCTCGGCCTCCGACTCCGCGCCGACTCCTGGGGAGCCCCTCCGGGGCCCTGCCCTTCGCCCCACGTCCCCCCAACGAGGGGAGGGCCGGTGCATCTCGTCGCCGGGCGGGAGAAGCGGCTGTCCGCCGGCGGGGAGCCCCCAGGGGCCCTCGGCAACGCCCCCCCCCAACCCTTTCAGGGTTCAGTTCCCGGAGGGAATTTACAGGTCGCGGGGAGGGGCGGGGGTACGAAATGCAAAGGCTGCAAAATGAAGTGAGAGCCTGGGGTGCCCCCATATCCAACCTTCCCGGGTCCTGCGACCTCCACGGGAAAATGGAGGTGATGGGGGGCGTATCGCGTGGCCAGCCTCCCCAGGCTGGAGACTCAGGGGTCTGGAACCGGGTGGGGAGCACTTTGCAAACTAATGCACTGTGCAAATAAAATTATTTCATCACCGCGCCATTGGATGCCTCCAGTCTTTATTCTAAGGCACGCGTGGACCTGGGGGGTGGGGCGGCGGGGGGCGGAGATGACGTCTCGGGGAGCCAGGGGTGGACGTGGGGGGGCTATTTGGATACCTGTTTCCCCACGAGATCTCAGTGGGAAGCAGAACTGCTTTTGACAATAACCAAAACAAACCCACTAGAATGTTGTTTTCAAATCAGGAAACTTCGGGGTAATGGGCATCACCCAAATAAGAGCCCTGACCTTCTGAACTGCCCTGGCCCTTCCTCGCGTCCCTTCTCGCCTGGGCGCCCCAGAAAAGCCCGGGGCGAAGGCATCCCGCAGTCTCGGCCCCCCGCCTCCCCCTCCCAATCATTTGGATTAATCCATCCCTTGGTGTGGGGGGAACCCATTAATTTGCCCTGACCCCGAGCCTCCCAAGTCCGGCGGGAGCCCTCCCCCCCACACCCACCGGCTACAACCCCCACCGCCCATTTTAACTGCCCAACTGTACCCCCTCCCCCCACCCCACCAGCCGGTGTCTGCAAACAGCTCCGGACTAAACCGGAGCCGCCTTCCACGTTTGGATCGGTTATAAACAACCCCCCACCCCCAGGGTATTGTCTAAATGAAGAGTGACTGCCTCTGTGCTTAGGGAATAAAAGCGGGTTTGTTTTAGGGGGCTCAGGGAGGGAGCACCCCAGACTCTCAACCCAGGGCCGCTGCGCCCCGGCGCCTGCACGTGAGTAGTAGGTAAATGACAGACTAGGGGTCCCGGGAACTCTGGGATCCCTTCTGCTGGCCTCTGGGCTCCTAGAGCCCCTCGGAGCCCCAGGAGTCCTTGCAGACGGCGGCGCCCCGGGTCCGTCTCACCTGTACCTGCCCACGGCGCGGGGAAGGACGTGTGCATTTCAACAAAGACACTGCATTCTCCCAGCAAAATGGCGGTGGTCCCGGCCCCGGCTCCCTCCACAGCTGCACACGCCACAGGACTAGACAGGACCCAAGGAACGCAACTGCCCCCCTCGACCTCTCCCCCAGAGCCCCGTTTTCCCGAGATCCCAAAGCGCTCAGGGCCTCTCCTCGTCCCAGGGGCCCCAGAACAGCCTGGTTGGAGCCTTCGGGACAGCTCCTCCAGGGTGCATCGCTCCCCACCCACCCCCGCCCCAGCCTCGGTCTTCGAGGGGCCTCAGGAAGGGGAGGAGACCCCCCCAGTCTGGGGCCTCGGGGGGGGGAGCCACAGGCTCCCCCTCTGACACCCCAAAACTCCTAGTTTGAGGGAGGCATATAAATGAATTCCCGGTGACGCTATGTGGGAGATGTGGGGGTCTCTGAGGAGAGGCGGTGACCCAGCAGGTACCCCCTCCTCATCCCTCAGGGGACCCAGGAGGCCTGGGGGGGCTCGGCTTCAAGAGAGCACCTCAATGCAGAGGTCAGGGGGCGCGCTGGGGGGGGACAGACGGAGGAGGGGGAAGGGACAAAGTTTGAAAGCGCCCTCCCAACTCTTCCAGGGAAAGTTTGCTTGGGGGTCCTAAGGGCGGAGGGGGGTGGAGGCGCGGGGGTCCCAGCGGCGGGATGACCCCCGAGAGGCGACCGGACCCCGGGGGAGCGACCCCTCCCCCCTGTCCCGGCTCGGCCCGGCTGGGAGTCGCCCGGCTCGGGGCTGCGTGTGTTAGTTGGGGCCGCTTTCCGGCCGCGCCCCCGGCCTGGGGGGCCCCGCAGCGAGCCGCGAGCGGGGTCCCGGGTAGCCCCAAGAGGGAGCTTTGCTGCGGGGGCTTCCCCGCCCCGGGGCTCCCCGACCCCGCCGAGCCAGCCCCCCGCAAAGGGGAAATGTGCCGGCGCGCCGGCGGTCCTCGGCGCCGTTTGGGGCGCGTGGCGGGCGCGGGGGGCCGCGGCGGGGCCGGCGGGGCGCGCAGCGGGGGCGCCCCGGGAGCCGGGCAGCGGGCCCGGGCGGCGGCGGGGGGCGGGAGGGCCCGGGCCGGGGGGAAAGGTCGGATTTGCTCGGCGCAAGAAACACAGATGGCGGCGGCGCGGCGCCATTCCGGGCCGGGAGCAGGCAGCCAGCAGCCCTGTCCTCACCGCGGTCCGCCCGCCGCCGCTAAATACCCGGATGCGCCGCCCGAGCGCCAGACGCGGAGCCGGGCTCGGGAGGCCGCGGAGGCGGAGCGCGCGGAGCAGCGGCAGGCGCGGCGCGGACCCCGGACCCCCCGACCGACGCTCCCGCGGCGCGGGCCGCGCACCCCGGCCCGGCGAGCCCCCCCGCGGCCAGGCCCCGGGGAGCCGGCGCCCCGACCGCGCCGGGAAGCGGGGGCGCCAGGGCCGCCCCCCAGCCAGGCGCCCCTCCGGCCCGCGCGGGGCCCGGCCCGCGGGCAGCGCCGTCCCCAGCGGCAGGGCCAGGCCGGCCGCCATGACCGAGAACGCCGCGTCCGCGCCCGCGGCCAAGCCCAAGCGGGCCAAGGCCGCCAAGAAGTCCACGGACCACCCCAAGTACTCGGACATGATCGTGGCCGCCATCCAGGCGGAGAAGAACCGCGCGGGCTCCTCGCGCCAGTCCATCCAGAAGTACATCAAGGGCCACTACAAGGTGGGCGAGAACGCCGACTCGCAGATCAAGCTGGCCATCAAGCGCCTGGTCACCACCGGGGTCCTCAAGCAGACCAAGGGGGTGGGCGCCTCGGGGTCCTTCCGCCTGGCCAGGAGCGACGAGCCCCGGCGGGCGGTCGCCTTCAAGAAGACCAAGAAGGAGGCCAAGAAGGTGGCCGCGCCCAAGAAGGCCGCCAAGCCCAAGAAGGCCGCCGCGAAGGCCCCGAGCAAGAAGCCCCGAGCCGCCCCCGGCAAGAAGGCCAGGAAGAAGCCGGCCGCCGCGCCCAGGAAGGCCAAGAAGCCCAAGACTGTCAAAGCCAAGCCGGTCAAGGCGGCCAAGCCCAAGAAGGCCAAGCCGGTGAAGCCCAAGGCCAAGCCCAGCGCCAAGAGGGCCGCCAAGAAGAAGTGACGGCGAGGCCGGGCCGCGGACGCCCCGCCGGCCGCGTGGCCTCTGTAAATACCCCCCTCTGCCCCCCGTCTGCGCCCCCCTGCCCCCCTCCTGCCCGCGCCCCTGCGAGCCTGACTTTGTGAGGCGCCGAGTTTGCAGTCCTGGGAGATGGGGCCCCGCAAGCCTCGCCTCCCCGAGGATGGGGCGCGCTTGGGTTCACTTGTTCGTCTGCCTCGGGGGCTGGGGCGCGGGTCGGTTCGTGTGTTTTGTTTAGTGTGGGGGCCGCGGGGAGCTGGCGGGGGAGCCCGGGCCCTGGGAGGCCTGTGGGGGGACCCGAAGGCGAGGACTTTCTGCAGGTCGGGTGCCCTTTCCAGGAGTTCCAGGACCCTGGGGAGGAGCGGGGCCGCGGCCGGGACAGCCTGGGAGGCGCGGGGTTGGGGGGTGGGGGGCGTTCCCGGGCCGACGCCTCTTCCCAGCGGGGCATCCCCGGCCGGTGTCCCCCTCACTTCTGCAGGGCGCCCCGGCCTCGCCATTGTCCTCGGGCGGGGGCGGGTCGCGGGGCAGCTGCTGGGGCGCCGGGGCTGCGCCCTCCGCGCGGGGGGCCCGTGGGTGCGGGCAGGGCTCCGGCTGAAGGGGGCGGGAACTTCGGGGGCGGCGGGGTCCGGCAGCCAAGTGCCTCGGTGCCCTGTTGAGACGCGGGTTCCCGCTGATGCGAGTGTGTCCCGGGCGGACTTTCCCTGTCCCCGTCCCCCGACCTCGGCTCCTCCCGCGCGGGGCGGCCTTGCCCGGGGACCGGCCCTGCCTCCCGCGGGTGGAGACCCGCCCCCCCGACTCCCGGGGTTATTTTTATGAGTAGCGGGGGGCGGGGCCCGACCCCGCAGGCGGCCGCGGCGAGTCGCGCCCTCGGCCGGGAGCGGAGGAAAGCCCTGTACAGTCTTTCATTTTCAATAAAATAGGAAAACGCGCGGCCGCGCGTTCTCCCCCCGCCCCTTCGTTTGTTGTGTTTTTAAGTGTTTGTGCCGGGAAGAACTCGACGTCTTTGTAATTTTGAAACTTTAAAATAAAATAGAAAAAGGGAGAAATCGGCGTGTGGCGTGTTTCTCTCCCAGACCGGAGAAGACGAGCTCGGGGGCCGGCGGCGGGCACGACGGGGCGTTCGCCCCTGAGGATGGGGCCCCGGGCCCGGGACGCTGCGGCGCCCAGGGTGCAGGTCGTGCCCCGCCGGCCCAGGCGACCGGCTTTGGGGCCCGGGGGTGCCCGCGCCCCTTCCCGGAGGCGAGTGCGCGGCAGGGAGGGCTGGCGGGGGGGGGGAGTCGCCGGGCGGGCCCCGCGCGCCCTCCCCGCCCTCCGCCCCCCGCCCCCGACGGCGGCGCCGGCGTCTCGGCTTCCAGGCCCGTCCGCTTCGGTCCTCGGCGGATCCCGCCGGCCCCGCCCCCGGCTGGCCCCGCCCCCACGAGCCCCGCCCCCGGAGCGGAGCCCCGCGCGCTCCGATTGGCCGCCGGGGCCCGGCCCCCGGCCACGTGACGCGCTCGCGGTGCGCACGGCCCGGCGGCGGCAGCCTGGCGGGGTGCAGCGGCCGCGATGTGGGCTGGCCGCGTCCTCCGCGCCGCGCTCCCCGGAGCCCCCCGCGGCCGCCGCGCCCAGTCGGCGCTGGCCCAGCTGCGTGGCATCCTGGAGGGGGAGCTGGAGGGGATCCGCGGGGCCGGCACCTGGAAGAGCGAGCGGATCATCACGTCCCGGCAGGGGCCGCGCATCCACGTGGACGGCGTGTCGGGAGGTAACTGCCCCTCTGGGCCACTCGACGGACGCGGCTTCGTATCCTAGGGCCGTTCCGAAGCTTGTGCAGAAATGGAGGACGCGGAGGGGGTGCTGCCGGGCGCGGGGGCGGCGCCTGGGACTTTGCGGCTACCGGGTGTTAGCTCCAACCTGGCTAAACCCGTTTCCAGGGGGGGAGGTGGCTTGCCCTTGGGCACCTTTTTGGCTTAGAAGGCAGGGCCGAACAGAGACTCAGCCCTGTGAGGACGTGAGAGAAAAAGAGAGGCAACCAGCTGGCTCCCACCAGGCAGGGTGGCTCCCACCGGGCAGGGTGGCGGAAAGGCGAGATCAAGAAACCCGGGTTTCTGGGACAGCTGCTTTGTGCAGGCTCCTGGTTACTGCACATGGACGTCTGCAGGCGCAGCCTAGGAGTGACTCACTCGACTTTACAACCTAGAAACTGAAGGGCAGGTTTGTGCAGTAACTTGCCCCAAAGCCCCCGGAGCTAAGGCAGAGCTGGGCCTTAGGTCCTCTGGGATATTGGAGCTAGAACATCAGCCAACTGTACCAGAGAGGCAACTGCATGGCCAAAATCACAGTATGCAAGGGGGGGGGGGGCTGTTGCAGAAGCCATGGCATGAATGGGGCCCGCCTAGCCTGTCCTGCCCACCAGGCCCTGGGGTGCAGTGCTTACAAACAGACCCCCAAGCCTGCCTGTGTTCAGGAAGTAGAGCTTGAACTCTTAGTAAGACGTGATCTCAGGAAACCCCTGCCTTCCTCCAGGGGTGCTTAGAGCAGGTCAGAAGATGGGGAATTAGGAGACTCAGGTTCACTTCCCCCCAGAACTCCTTAGTGTCCTCCTCGGGTTAGCTGTTCACTTGGGGCTTTATGGTTCAAGGGACCCAGGTCTCAGAGGCACCCCCTCTGGGCATGTGAGTCTGTACCAGGCAGCAAAGTGAACTGGAGTTTCAGGGCCTTGTGGGCAATTGAGCAAACTTCTTCTTTTACTCGAGAGGAAAACCACCGGCCTGATGAGGGTTGGTAGTGTCAGGCTTCCACCTTGGCGGACAGTGACTCAGAGCCAGTGTTTAAATGGCTCATCCTTCAAGGCGCTGATCTGAGAATTCTCCTAACCCTCCATCTTCTGTAGCTGTCCCATTCAGTGCTTCCTGGGGCTCCAGCTCCCCATCCTGGCATTGGCCCCAGAATGGATCACACTGTGTGGTTGTTGCCTCCTCAGGGGGGATCCAGGTTCATTTTCTCTGAGGCCCCAGGACCTGGCGCTGACACCAGGGACACTTCTTTGCCCTGAGCTGCTGTGTCTGTCCCCTGTCCTCCTCCTCAGGAATCCTTAACTTCTGTGCCAACAACTACCTGGGCCTGAGCAGCCACCCCGAGGTGATCCAGGCAGGTTTGCACACCTTGGAGAAGTTTGGAGCTGGCCTTAGCTCTGTCCGCTTCATCTGTGGGACCCAGGTACAGAGTGCATGTCGGGAAGGCATTGTCCCCTGTGGCAGGTGCTGATGCCAGCTCTCTGCTCCACACAGAGGGCTCATCTCATCCCACTCTTTGCCCCAGCGCTGTCCACTGGAAAGGCGGGTCCAGGCTTCTGCTTTGCTGAGAAGCCTTAAGCAAGCTGCATCCATTTCCCCACCCATAAGACTGAGTTCCTCCCGCCTGTGCCGGCCCCAAAGATGAGCAGGCAGGGGCTGCCACTGAGGACTCTGGAGCTGCCTTGCCCGAGCCTGGTTCCCAGTGCTTCCACTTACCCTCACTCTGCGCAGGTGTCTTAACCCATCTGTGCCTCAATCCCCTTATTGGTACTGTGGGGATAACACCACCTAATAGAATCATTACAAATTAAAGAGAGACAGTGAAAATGCTTAGGACAGTACCTGATGCATAGTAGCGCCTGACACATAGTAGTGCTACATAAAACTTGGTTATTTTGTAAATGTTACAAAATAAACTTAAACATGAAACCTGTTTACCATGTGCCAGGTACTGTTTTAAGAACATTACAAATACTAATTCTATCCTCGTAACAATAGTCCTTAGTGATAGAGATGAAGACACTGAGGCCCAAGAAGTTAAGTGACTCGCCCGAGGGCACGCAGCCTGTGGCGGTGGGATTTGAACCCTGGTGGCCTGGCTCGAGTTTGTGCTCCGTGACTTCTTGTGATCATCTGTCCTTTCTGAAAGATGAGGGTGGAATGAATGTCACAGATGGAAACTCCTGACTTCCAGCCAGGGGCACTTTTCACCAGAAACCCCACTCAGACTGAATAGCTTTCAAGTCTAAGAATCCCAGGCCCAGATGAACCCAGGGTTACTTGTGTCATCCTCTTTTCCATAAAATGACCCAGAAAGATTCTGGTTCATGTCAGGAAGTCACATCTTCCTTTCCCATCAGCACCCTTAATTCTACCATCAGACCCCATTACAAAATAAGGACCCAGCCAGGAAGAGATACTGGTGGGCCCCTAATTCCTCAATGGGAACCACCTGCCAGATGCCTGCTGGCTCTGGGGGGGACCCTTGTGCAGAAAGAAGGGAGAGGCTGAGGCTGCAGGCCTTCCGAGCTGGTCTGTTGGTGACCCTCTGTCCCACATGTCCCAGTGGTCATTAATATCTGTTTTCTTTGCTTTCTTCAGAGCATCCACAAGGATCTAGAAAAAAAGATAGCCCGCTTCCACCAGCGGGAGGATGCCATCCTCTACCCCAGCTGTTTTGATGCCAATGCTGGCCTCTTCGAGGTGTGTGGAGGCCGTGGGTGGAAGTTGGTGAGGCCTGCGAGGCTGTGAAAGTCTGGGAGTGGGCAGTCAGGAGAAGTTGGCAGGGCCGGTGCCATGCTTAGAGGCTGCAGTGCCCGTTTCTCATGGAAATCAGGTAGGTGCTCCAGGAGGAGGTCCGCCTCCAGGGCGTTTGGGAGATAACCTATGTCAGCTGGATGGCAGGAATCAGGGCCTCACCAAAAACGTTCTCACCTGCCCGCACTGGAGTAGGGCCTGTGGCTGGGACTCTGCCCGTGCTGGGACTCTGAAGGCCAGCCAGGCTGGCCATGAAATTTTGACTCGGGAGGCCACACGGGAGAGGGATCTAAGGCAACTGGGCGATGGCTCTAGTCCAACTGCCTTGGTCCAGGCCCTGCTGACCCCCGAGGACGCAGTCCTGTCGGATGAGCTGAACCACGCCTCCATCATCGATGGCATCCGCCTGTGCAAGGCCCACAAATACCGCTACCGCCACCTGGATATGGCCCATTTGGAGGCCCAGCTGCAGGAGGCCCAGGTGGGACAAGGCCCAGGTTCGGGGACCAGGGCTGGAGAGGCCTGTCCTCACTTACGAGCAGCCTGAAGGTTGGAGACAACCAAGCTTTGCAGTAAATACCTCACCCCAAAGCCTTATCGCACTGCACCACCTGCCTTGAGTTTTAGCAAGCAGCTGGGGGTGGAGGGCGCTGCTTAGGCATCGGGGCCTGGGGGGTCTGGGTCTTCCCTGCAGAAGCATCGGCTGCGGCTAGTGGCCACTGATGGGGCCTTTTCCATGGACGGTGACATCGCGCCGCTGCGGGAGATCTGCCACCTCGCCTCTCGATACGGTGCCCTGGTCTTTGTGGACGAATGCCACGCCACCGGCTTCCTGGGGGCCACGGGACGGTGGGAGCATCTGGCCCCTGAGGCCCTGGGTCGGGTTTCTGAGGGTGGGTGGGGAACAGGGAGGCCAGCCCCCAGTTGAACCTATGATCCCTGGGCACCTGGGCTGCACGTGGTGACGCGGCAGCTTCCCTTGCAGGGGCACGGATGAGCTGCTGGGCGTGATGGACCAGGTCACCATCATCAACTCCACGCTGGGGAAGGCACTGGGCGGAGCATCAGGTGCCTGGAGAGCTGTAGGGTCCCCTTACCCACATGCAGGGCCCTGAAGGGGTCTCAGGGAAGAGGGGGCGGGAGACCGGACTGCAGAGAAGAGGGCAGCCTGGATTATATTCCAGGAGGGGTTGGGGAGGCTCTGGCCCCTGGCCTCTGACTGCCATTTCCATGCCCACCTCTGCCCTTGTTCTTAGGGGGCTACACGACGGGGCCTGGGCCCCTGGTGTCCCTGCTGCGACAGCGTGCCCGGCCCTACCTCTTCTCCAACAGCCTGCCACCTGCTGTCGTTGGCTGTGCCTCCAAGGCCCTGGACCTGCTCATGGAGAGCAATGCCATCGTCCAGTCTATGGCGGCCAAGACCCAGCGGTGCGCTCCTCGGCAGGGATGGGGCAGGGAGAGTGGGGGCATGCCCAGGCCCAGAGCTCCTTTGCCTGCAGGCTCTGCTCTGTGCACTACATCCCAGCAGGGCACACAGGGCTGGTCTCCGCTCTCTCGGCCGAGAGCGGCCTGCTTACCCACCTCCCCTTCTCTCTGATTCTGCCTTCTGGTCCCCCGTGCAGCCCTCTGCAGGTGACCCCACGTCTCGCTCTCCTGTGCAGTCCAGTCTTCTGCCGCCCTTTTTGTCTGCCTGTCCCTCTGCGTGGCTCCGCCTGGCTCTCGGGTCTGCGTCTCTGTCTTTGTTGGTTCTTCCCGCAGACCTGGGTGCAGATCTTGGGTCACAAGCCCACTGGGAGCAGATTTGACTTCGGGCTGTGCCCACAGGTTCCGCAGTAAGATGGAGGCTGCCGGCTTCACCATCTCAGGAAACAGTCACCCCATCTGCCCTGTGATGCTGGGTGATGCCCGGCTGGCCTCGCGCATGGCAGACGACATGCTAAAGAAAGGTAAGGGGCTAGGGCAAGGAAGCCGGCTATGGTCTGGGGGACCCTTAGATTGTGGATACTCCCACTGCTCCCCTCTTCGATCAGCCATGGGAGTGAGCTTGAAAGCGCCCTATTCTAAGAGACCCCTGTGCTCTAGTGAACCCAGATTGCCCCTTTCTGCCCTCCCAGGCATCTTTGTCATCGGGTTCAGCTACCCTGTGGTCCCCAAGGGCAAGGCCCGGATCCGGGTGCAGATCTCAGCAGTGCACAGCGAGGAAGACATCGACCGCTGCGTGGAGGCCTTCGTGGAGGTGGGGCGGCTGCACGGGGCACTGCCCTGAGGCCAGGTGCTGCCAAGCAACAAAGGGGGCCGCCTTCAATCAGCCAGGCCAGGGGCTCTGAGCCCTCAGTCCTGGCTGGGGTGAGGCTATGCTGGGGCCTGAGTGTGACGCAACAGTGTGGAAATTGACCTTGACACCTCGTGTGCATTATTCTCTCCGAGCAGGCCCCGTCCTGCGGTGGGTTGCAGAATCAGGTGGCAGCCAGAGCCCTGTGGCTTCTGAGGGTGTAGGTGTCAGGGCTGACCCCTCACCTCCCCCGTGTCACGGTGAAACTCGGGCAACTAGGGTGAGATAGGCAGACTCACCACTTGGCTCAGTTGGCTGCTCTGAGCTGCCAGAGGGTAGGTGAGCACAGCCTTGCAGGTCCTCGCCACGCCACCTACCCCTTGCTCTGCAGCTGCCTGTGGCCTAGCCCCCTGCTCCCCATCCACAGGGTGTCCAGCCGCTTCCCAGATAAGGGGGCAGGAGCCCAAGTCCAGGTCTGGGAGGAGAGGCAGAAGAGTTAAACCCCAAAGCAGAGCAGAGAGGCTGCTGACAGTTGGGGATCCTGTGTTCTAGACACACGGGCCCTGACTTGAGCAGGCCCCACCTCCTAAGTGCGCCTCGGGTTCCCTGCGGGAGCAGGCGTCTGTCCTTGTGGCCACGAGTTTCTTAACTAGGCCTGAAGTGTGTCATTAGGCGATTGTGTCGTGCAGATGTCATAAAGGGTAGCACACGGGGTGGTATGGCCTTCTGCACACCTCGCGTAGAGGGGGTAGTCTATTGGGGTCACCCTCTTCTATGCGGTCTGTCGTCACCCAAGCCTTGTGCAGGGGACGCAAGACTATCTGGGGTCCTCCGTCTGCTCACCCCAAGGCTTGCAGGCCTGATGGTCAGCCGCCAGGGGGCGCAGCGAGCTCAGGCGCCAGGCACTACGCTGCAGGCCGGCCCACCCCCTCCGAACTCCAGGCCTTGGACTCAGCGCACTGGCCAGGCCAGGGCAGGCAGCAAGCAACCATTTGTTGCTGCCAACGCCCATCCACCCTTCACCCCGCCCACCCAGGCTCAGCGCTCTTCCACTGGAGATGCCGACCCCCTGGCACAATCTCTGCCCCTGGTTCTCTCTTCCTTCCCCTCCCCCTCTGCCTTGAGGGTACCTAGTGGAGGTGGGGGTGGGTTCTGAGTCTGGCAGCTCCTGATGGCTGAGGTCTGCGGAATGAAAAGGCTCTTCATTCACTAGCAGGAACTAGGACCAGGTCCCTGGCTTCCCGCCTCTCCAGCCCTCCGTTCAACTTGAACTTCTGGGAATGGATAGTCTGGCCCAATCAGGCAGGGCATTAGTGCTAGAACTCTGGGAATCCCAGCCCATTTGGGCTGGGTGGGGTTCTTGAGCTCTGGAGGTTGGGGGGTGCAAGCCGGAGCCACATCAACAGCAGGAACACATTTGCATGCTGCTCTCATGGGGCCCAGCAACAGCACCACACCCCCACTCCGGCTGGTCACAGCACCGGCCACCTCTTGGTGTGGCTGACCATTAGGGCAGGAACACTGGCCCAGGTCCACCCAGACCTAGGTGAGTTGGTTAGAGGTGAGGTCCATCGTCCCTCCCGCCATTCCCGGGAACCGGCGCTGGCAGCCACAGTGCCACCACGTCCCGGCTAGCATGCCGCGGTAGTTTGCCAAGTGGTTGGTGGCGGGCGCTGGACTTAGAACACTGAGCTGGGCCAGCTTCGCTCTGCCTGCGGTTCCGAGGGGTTGTAGGAGGCACCCACTGGTGCAGCAGCAGCAGCAGCAATAGCAGTACCCGCGCATAGGTGCCAGCTTCAGTGTTTATCCGCAGTCACCCAATGCCTGCAGAGGCTGTAGGGTTGCAGGATGGAGGAACCACGATGGATCAGCCACACTCCGTGGACCATAGGCCCAGCTGCACTTCCACGGTCTGCCCTGCCCAGGGTTCCCAGGATGGCTCCCAGGGCGAGCCGGCCACGTCCTTTGCCTTGGCATCGGATTCAAGTCCAGTTGTCAGGAGCAGCAGTTGGAGCAAGAGGAGGAGGGCGCATCAGGAGCACCCGGGCCTGGGATAATGGTGGCCACACACCCCACCCGCCGGCCCTCTGTGGACTCCTTGGTCCTCCCCTCCCCTCTGCCGTCACGTCAGCTGCTTAGTCTTGCTGCCGCTCAGTAGCTCTTTGCCCCACATAGCAGCAGCCCTGCCAAGGTGTGGGCTTGTGGGTGGAGGTTCCCAAGGGGAGGAACTGAGGATCCAGGGGCCTTCAGGGTTCAGACGGCCCATGTTCATTGTCCAGGCTTCCGGTGGTTTGACCATGAACTGCTTTCACACAAGGTGGTTGTGGACCTCGGCGCTCAGTGATTCCGAATCCACCACACCAAGCGTCCCCCCAGGCTTTCCTCTCCTTGCCGTTCCCCCGCATTCCCAGCTGCCGGCTGCTAGAAAGACCCGATCAGTCCTCTCGCCTCTTCTTCCCCTTCATTATTCTTCCCATGACACTTGTCCCGTTTACCAACAACCTCTGTATTGCTAAGCCCAGTGCCCCCCGCCCCGGTGCCAGCCTAACCCTCTGGACACGTCCATGTGCCAATCCTCCCAGAGACCCAGGCACACCCCAGGATGGGTCACAGCCAGTCACTGAGCTACTTGTGCTCTTGCACGGACAAGAGCGTCACTCTTTAGCTCGCTACCCGCTGTGCAGCCGTTTTCACCCCATGATAAACATCTTACAAAGTAAATGGGCAGGACTACGGTGGAGGATTATGGGTGCCTTAGTGGTGAGTGTGGTGTGGAATGTACATCTGAAGAGGCGTGAACCTGTACCCCTAAGTCATAGTGTTGCAAACCAACATGCCCTCAAAACAGCACAATTTTTAAAAAATTACGGGCGAGTCACATTCCTGCTCTAGAACCCTCACCACCTCCGTGGCCCTCGGGCTCATCCAGACTCTGGATGGGCACATAACCCTCTGGTCTTCAGCCAGACTGAACCCCTGCAACAAACCTAGGGAAGCAGATAGGGGTCTCGGGATTCTCAGGAGCTGGGTGAGGAGTCCTCTCTAAAGTCTGCAGGAAAGGGACGCATTCTGGTTTCCTAGCCGAGGACACCCCCACTCATGACTCGAATCCTTTCTGAGCTTGGATTGGACCCCTACTTTGAGCAGGGAGGGGACAGGATGAGGGGTGGAGTCTTCACGCAGCCCTTTCAGAGCCAGGAGTGCCAGGAAGGGGCTGGGCATGCAGGGGTTAACTACAGAGCCAATCTCAGAGCGCGAGATCAATGGGTTACTCACTGCAGAAAGGCAGAAGCCACGCAGACCAGGCGGGAGCCAGGCAGAAGACCATGCCACCCCAGGGAAATCAGGGGCTGAGGAGGAGGTGGCCAGTGGCTACTCCAGAGGGAGGGCCCAAGTCCGGCTCAGCAGAGGGGGGCCGAAGAGAGGAGGGGCCTTGACGGAGAAGAGGGAGAAGTGAGAGGCAGACCTGTACCTGCAGGGAGCCACCAAGGGGCCGCCACTGAGGCAGGAGGCAGCGTCAGCCGCTGGGCTGCCCAGGATCGAGCAGGGACCCAGTGCCCAGGGTTGAGGTGGGTGTTGCCCATCCTGGGCATCAGGGGCATGCTGCATGCTGGGGGTGGGGGCAGAGAGCACCTTTCTTCCTCCCTGTCCGGTCCCCCTTCGTCCTTAATTTGTCCCGTCGCAGAGGGATCCACAGGTAGTAGCTGACGTGGGCTGTGGGCGGGCAGGGGTGGAGGGCACAGTTTGTCCACAGCACACACAGGTTGTCTGAGGTCCCACCTGTTACAGACCAGCAGACGAGCGTTCCACCCTGGGCACTGGGGGTCCCGGGACGGCAGGAGCCCCAGATCTGCCACTCGGTGTGACACGAGGCTCCTATGAGGCTCCTATGAGGCTCCCATCTCTGAGCCTCAGTTTCCTCCCGCGCAAGAGGGGGCACTGTCTCATGTGGCCTCCCCAGCTGTGCTTCTCCGGGCCCTCCCTAGACTGGACTCCAATGACGCAGGGGTGTCACCCAAGTTTGGCTGACGGCGACCCATGTCCAGGAGTCTTCCCTGAGCTCCAGATCCCCACTGAGAAGGGAAACAGAGGCTGGAGCCCCTTTCCCTGGCCCCGCCGGGCCCTCGCCCCCCTCTCCTGCGACGCTGGTTGGAGGTGGCCGTCACCACCTAATCAGCCCTGCCCACCCTGGGGTACGGCCGTGTTCCCTAGGGAACTGAGACACCCGCCTGAGCGGCCAATGTGGCTGTGCCAGGAGCTTGCACAGTGGGTCTCAGTGACGCCCCCTGGCTCCGTTCCTCCCCGCATCCCTGTCCCCATAAGCTGCCAGCCCAGAAGACCTGGCCAGGCCCAGGCTGGAGGAACAAGGTTCCTGGTCCAGGGAGGGCTGGGGGCTCCTGTCTGAAGGCTCCAGCTTCTCTTCCCCAGGTGCCCGTCTAATGGGGAGATGGCTGACGCCCAGAACAATTCGCTGGACAGCCCGGGCAGTGTGGGGACTGTGGCGGTGCCTGTGGTCTTCGCCCTCATCTTCCTGCTGGGCACAGTGGGCAACGGGCTGGTGCTGGCCGTGCTGCTGCAGCCTGGTGTGAGTGCCTGGCAGGAGCCGGGCAGCACCACAGACCTGTTCATCCTCAACCTGGCGGTGGCCGACCTCTGCTTCATCCTGTGCTGCGTGCCCTTCCAGGCCGCCATCTACACGCTGGACGCCTGGCTCTTCGGGGCCCTGGTTTGCAAGGCCGTGCACCTGCTCATCTACCTCACCATGTACGCCAGCAGCTTCACGCTGGCGGCGGTCTCAGTGGACAGGTGCTCGGGGGTGGGGCTCCGGGGTCTGGCTGGGGCTGGGCTGGGGAGGAAAGACCCAGACAGACTTTCACTGGCCTTAGGAAGGAGAGAATGGGGGTGGGGGTGGGGAGCGGGACCAGGACACAAAGTGGGAGACCCAGGGAAGATGATAGCCCGCGGGCCCCATCCCCCAGCCCAGCCCGCCCTGCCCTAACTCCAGGCCGGCTTCCCGGGCTCCGAGTCTCAGCGTCAGCACAGGTGAGACCAGCAGGTGAGGGTGGAATGAATGGCCAAGGGGATGAGTTCATCAGGCTGCATCAGACACTTATTGCCGACACGTGGCCCAGCTCGTGTTCACACCCGCTCTCAGGCCTTGAAACCTGGGGTCAAAGCCAGGCTCCCGGTTGCTGATGGCCTTGGCCCAGCGCCCGTGCTCCGGTCCGGGCCCTGCCTTCCGCCCTTCATCCTCACGCTTCGGGGCTTCGGGGCGGGAGTGGAATCGAGGCCCCGGGCTCCGCAGGTCACGGCCGGGGGTGGCCCCGGGCCCGCCGCGCTGACCCGCCGCCCGCCGCCCGCAGGTACCTGGCCGTGCGGCACCCGCTGCGCTCGCGGGCCCTGCGCACGCCCCGCCACGCGCGCGCCGCCGTGGGCCTGGTCTGGCTGCTGGCGGCGCTCTTCTCCGCGCCCTACCTCAGCTACTACGGCACCGTGCGCTACGGCGCGCTCGAGCTCTGCGTGCCCGCCTGGGAGGACGCGCGCCGGCGCGCCCTGGACGTGGCCACCTTCGCCGCCGGCTACCTGCTGCCCGTGGCCGTGGTGAGCCTGGCCTACGCGCGCACGCTGCGCTTCCTGTGGGCCGCCGTGGGCCCCGCGGGCGCGGCGGCGGCCGAGGCCCGGCGCAGAGCCACGGGCCGCGCGGGGCGGGCCATGCTGGCGGTGGCCGCGCTCTACGCGCTGTGCTGGGGCCCGCACCACGCGCTCATCCTCTGCTTCTGGTTCGGCCGCTTCGCCTTCAGCCCGGCCACCTACGCCTGCCGCCTGGCCTCGCACTGCCTCGCCTACGCCAACTCCTGCCTCAACCCGCTGGTCTACGCGCTCGCCTCGCGCCACTTCCGCGCGCGCCTCCGCCGCCTGTGGCCCTGCGGCCGGCCCCGCCGCGCGCGCTGCGCCCCGGGCGCCCGCCGCGCCCTCCGCCGCGTGCGCCCCGCGCCCCTGGGCCCCGCGCCCCTGGGCCCGGCCGGCTGCCCCGGGGACGTGCGGCCGCGCGCCCGGCCGCCGGCGGGGGGCGGCTGGGCCCGGGGGCCCCGCGGGGAGCCCGCCGCGGGCGCGGAGGCTGGAGGGGCCCGGTGCGCCCCAGCTGGGGAATAAAGCGCCTGAACGCGTCTGGGTGTCTCCGCGTCGTTCCTCTTCCACCGGGCCCGGGCGCGGCGCCGAGGTCGGGCGCCCTCTGAGCAGCAGTGCAGGCGCTGGGGCTCCCGCCCACCCGGGGATGGTGCCCCAGGAGCTGGAACTGTGTCTCCCCGGCCCAGCGCCTGCCGCCCCAGAGTGTCCCCCGCCGGGCTGGCTGGAGGCGATCCTTGTGCCTGGCCCTTCAACCCTGGCGGTACCTTCTGGGCTCTGCTTCCTCCACCCTTGACCGAGCCCCTCTCCCGTCCCCGCCCTGTCCTGGGTCATTTAATACTGGCAGCTCGCACAGCAGCTGTTACTGAGCCTTTTTTTTTTTTTTTTTTCTTTTGTGGGACCCTCGCCAGCGGCCCGGGAACCAACGGTGCTGCAGAGGCTGCGGGCAGCTTCACAGCCCAGCGCTCAACCGCTGCGCCACCAGGGCAGGCCCCTGTTACTGAGCATTTTACTGCTGGTCTCCGGCAGGACTGTGTCCTCCCCTGTCCTGATCAGCACAGCCTTGCAGGCAGGTAGCCCCGCTTTACAGACAGACGCAGACCCGGGAATCAGCAGTTGAGTGACTTGACACCCTCCCCCTCATGGCTGGTGTTTGGCAAAAGATGGGCTCAGCCCGGCTGCTGGAACCTCCTCTACCTCTGGAGCCCCAGTGCTCAGTTTCCCTGGTGTCCCAGGTTTTTCTCCATTCTTCTTGGCTCTGCACCGGCCTCTGCCCCAGCTTGCTGCTCCCTACACCAGACTAGATGTCCTGGGGGCATCAAAGCCTCAGGCGCATCCTAAGATGGTCCTTTTGATGGGCAGCTCCTGGTTCTTGCCTCCAGTCAGCCAGTCTGTTGGCGCTCCTGGCTGCAGAGAGACACTAAGCCACCCTCGAACCCCAGCTGGCCTCCAGCAGCCCTGGCTGCCCGGTGACCCCCTCCCTCCCCGTTCCTGCATACAGCTGGGGTAGTCAATCTGTGGCGGTGGAAACCTACTAATTAACCAATAAATCAGTCTCGAAGGCTTCAGAGCTGCCCACTCCCCTCCCTCACCACAGGCCAATAATGATTATTAGCTTCTGGGCAAAGGCCTGAGACCTTTTGGTCCCCATATGTCCCTAGCACACCTCCAGGCTGCTGGGCACCCCAGCAGGATCCCTCCCTACCTGACAGGAGGCAGCTGCTGAGTCCTTGTCACTGCCTGCCACCTGCCACAGACCCAGGGGTCCAACTGGCAGTCACCTTCACAGGGGGGAGGCTGCAACCATGTCTGGGGAACACTGCTTTGAGGGTCCAGCATAGGGCTGGGGTGGGAAGTGCAGGGTCCTGTTGCTGGTCCAGGACTCTTTCTCCCACGTCTCTGCCCAGGCTGCTCTGGCTGCCTTAGCCGCAGCAGTGGGAGTGCTCCCGGGAGAGCAAGTGTGTGCTCCCACTTCCCTGCACCCAGCCCAGTGTGGCTGTTTCTCACACCTCCACTGGCTCCCCTGTGCCTTGCACCCACAATGGCAGGCAAGGAAAAGTATGTCCATTTTCAGAAGCAAAAACTGAGGCTCAAAGGAGGTGAAGTGACTTGTCTAGAGCCAAGTGGCCTATTCCCTGCAGAGTGGGGATTCCTAACTGGGCCCGAGAGATGGGTGTTTCCGTAGCACCGGAAAAACATTTAAGAGCATCTGGCAAGTTGGCTGCCAGATGACGTGGTGGGGCCCTGCAGCGTTGTAGGGGGACAACCTCCTGGGGTTAGCTTATGCCACGGTTGCTCCAGCCACCCAGCTGGGCTGCTGCTCCTCCTGGTCACCTCTGGGCCTGGGAACCGCCTCCACCTAGGACAGGGGGAGAGGGGAGGTGTCTTCGGGGGATAAGATCACCCCCAGCAAGTGTCCGAGCTGGAGTTGGACTTGCATGAGAGCCCAGGCCCGGGGAGGGGCTGGACAGGCAGGCCCTCCGCAATGGCCTGGGTCTAGCCCAGCTGGCCGAGGTGCAGTCGTACAGCCCAGACCCCCAACTGGAGCTCTGATACCAAGCTGAGGGCGAGGAGCCCCATCCAGAGCCTGGATGAGGAAAGCCACCAGGGAGGCCTGGAGTAGAGCTGGGAAATTGTCTTTTTCATCACGGACTTGGCAGGAAGATTGATGGCCAGCTGCTGGGTTGGGCCTGACCCCGAGACTCCCGGGCCTGTGTCAGGGAGTGAATGAAATGCTTGGAAAAGCAGATGGTCGCAATACTTTGCTTAGGACAGGGCTGGGAGTCCTGCCGAGGGGCTGAAGTGAAGACTGAGCCCACCTGGCTGTTGCCCATTATGGCCTGGGAGTAAACACCTGACCCAATCCCTGCCCGGTCTGGGGCTGGTCTTCCGGCAGCCCACAGGGCCGGGGGAGGAGCTCCTGTTAGTGGAAGGAAGAGCCCGATCCCGCAGGCCTCGCACCCCCGCACCCCCGGCTGTGCAGGCCTCTTAGGGACAGACCTGGCGCCCTCATGTCTGAGCAGCTACTAGGTAATGGTGCTCCTGTAGGAAAGACAAGCACAGGGAATTGTGGGGCCCAGAGGGGGGCCCCTAGCCAACTTGGGCAGCAGAGATGACCTCCTGGAAGAGCTGGCCCCGAAGCCGAGCGCTGAAGTGGGCGTTCATCAGGGTGGGTGGGGAAGGGGAAGGCTGAAAAGCATGTGCGGGGGCTGCCCAGAGTCAGGCTCAGCGCGGTGCACCCAAGGCCTGGGACGGGGTGACAGGGGAGCCCCGCAGGGAGTGAAGTGGGAGAGGTGGGGGCAGCGGCGAAGGGTTATTTCAATCTTGTCTGAAACAGCGCTTTTCCTGAGGCAGGGGAGCCACAAGAGGTTGCAATGGAAGGATCTAATCGAGTTTGCATTGGAGGGGCCTCTCTGGGGCAGCAGGGCAGGGAGAGCAGTTGGTGGCTGACGTGAGAGGGAGAGTTGAGGTGGCGAAGAGGATGGCGGCGCGGGGTGGGGGGGTCGAAGCACAGGCGGCCAAGCTCTTAGGAGGTTCAGTCACTGGGGCTTGGAGAATGTTTGTTAAAGGGGAGATGAGGCGAGGACCGGAGGACGCCAGACTTGGGCTCCTGGGGGTCACCGTGGGCATGGTGGGCAGGGGTCTGGGGGGACGATGTGGACCTGGTTGGAATGTGCCAAGACAGAGGCCGCTGGGGGCCGCGGGCACCTGCCTTGCCATGACCTTGGGGCTCGTGTTCCCAGGGCTGGCCGGAACAGGGCTGGGCTCTTTAGCTCAGGTTTGTCTGCTGTTGGCTCCGTGGTCTGTGGGGCGGAGGGGAGAAAGGAAGGGGCTGGTGAAGAGGAAGGAGGAATGGGCCGGGGTGCTCCTCCCCCCGCCACCAGAGCCAGGCTGAAACGCAGCCCTGGGGGGGGCTGGAGTGGAGGGCCCGGCCCTGGCCGCGTCAGCCACCCCCTCCCTGCCTGAGGCTGGCAGGGACAGCGTCATCTGTCAACTCTGAGGTGTGTACCTGGGGAAATAATGGCAATTAACCACCCGAGGGTGCCTATTAATGAACATCAGTTCCTTGGCCCTGATGCTGGATTCATTTGCGAGCTGCCAGCTGGATCCGAAATGGCACGAGGCCAGAGGGACAGGCTGTGCAGGGGTGGAATTGTTTCTGGTTTAAGAGGACAAGGCCCTGATTTATTGAAGCATCTGCTCGGTGCCACGTTGTTCTCGTGGCCCAGGCTCTGTGTCGGGGGGAGGTTGGAGCAGGAGGAAGGGTGAGAGGAGGAGATAAGGGACAGGGTGCCAGGCTGGTGTGCCGGGGTGCTCTGGACGGCTACAGGATGGGGGCGGGCGTCGACCTGTCAGGTTGCTTGCTTAACGCTGTCCCGTGGGCTCTGGCAGGTTCCCAGCACGTGCCAGCCCAGCGGCCCTGGACTCAGGCCTGGAGATGCAGCTTTGACCTTGAGCCGCAGCCACATCCAGAACTGAACTGCCCAAGCCCATCCCTCGGGCAGCAGCCTTGGGCTGCTCTCCCGTTGCTGCCAGCTCTAGGGAGGCCAGGGCTCACCCCACAGACCCTTGTCTCCATCAAGTCTCACCACCCACCTGAGGAGGTGCAGCCCCCACCTCTGCCCCATCCTTCTGGGCTTCCAGGCAGGAGAGTCACCAGGCTGGCATGGACCAGTCACCGGGAGCACCGGGGATACTGGTGTCTTGGAAACCTTGGCAGAGATCACGCTAGACCTGGACTGGACCCCTTTACTGACTAGCTGACCTAAAGCAGGCTACTTTTTCTGAGGCCCAACTTTCTGCATCTGTGAAATAGTGGGAGCAGTAATGTGGCTACCTAACATTTTATTGTCAACACAAAAATCACAGAGCCTGCTGGCACGTAGTAGGAGTTCAATAAACATCGTGCCTGCATTTTAGGAAATCCCCAGAGAAGGCTCATTTCTGGCAAGGTGGAAATGGCATGAGCTTTGGGGGGGTGGAAGCAGTGCCAGCCCAGCTCCCGCTTGGGTCTCCCCAGTGAGCCCGCGTTTTCCTATGAATGTGCAGCAAGGCTGGTTCCCTGGCAGGATGGTTGTGGGAACCTGCGAATATTCTCCAAACCACTGTTTGCCATGGGTAACCGCAAGGATTTTGTCCTTCTTTTCACTGCTGTATTCCCACCTAGAACATTGCCATCCGCCTAGCGAGTGCCGTGTGTGTGCGTGTGTATGTGCAAGCATGTGTGTGCACGCGCATGCGTTTACCACACTAGATTAGCTGTTCATTACAAAGGAACAGCCAGATGGAAGAGATGCCCAGGGCGAGGTCTGGGGAAAAGGCCCAGGCTTTCCTGCCCTCTCCAGAGGTGCCCCAAATCTCCATGTGTTCACAGCCCCGGAAGCTGTGTTTCCAGCATGAAGAAAATGCTAGCAGAAGGCAGAGCCATAGATGTGTGTGTGTTCTTGCTGCCGTTCAGGCCCCCTCCCTGCTCCCCCACGAACTGCAGCAGCTCCCAGAGCCCGAACAGATGAAGGCCCATGTGGCGACCTCTGCCCGTTCTCCATCCAGCCCCTGCCAGGCCCAGCCAACCCCAGATCCACATATGCATTTTCTGACTCACTCCAGTGTCTGGGGCCGACTTTATCTGGCTGGTTCTTCAGACAGATTTGGGGTTGCGGGAAAAATCCTGGCTGGAAATGGGGTGACGCAGACGGGCAGGGTGCCAGGATGTCTGGCAAGTGTCTGATAACTGGCCTATGAGCCACCTTCATCCGTCAGCCCCTAGTTCACTGTCCATATGGCTAGGGAGGCAGTCAGCCATTGCCCCTCGCTTGCCCCAGTGTCCCATTCGCGTGGCTGCAGGGCCCCGGGGCCCGGAGTGGGGTGGGTGGGTACCACAGGGATGGAGGGTGCTGCAGGGATGCGTCTGCCACCCGGGCCGAGGGCTCGTTGAGAGTCAGCCTCAGCTGGGCCATCCTAGAAGCCGGTGCAGCTGCCTCAGTTCGCCACCCTCAGCCCTGTCAGCACAGAGCAGCTGCCCTGCCAGGTAACAGGTCCCAGAAGGCCCCTTGCAGGGAGGGAACAGGGACAGGACGGGAGAGCAGCCTCGGCAGCGGCTGGGAGCCTGGCTGCCTCTGCTCCTGTCTCTCCAGTCCCGGGGCCACCCTCCTTCCCTTCCCCACCCTGCGGGCCTTTCACAGGGTGCTGGAGGCAGGCCTGGGCCTGATCTCACCCACCGAGAGACCCTTTTTTCTTTAGAGTCTGGGGACCAGCTGGGTTCCATGGGTTCAATTCAGATCTGATCAAGCTGGGATTTGGGGGAACAAGCTCCTTTCCTTTGAAAAGCAGTCAGGATTCCAATATGGCGGCAGGGAAAGTGGGGTAGTGTTAAGTGGACAGGAACTGATGGCCAGGGAGGAGCTCTACTCTGTGGACAAAGGCTGAGTGGGGAGGCCAGTTGGGCACTCCCTGTGGGTGGGAGGGGGGCCTTCACCGTGACTTTGGCCTATCCTGGGGTAGCATTTCCCCACTGCCGCCGCAACAAACAAACAGAAACCCAGCAGCTTAAAACAACACGTTTATTCTCTTCCAGTTCAGGTGGTCAGGATTCTAGAATCAGTCTCACCGGGCTAAAGTAAAGGTAATTAGCAGGACTGATTCCTTCTGGAAGTTCTGAGAAAAGAATCCATTTCCTTGCCTTTTCGAGCTTCTGGAGGCCACTTGCCTGCCTCGGCCTGTGACCCCTTCCTTCACCATGTGGTCAGTCCTCTCTGGTCTCCTGCTTTCCTCTCAGAAGGCCCCTGTGATCACCTCTGGCTGCCTGGGAGACTAGGAAAAGCTCCTCGTCTAAAAGCCTTAATTTAACTGCCTTTGCAAAGTTCCTTTTGCCACACAGGTAACATTCACAGGTTCTGGGACACTGGGCATGGATCGTGGACATGGATATCTTGGGGGGGCCACTCTCCAGCCCGTCACAACTAAGATGCGGAAGTACTGTGCCCTCCTGGTGTTTCAAGGGTCGGTGTTGTCTGCCGGGCTCAGCAGAGTCCTTCCCAAACTCGTGTTTCTGAGGCCCAGGCCTCACCACCCGCCCCTTTCCACCCAGAGAAACTGCAGTGTCTCTTTGCAAGTCAGCGACAAGTCTAAATCTAAGCGCTGGTGAGGTACAGCCGATGGGCTCCAGGGCAGACCCTCAGGCCAGGGCAGAGGCCTGCTCTTAGCCACATCATGCTGCTTGCAACAAGCCAGGAAGGGACACTGAGAGGATCTGGGCCTGCTGCGGACGCCAAACAGGTGACAGGACAACCAAGGCCCGTGGGGCAGTGGTGCTGGCCGGAGCTGCAGTGCGGCTGCAGTGCCGCGGGAGCAGAGAAAGAGCAGGGGCTGTGGCCCTGCCCTCTGAGATGATGGATGCCGGGGCTGGGGGCGGCGCTGAAGCCAGCTAGAGAGAGTCTCTGCCCTCGGCATCTAGGGGTGAGGGCGAGGTCCTCACCAGGCAAGTGGGGCTCCAAAGTCCCAGGCAGCGGGCTTTTTCTTTGTAATGAGCACCAGGGTCGGGGTAGGGCAGCGGCGGGGCGGGAAGGCAGGGAGCTGCTCTTGCTACCTCTTCTCCATGTCCTGCATCTGCAAGCTGAGGGAGGTGAAGCTGGCCAGGAGGTCGGTGACCTCATCCACCTGCGGGATAAATCCAAGACACAGTCACGGGGGCAAAAGGTCTCCTCCAAATGCACAGCGTGGAGGCTGGGGACTTCCAAGCAGGGCCGGGGGCTTCACTCTGACTGGCCCAGGGCTCATCCTGACATGGGGAGGCCCAGATGGCTCCAGAGAAGACACTGAGGAGCTTCAGAGGACGTGAACAGGGGCTTTGAGGTCCAGAGTAGCCACGACCCCACAGCCATGCTGCTGTCCTGAGGGTCCAGCTACATCAGAGCAAGGGCAGACTGTGCTGAGGCCCCCACCAGGCCCTGGGCCCAACCTGCAGCCCCACTCACCTGCTCCCTGGTGCTTGTCATCTGGAGGCGCGTACAGAGGTCGTCCAGCCGCTCCCGCTGCTCGTGCCGCCCCAGGCGCTCCAGGTACTCTCTCAGCATCTGGATGATCTGAAAGGAGAGAGTGGGCTGCACTGCCAGGGTTCTCACAGGAGGAAGGGAGAGGCTCACACAGCAGTCGCACCAGATGCAGCGGAGCAGCACCCAGTGGGGTCAGAGGGGCAGGGCCCGTCGCTGAAGGCAGCTTGTCTGCGGCACATAGCCCACGGGCACGCACCTGTTTCACCTCCAGCCGCACGGCCTCCAGGCACTGGGAGTGGCCCTCCTGCAGGATGTTCAGCTTTGACTTGGCCAGGTGCAGGGGTGTGCGGCCAGCTCTGTCCAGGGCATCTACACGGGCCCCTGCAGAAGCAGCCAGGTGAAGGTGAGTGTGCTAGGTGAGTATGCTGGGGAGCGGGGCAGACGGGGAAGGGAGCACATACCTCCTCGTAGCAATGTGGTGATGACAGGCACGTGGTTGGTGCAGGCCGCTGAGGAAGAAGAACAGGGACTTGAGGCTCTAGGACCACAGTGGCTTGGCCCTGGTGCCTGCGTCTCCATGTGAGGGGCCTCCCAAGGGGTATCACCCAGGCAGCAACCATGCAGGACTCAGCCATGGAGTCTAACTCCCTCCCAGTACAGCGAGGGAAATGGAGGCCTGGAGGCGAGGCCTGTCTCACCAGAGCCACGGGGGCAGTCAGTGGCAGGCTGGAGACCCACTGAGGGTCTCACGTCGCCAGCAGAGTGCACCGTGCCCACCGAGGCTGCCACCTCAGCTCTGCTCAGACCACAGCCAACTTGCGGGCAGTGGAGAGTCAGGGACAAGACAGTCCGGGAGACCGCAGGGCCCTGGCCCTCCGCGAGAGAAGCCCGTCCACGCCACAGATGAGGGGTCTCGGCGGCTCTCCAGGCACTCACCCAGATGCAGTGGCGTGTTCCCCAGCCCATCTCGCTGGTTGGGGTCGGCCCCGTGGTCCAGGAGCAGCTGCACTGCAAACCCAAAAACCCAGAGGAGCCATCAGAGGCTTTGGGGGACCCAACTTCGCTGGGGGGCTCACTTAATGCATGGAACATGGAAAGCAAACACGGTTCTCATTCACCTTTGTAAAGGTCAGGATGGGGGGATTCTGGGAGGGCCTCCTGGCCAGTGCAGGTGCTATGTGACTGGACAGGCGCTAAACCCTCAGGGGTTAAGGAACGCGCTTCCAGCAGCAGTGACCGCAGCAAAGGCTCTTAAGCATTTTGCTGTCCCTCCCACAGCCACATGCCACATGAGAATCAGGCTACTGGGAGGACGCTGAGTACCCTTCCTTGAGAGTCCGGGCCACCTCCAGGGTGGACTATGGTGGGAATTACCCAGGCTGATAGCAATGCACAAACCTGGGTGCAGGGCACTGTACAGTGAGGTCAGGCTGAGCCCCACGCCATATGCAGAACTAATTCAAGAGGGATGGCAGGCCTAACTATGAAGCTAAAACAGGCAGATTTAGGGCCTCCCCTGGTGGCACAGTGGTTGAGCGCTGGGTTGCAAGGCTGCCCGCAGCCTCTGTAGCGCTGGTTCGTTCCCCGGCCGCCAGCGAGGGTCCCATAAACAAACAAATAAAAAAAAAAAAGCCAGATTTATAGGGACTCTCTTTATGACTCTGGAAGAGGCAATGATTTCTCTAGATTACAAAAATATTCATCATAGAGAATATTAACAAACTGAATTTATTAAAATTAAGAACCTGTGTTCACCAAGAAATACCATTCGGAGAACAAAAAGTCAAGCTCAGAAAAGGCAAGTCATCTGTAATTGATCAATGATTTATCCCAGAATGTGTAAAGAATTCCTACAAATTAATATCTTATTAATTAAACAACTTGTTAGGAAAAAAAACTAGACAAAAGACCTGAAGAGACACATCACAAAGGGGGTATAAAAACGGCCAATGGACAGAGAGTGTGTGCCACGTGACTGGCCGCTGGAGAGGTGCAGGCGGCGCCTGGGTGGCTGGGGTTACAGCAAGGACATGGGGCAATGCGGAACTGACAGCTCACTGCGGGTGGAAGAGGTTGTACTGGTACAACTGCTTGGGGAAAATGCAGCGCCTACCAAATTGAAATATGCGTGTATCCTACCAGGAGACCCGACATCTGCCCTCCTGGTGACGCCTGGCATAGTTCAGTGTCATAGTTAAGTCCCACGCACAAGAACGTCCACAGCCACGGCATTCAGGAGAGCCCACACCTGGACACCACACGACACCACCAGCAGTGGCTGGACACACCGTGCTGGTGAGCCGCGCGTGGCAGGAGGCAGACAACACTGTTAGCATCGTCCGACTCACTATGGGACTAAATCGTGATGACTTCAATCCCAAGGAAGGACTGATAATTTCGCGCAGCGACAGCGCTAGCTCTGGCTGCATGACAGTCAGACTCCAACAAAAGGGTCAACAAGCTTCACGCCTTACACCAGGGTCTATGTTGGATACGTTTCCATTTTAAATTTTAAAACAAAAGCATAAACTAGGGCCTCCCTGGTGGCGCAGGGGGTTAAGACGCAACCTATGAAGCTGTCCGCAGCCACTGCAGCACGAGTTCGATCCCCGGCCAGGGAGCAACTCACGTGGCGCAGCAGACCTCTCCTAGCTCGCCCGCTGCTCCCCTCAGCAGTGTGTTTCAGTCAGTCTGCCTGTTCTGTTCCCCACTCTGTCTCTGGTGAATCTTCTCACCCCCCACACCTCTGGCCTGTACCCCAGTTCTTGTATGCATAAATAAATCTTAAAAAAAAAAGCATAGAACAAACAAAAAAATCATGATAAAGTTCTAGTTTCAAAATTTCCTGTCAATAAAATTCTCTAAAACCAGAGGGAGAGAGCGTAGGGGGAATTAGCAGATGGGTGAATCGTGGAATACCACACAGTGAAATACTATGCAGGAACAAGAAAGAAAAAAAACCACAGATACCCACAGGGCTGAATCTTGGGAAATCATTTTGCATTTGCTGGAAATTCAAAAACAGTCCAAGCCAATCTTATGAATGAGGTCGATCAGGGGGAAAGGATGAGAAGGGGGACGAGGCAGTGGTTGGTGCTGGAAATATCCTGGATCCTGATCTGGGCGGCAGTTACACCAGTGTCTACACAGAGACGGTTCATCAAAAAGAACAAGGCTCCTGCTATTGCGGCTGGCACCAAGAAGTCTGACCTGAGCTCCTTGAAGGAACGGCCCTGACCACAGAGTCGATCCTATTCTTTCCTCAGCTTGACCCCTTTGACAGCCTGGCAGTGCCAGACCCAAAGACGCAGGAGGTAAGAGGAGCAATCAGCACCTTTCAGGGTCGTCCTGATATCCAGCACCCCGGTGACAGAGAGAGCCTGCCACCCCTCCCGAGAGGATCCCTCCCTCCCTGGACTCACCGATCTGGCCGTTGCCATTGCAGGAGGCGAAGTGGAGGGCTGTGCGGCCCTTGTCATCCGCAGCACAGGGGTCTGCGCCGTCTTCCAGCAGCTGCTGCACTGGCACACCAAGACAGAGGCAGGCAGGGGAGAGAGCGGCAGTGTGAGCTAGGCTGGTCCTGAGAGGATGCTCAGGGCCCCCCGGGGCAAGGCATCTATAATGCAGGGAGACTGAGCTCCTCTGGTTGCTGGTGCCACAGGGGCTGCCTGAGGGCACAACTGAGGGTCACGGACTCTGGGGGCGCAAACTAGGTGTCTAGGGGTAGAATGTCACAAGTGTCTGGCTGTTGGGCACCACTTACTTTGCTCCCAGGAGGCAGCCCTTTTGGGTGGACAGAGCATAAGGTCTGAAGCCACACAGACCAAGTCCCAGGCTGAGCTGGCAACAAAGAAAGGCTTGTACTGCTGGCAGCTTGGTGCAGTGGGGAGAGAGCTGGGCTGGGCACACAGAGGCCGGGATTCAGGCCCCAGTTCACCAGCAAATGGCCAGTCTCTGCTCTGCCAGTCTCCAGAGCTGCTCTGTCGAGCATAATGAATAGGAAATTGCTTCTCTGCAAAGTGAGGCATTACCAAATGGAAGGCACTATGGATTCCATGTACCTGTCCAACAAAAATGTGGAAAATGCTGCCAAACATCATTTTAGGGCAAGTCACCTTTGAGTCCCACCACTACAGGGCCGAGGCCTTCCAGACAAAACCCCAGCCGCCTTGACGCTTCCCCATCCCCTCGAGCTGAGTTAGTCACCTCTCCTGTCCGTCTGCTGCTCCAATACGAACACACCATGCTATTTCAGGGTAAATGCTCTGTGCACGGACCACAGCCAGGCACAGGACCACAGCCAGCACCCCCCCCCCCAGCTCTGCCCGGCTTCCGGACCATTCTACAGACCAGAGAGATTATATGAAGTGCCCAAGAGACGTTCGCCCAGCTAGCAGGAAGCAGAGCAGAAGCCCAGGTCCCTCTGGCTCCAGAACTTACACTTCTCCCACTGAACACGTGACTTCAGTTGTTCTAGGGGGCTGTTTTGGAAATGCTATTACTCGTCAGTCCTCTATATTGTAGGGGTTTGGCTTCATCTTAATAACCTTGGTATTGAGCAGAGTGTCCTGCACTCACTGTGCTAGAAGAAGGCTGCTGCGGGCTGAGTAAGTGAATAAAGTGGCAGGTCACCTCATCACTCAATGGTACAGTCACAAAAACAGAGCCAGGGTCAAGGAGATAAACAAACCTGAAACTGCCAGCTCCATTCTGGGATGGGGACGGCCAGGCCTTTCGGACATCGCTTTAGCAAATCTATGAGGAGCCATCAAAATCCGCATGCCCGTGGTGCAATAACGCCGTATGTGGGAAATGATTTGGAAAATGAAAAACTAATGTCCAAATATATGACCAACTAAAACACGCTCGCTCTGTTCCCTTTAGTGGCTACACCGTGCACCTCCATGAAGACAGAGGTCAAACTGGGGAACAAATGTAGAAAGTGATTTTTTCTTTTTACTCTATAAGCTTTTAAAAATCATACAGTGAATTCATTCTATTAACGGGGGGGGGGATGATGTTTCCATTTTGAAACAAATGGCTACAAAGACTACAAAAAATGTTTGCTACATAAAAAATGATAGCTAGGACACATACAGAAAGCCCAGAAAGAAAATTTCTGTGCTTGGGGAAAAGGACAGAGAGCTCCCTTTCTGACAAGCATAATGGACAGTAGCTCCTTTGCTCACATGAAGACTGTTTTCCCTTCATGTTTCTCTAATTCCTAAAATAGCTTCAATGTATATATTATTTCACACTTAAAATATCTTAAATGATTGTGAATTCTTGAAAAAGCCCAACTTCACAATGCGGGGTATACATTTTATATCCACTGTATTCGCTGAACTGTTCCAAACCAACACACATGCAGAGAAAGAAAACAAGGTGCCTGTCAGAAAAGAAAGGGAGCGAGGAGGCTCAGCCAGAGGCTGTCTCCTGCGTCCTGCAGGAGCGGGGAGTCCAGCGGCCGCTTAGATGTGAAGATGGGTGTTAGAGGTGAGACTAGGAAATGACAGCATCTCATCCAAATAATAAAAGCACGCATGAGCACCTCATTCAAGATGAACCTGACTTTCTGTGCATGGAGAGCATAATTTAAATATTCTCTAGTAGGGCCTCCCCTGGCAGCACAGGCGGTTGAGTGCAGCGCTATGAAGCTGTCCGCAGCCTCTGCAGCGCCGGTTCAATCCCAGCTGGCCAAAGAGATGCCCACATGGCAAGGCAGACCTCTCCTATCTTGCCTGCTGCTCCCCTCAGCAGTGTATTTCAGTCAGTCTGCCTGTTCTGCTCCCCGCTCTGTCTCTGGTGAATCCTCTTACCCTCCCGCGCATCTGGCCTGTACCCTGGTTCTTATATGAATAAATAAAGGTTTAAAAAAAAAAAAAGAACTGGTCTTTAAATGATGCCAAATTAAAAAATAAATAAATAAATATTCTCTAGTCACACACAGAGGATCTTAACAAAAATGCGGATTCTTTTTCCTAGAAAAACAATCGGGGTTGCTGCCCAAATATTCCAAGATGTTAAAGTTCACGGAAAGAGGTCTAAGTGAAAAGGATTGAAAAGCCCCACACCAGTCTCTAGGCATGCTCGCCATGCCCCATAGGAACAGGGGCAGCATTTCAAGGCCGCTCAGCTCCATGCCTGCACCTGCCTGACTGCACTCTCCCAGGGGGCGCTCAGTGGAGGCTCACACTGTATCTGTTATTGGCCACAACATCCCACCACCCAAACAGAATGATGCCTGCTTGAGATGGGCAGAATAATAGCCCTCCCATGTCTATGCCCTACTGCCCGGAATTGGTGGATAATTCACATGGCAATAGGGATGTGCAGATATGGGTAAAGGAAGAGGGGAAGGTTATCCAGGCCAATCACAGCGTCCTTAAGTCAGAGAGCACTTCCCTGCTGCGAGCACCAGAGGGAGGGTGGCGTGAGGACTCAGCTGCTGACTGTGAAGACAGAGGAAGAAAACTAAAAGCCAAGGAACGCGGGCAGTCCCTAGAAGCTGGAAAAGGCAGCAAAACAAGCAGTCCCCGGAGGGGCTGGCTCCAGGAAGATGTGCAGCCTGGTCACACCCTGATTTTAGTCTGCTGAGACCTGCGAGACTTCTGACCTGAGAAAGAGCGGGATTATGTGTGCCATTTTCCACACTATGTTTGTGGTCATTTGCAACAGCAGCTATAGAAGACCGATATGTCACCGCTATCTGGTTCACAGAAAGAATTATGCCAGTAGATAAAATTAAAATGTTTTTCCTACAACTTGTCCTTGTTCCTGCCGACCAGCGAATGCTAGAACGCAAAAGCAAAAAACAGAGTAGAGTCTACTCCAAGGCCCTACCCAGCTTTTCAGATGTTCTGTCAACTAAACAAGCTTCAAAAGCATCAACCCAATGTCCACAAAGCCTCCGTCAGCAGCTGAAGGAGGAGTCTGTGCAAACGGTGGCTCTTCTGGCAGTGAAAGTTGAGTGTTTGCCCCATCGATCAAAGTTCCAGAAAGTTTCTACTCTTTGCTGAGCTGTGCTGGGTCTCAGGGATAGGAACGCAGACATGGTCCCCACCATCAGGGGCCCCACAGGGTGACAAATGTTATGAGCTCCAGAACTTAGGGTGGCAGGGAGCAGCAGGAATGCGAGGAGCTCAGCCAGATGTGCCTTCTGGCCGTACCGGCACCATAAACACAGCAAGCCTGACCCAGGGGTGGCCCACAGACTGGATGAAAGCACCTCCCCGAGTATGGGAACCCTGGTTCTTCCCTCCCTGAGCTGCCCAGGGAGCTGGAGCTGCTCTGCACACTCACCTGTTTCCACGTCGTTGGCGTTGGCAGAGTCCCTTAGCCTCTTCAGAGCTGTGAAGGGAAGAGAGTGCCACAGTTCAAACCCAAAGCAAAAAACCCCAAAACAACAGACAAGATGAAGCAGAAAGCAGACAGCTTCAAAGTTAACCCGCCTTCAGCCACAGCAGCAGCTCCTGGGAGCTTCCGGGTCACAAGACACTGCCCGGGTGCCGCGGACCAGCCCAGCGGTGGCGGGACCCATTAGTGATGCGAGATTGTGGCAATTGTAACATTGCTCTCAGGAGCCGCCACACCCGGGGAATAGGGCAGACCCTGAACTGAGGCACAGCCAGCACAAGAGGCAAGTCTGGACCAAACTCCCCGAGTCCCTGGGAGCCAGATCTTGACTCTGCCACTTGCAGTGGCTGGGCGACCTGGAGCAAATTAGTTAACCTCCCTGGTGCTTGGGTCTGTCATCTGAAAGATAGGTTGTGCTCTGTCCTGACAGCTCAGAGTTGCAGCAAAGACTGAGTGAGATGATTTACACAGATTCTTTCTGAACTGGTTACACAGACAATCTTATATTCTCCTACAAAACAGGCCATTCTCTAAAGATACTTAAATCTGGTGATTCCTAAGCAGAAACTTTGTTCTCTCATGATGATACTGCCTCTCTGTGAAGGGCCAGAGAAATGGTCAAAAATTGCAATTCAGATACATCATAACTCCTTGCATTTTACACAGCACTTTATGCTTTATACAGCACTTTCAAAGATTCCAGGAGTCTTAAAAAAGTCCCCACTCCTAAAGGACTTTCAGGGAGTTGGTGGCCATAGCTATAAAATGCAAGCCAGGGCCTCCCTGGTGGCGCAGCGGTTGAGCGCTGGGTTGCGAAGCTGCCAGCGGCCTCTGTGGTGCCAGTTCGATCCCCGGCTGCTCCCCGGCCACCGGATGAGGGTCCCATATGGCACGCAGACCTCTCCTGCCGCCCGCTGCTACCCTCAGCAGTGTACTTTGGTCCTTCTGCCTGCTCTGCTCCCCGCTCTGGCTCTGGTGAATTCTCTCACCCTCCCACGCTTCTGACTGTACCCAGTGCATGTATAAACAAAACAAACAAACAAACAAATAAATAAATAACATGCCTCTATTAAAAAAAAAAAAAAATAAAATGCAAGCCAGTATGGCAGAAATACCACTTTGCATCTGGCAGACCTGGGTTCTAATACCAGCACAGCCATTTTCAACTGCATCACTTGCAGCAAGGCCACATCTCTGAGCCTCAGATTCCTCTTCAGTAAAATGGGAAGAGTATCTGGCTCTCAATGAGGAGTGGGAGGACCACAAATCACCCAACAGTGTTTGGAACACAAGGCCAGATGATACCTATACATCCATTACCTCTCAATCCCCCCAACATCCCTGTAAAGCAATGACTGTACCCACTTTACAGATGAGAAAACCGAGGCCCAAAGCTTCTCCAGCTTGCCCAAGGCTTAAACGAGGTCAAGGAGTCCAGCCCAGGTCCGTGCCCGTAAGCAAGTAGCCAGGGCTTGGCTCCAGGCTCTGGCCTCCTCTCTCTGATGATAAAAGTGTTCCCCAGAACCCCACTTGATCATCCACTAAATGCCTGCAGTCATGAAAACTTTCCAAGCGGGAACTACCGAGTGTGCAAAGCCCTGGGTGACGGGCTCTGAGCAGGGAGACTTTTTCCTTTCTTTTCTCACTTTCGTGGCCCCTGACAGCAGCCATAATGGTAATCACGATTATTATAATGACGACATATAACAATCCACGGACCCACTGTTATTAGTGAAGGGCGACTCGGGCACTCAGGGCCCCCCGCCCGGGCGCCCGCGGGCTGCAGACTGCAGGGGCTGGCGGGGTCGGGGTGGGGGGGCCGCCCCCCCCGCGCTGCCCCCCGCCCCCCGCGCTCCTCACCGTGCACCTCCTTGCCGGTGGGCCCGAGCCGGCGGTGGGGCCTGGCGGCGCGCCTCAGCCGGCCGGCGGGGACCTTGCAGCGCAGCTCGTCGCGGGGCTCGGCGTCCTGCTGCCACAGGACGTGGAGGTAGCGCAGCGGGGACTGGGCCCCGCCGGACGCCCGGCCCGGGAGGCCCGCGCCGCTGCCCAGCGCAGACCCGAAGTCGGCGAAGGAGAAGAGGCCCTCGGCGCCCGTCAGCGGCTCCGGCGCCACCGCGCACTCGCCCTCGGAGCTCGAGCGGCCCGAGCGCGACTCGTCGTCCGCGCCCCCGGCGGCGGCTGCCATGGCAACGGCTCGGCGCGGGCCCGGCCGCCGGAGCCTCGTTCCCGGCCGACCAACGGACCCGCTTCCTCCGCCCTGAGCCTCGCTGTCAGCGGGCGAGCGGGCGGGCCCGGGCTGCTACCAGGGCAACGGGCGGGGACGGGCTCCGGCCGCGAGCGGGGACGCTCTGGACCAATGAAAACCCTTTCTGTTTAAACCCGGGTAGAGTAAGGCCGTTAGACTCGACTTCCGGGAGTGTGACTGACGGGCATCAGAGCCAATCACAAGTGGGACTTGCCCACGGCCGGGTCATGTGTCCTGACCGGAGCCAATAAAGCAACTGGGTTTCTGGCACTTTTTTTCCCTTCACCCCGTGGGATCATGGGAAAGATAACGGACAGCTGCTTTGGCCAATCACGTGAAGAGGTTCTGCAGCCAATCACAGAGGAACGTGAAGCCCAACTCCAGGAGTGAGACTTGGATGTTTTAAATCAATGAACGAGAAAGCAAACAACCCGCCAGACCAAGCTCCCCACCAACGCGGAGTGTAAGCTGGAAAATGAGGAGATGTTCAAACCTGGGGCTGCCACCCCAAACTAAAAGCGACCCATCCCATGAGTCAGGATTCTCTGAGAACCCCCCACGTCCATCACTGATTTACAAAAAACCATGATCCGGTGTCTGGGATCCTGATGGAGAGCCAGTCCCAGGGCCGGCCCCTCTCTGGACGCAGCATCACACTCGGCGAGATGCTCTCACTCCAGTGGGAGGCCGAGCCGGAGACGGGGTGTTCCGCGAGCATTTGACCTCCGAGGGGCACAGTTCTGGGGGAATTTTCGCAACCCTGTACCCCACAAACACGTCTATGAGGCGGGCAAGGAGGGCCTTCCCAGCTTTCTAGCTGAGGAGCTGAAACCAGCGCGACCAGGGGTGCTCGTTCACCGCAGCCCGGCTCTCCCGGGGTGAGGGCTGCGGTCCAGGCAAAAGTTCTCTCTAGTCGACCAGACCCAGTTAACACGTTAAGTTTCATCTGAAAAACATTTTCAGATTTTGCAATGCTCTCAGAACACCTCTGTGAGGTTTTCCATTGTACTGTATGGAGAAAAGAATGCTATTTATTTGAACTCTTCTCCTCTGCCCCTGAAGCCACAGGACACAGGCCTACTCCATTTGTGGCTAGAAGGAAACAAAAGAAATAAGCATTGACTGCAGACCATTTACCAACCGCTTGCGATATATTAAACCAATTAGTTCTCCCTCACAAAAGCCTTCAACATACCCATCAGGAAATTAAAGTTCTGACATACATGGATTGCCCAAGGATACAGGACTAGAAAGTTGAAGAAGCGGGGCTGGAACCCAAGAACGTCCTCTCTTTCCATCACACTGCTTTCTTTAATGAAGATTCTGTTGGAAACTTGGCTCCAGAGAGTGTAAGTGACATCTGGGGATTATTATTATTATTTATTTATTGTAGTTTTATGATTTTATTAACAGAATTTTATTAACACAAGAGCTGCCTGTTGGTTCTCTTCGCTGGGCAGCCTGGTGTTGGGATGGGTGACTCCCGTGGCCAGCTGCGCTCCTCTTTCCATATGGCTTTGCGGTGCTTGGAGGAGAGGTTGTGAGCAATCTCAGCACAGTAAGATCTGCTGCCCATCAGCAGCACTTTGCACTCTTTGACCTTGTGCACTGGGAACTTCTGGAAGCCTCTGGGCAGCATGTGCTTTGTTTGCTTGTTGCTCCCATAACCAATGTTGGGCATCAAGATCTGGCCCTTGAAACTTCTGCAGTCCTGTTTTCTGTGCCTCTGGGTTTCTACCGGTTACACTTAATTTTGACATATCTGTTGCTGGATGAACTTCTTGGTCCTCTTTTTGATGGTCCTGGGTTTCCTGGGGGGCGTCTGAGGGCAGCATGACACCAAATGGTTGATGGCTGTCGCCTCCGTAGGCAGTGCTGAGGAAGAAAGCTATCTGGGATTTATACCCCATTCCTGCTAAATGTATCCTGAAAACTTTATTCATTCCTCCCTTTTTCCACAGAATAACCTCCAAAATAATTTTTATCCCTCCAGTCTTTCTTTGTAGAATCCAAGGTGAATAAGCTTCCTAAAGCACAATTCTTTTCCCATCTCTAGGACTGCCTGCCCATTTTGCTCAGGCTAATGTCCAAACCATTTATTTGACCTGGCAGTCAAAATCATTGATGATTTTCGCCCAATTATCTTCGTCCTACCAGTGGGTCAGGTCTTCAAGTCTACCAAGATGGGTGTGTTGTCAGAAATCTTTTAATTTGAACAAGATCCCTCAACATCTAGGGGTGGGTGTTACTTCTAATTTTAAGTTAACTTTGTTGAAGTGTAAATTAAATAGACCAACCCTCTGTGTTGTAACAAACATTTGTTATTTTGATTTGGAAAAATGGGATGTGGGCTGAGTGCGGGCCCAGTTTGCCTTAGCCTAAAGGTTTTGGGGTCTATGAAGTTGTTTTCCCCAACAATACCCAGATCAGCAACTAGTACCAGCACATTGTAGTTAGTTGACCAACTATTTGAATGAATGACTGTAGTATAGCCCAGTGATTATGATTCTCTGCTTTGGCGCTATATATATGTGGGGATGATCTCTTTGTGCAAGTCACTTTACCTTTCTGAACCTCAGTTTCTTCATCTGTAAAATGGAGATAATAGTAGCTCTTATATTAGGTGGTTATCATAATATAATGATCATATAGACGAAATGATATGATCTGAGTAAAGCATCTAGTTCAGAGCTTGGCATCGTGTATAGTTAATGCTCAGAAAATGGTAGCTATCGTTGATATTGTTACAAATAAAAGCCTAGGTTGTAGGCTGGGGGCCACGCATCACACTGACTTGAATCTGACCTAAGGGTACAAGAACTCATACACAAGTTATTTGTACTTGGTCAGTCAACAAATAAACATCAAGTACTTGGTGGGAGACCGAGAAAATATATGGGAGACCAGAAAAATATATATATAATGTTACCTTGCAGGTAAAGCTTTTGCCTGGGAATCCAGGAACTTGGATTCCAAGTCCTTTACTGCCCCAAATCACCTTGTGATTTGGGGTCAAGTGATTTTGTTCCGCCTCAGCCATCCCACCAGAAGGTATTCTTTTAGGTCAGATATTTACTGGTTTAGGTCAAGTTTAGCAGATTGGCCTTCCTTTCCTTTTTTCCCCACATCCTGTTGGTCTCCGCAGTATTTTAAAGCAATTTGAATTGGTTGCCAACATTCAAAAATTTAGAGCTTTCACATAAATTTCCTGATTTTCAGATTGTCTTTAAAATAGGAATGTAGGGCTTCTCTGGTGGCGCTAGGGGTTAAGCACAGCACTATGAAGCAATCCGCAGCCTCTGCAGCACGAGTTTGATCCCCGGCTGGCCAGGGAGCAGCCCACATGGTGCAGCAGACCTCTCCTGACTCACCCACTTCTCCCCTCAGCAGTGTACCTTGGTTGATCTGCCTGTTCTGTTCCCCACTCTGTCTCTGGTGAATCCTCTCACCCCCCTGCACCTCTGGCCTGTACCCCCCAGCTCTTGTATGCATAAATAAATAAATCTTTTAAAAAAATAAAAGAGGAATATATGGCGATATAGGAGCAGCTCTTCTATGTGGTGACAGTTGGCAGGAGCTATAAACAACTTTCCCCTGGAGAAAACACCACGGGACATTGTGTTCTGGTTTGCCACAGTCCCTACCACTCTCTATTACCTCCCCCTTGAGGTCTAAAGTCAGTAGCCATTTATTATCATACTTGTGCTGTTGTTTTTTAGGTAGAGTTAGCAGGAAATAATTTATTTCTTGTCTTTATCAAATGTGGAATAATGGAAGCTAGTGTAGTTCTTGTTAATTGTAGTTACAATTTAGATCTTATAATTGAGTTACAAATTACATAGAGTAACATTTCCCCATTTTATGTGTACAAAGGCAATGATTGTTGACAAACGTACACTCGTGTGCCCACCACTCAAGACAGAACCTGACAATTATATTTTTAACAATTTGAAAATTGTTTGCTAGATTACAGAGAGAGGCCCCAGTGTTTTAAGAGAAGTGAGTATTTATCTGTGAGCAAGAAGAATCTTCAATGTCCCTGATACATTTTAATCCATGGCCTGCTGCTTCACTTATTTCTTCTATCTGGCGGGCTTCTCTAACAGATCCCTGATGCCGCATCTAGCTCTGATTTATAAGACTGAGCTACTGCTCTCGTGGGGCCCGTATAAACTACACTAAAGGGGGCAGGCAGGGGCTGAAGATGGTGCTCAGGAGAGTGAAGCAAACAGAACAGTGAGTGAACTACAAATCAACCTGCCGTTCAGGGAAGTGGGGCTTCAAATAAACTCAGCTGAAGAGCCCAGGTTGATGGCAAAATGTAACTAATGACTTTTCAGAGTCAGAGAATTTCCAGCCTCACATTGCGGGCAAAAAAAAGATCAAGAGAAATAGGCAGCTTTTCAGCAGCTAACTCCTCTTAGCAACTCTCCCAGGTAAAATTATTCCAGGAGCTTTGCTCTGCTCACTGTTCCTTTCCCTTTGATGTACTGCTTTTCCATTAACAAGTGAGCCTTGCAAAATCAAACATCCTGTGATCAGACCTTTCATAGTCTGCAAGTCTGTATTCCTAAGCAGACTTAATATGCTGCCAAACTCTTGTTTCCATTCAAATGCAGTTCCACAAACATTGAGAATGGCAGCAGAAAGGGGGAAGAAACCCTAAATAAGATGGTCACTTGGACAAGCTGATAGTGTGGTGGTGAATTATGTAAGATTATGAAAGATTAATAAAAGGTGAGAATTTAGAGTCTGGAAGTATTTTAAAGGTACAGTCAACAAGACATACATACATTGACTATATAGTATGAGAAATCACGTGCAGGGTAATCCTGAAGGTTTTGACCTGAGCAACTGAAAGAAAGAAGCTGCCCTTAACTAAGGTGGGGAAAGCCGTAGGAGCAACCATGTTGGCGCAGAAAATCAGCACAGTTTGGACTAGTTTTGTCGGTGGTGCTCACTTCAGGGATGGAGATAAAATGTGAGTCCATGGTAAAAGGATGATATTAAACTTATCGGACTGGATAAGTTGCCCAGGGAGTGAGGGTAGAGAAGAAAGAGCCACCAGGATGAAGCCCAGAGAGGAGGAGCAGTTCTCTAGTTAATGGCTAGAGAGAAAGGGAGGACTCAACAGGAAAGTGAAAAGTAGTCTGTGCGGAAGGTCCTCTCAATCTTTACGATAATCTAACTTGGAGTGGTTTCTGGAAAAGGTAGAAAATCCTCAATAGATCAACAAAATGTTAGGTGGTTATAAGCAAAAAAATCCAAGTTTCTGGTGACTGAAGCTTATAGGATGAATAAAGACTGGAATATTCCCAAACCAAAATTATGTAGGAAGTAGCATACTTGGAACATGAAGTCACAATACAAATTGTGAGCAGACTGAGCCCAGAGACATACTCCTGGGTCACAGCAAACGTATGGCAGAGCGGGATGGGCAGATGGTGCAACCAAGGCCGCGCAGGTTTTTGCTGGATTGCTTTCTAGCTCCAAGGCTAACTCGAGGGCTTACCCTGGACTTGAACGCACCCTTCAGCGCGATCGGGGACACTCCCCACCCAGTCCTGGGCCTCCTCTTAGGCCTCACGGCACAGACGCTCTCATCTTTGCTTGCTCCAAACTGCATGTCCAGAGCCCGGGAAGCCTTTTCTCAGAGCCCTCTCACGGCCTGCGACCAAGCCTCAACCCCTACACCTAGTAGAAGCCAGAACGCCTGAAGACGCTTCTTGCCGCAGGCAAATCTCTTAGACGAAATCCCTACTCAGTTCCCACCGGACCCCACCGGACCCCACCGGACCCCACCGGACCCCACCCCACCCGAATTTCCTCCAGGGGAGAGTCGGCCCTAGGAAGCTGTCAGCTATTTTTCACGTGGCCTGACTTTGGTGTCTCTTTGTCCATCTGATTTATGCCAAACTACTTTATTCCTTATTTGTGAATTTGCGCACGTTCTATAGCGTCACCTTCCTTCAAACACCCCAGAAAAATGCAGGCGCCTCCTAACGCGGTTGTCGCACATTCCCGGCATCCCCGGGGACTTCCGGTTTCCCGGCCAGCCCTGGGGCGGGACTTCCGGCCTCCGGCGCAGGCGCAGGCGCTGGCGCGGGCTGCTCCCTCTCCGGCCGTGCTCCCGGCTGCCGCGGCCATGTCTTACGCCGCCGATGACTACGAGTCCGAGGTGAGCTGGCCCTCGGCGTGCTCGGGCCTCCGCGACGGAAACAGGCCTCGCTGGGGGCTGGGCCCCGCGGCGGGGCGGTGTCCGGGCCTCTCCCGGAGCCCCCGGGCCGCGGCCAGCTCTGCCCTGCCCGCGGGGCCCGCACGCCGCGGCCACCGCTGCCGGCTCCTCCTCCGCCGGCCTCTGCCCGCCCCGGACCCCTCGTCCTCCCTCCCCTGACCCGGGGCGGAGGGGTCTGTGTTTCGGAACCCGAGCTCCTCGTCAGGTCTGGCTCCTTTGGGCCGGCTCCGCGGGTTCCCACCCCCCTGGGCTCTGCCGTGGTGCGCCCGTTCCGTGTGTGGTCACGACCTGGGGACTCGCCTTCTCGCAGGCTTGCGAGTCCTCAGCGTAGGGATGTTAGGGGGAAAAGAATGTCTTAAAGCTAATTCCATACAGGCTTTGTGGACTCCACCCCCACTCCAGACCAAAGCCAGACACTGGAAACTCCAAATCCCATCACCACCAAAGGGAAGGTGGCTGGGACCGGCTGCCCTATAACAGGGGCTGTCGCCCCCCTTTGCCTCTGGAGTCCCCTGCTGGGCACACAGACCGGAGAAAGAGCGTTTGGGATTCACGAATTGATTACTGTACCTGTTTGTCTGTCTCTCTTTACTAGGCTGCTTATGACCCCTATGCTTACCCAAGCGACTATGATATGCACACAGGTGAGAACATGGGTTTGTCTGGCAGCCGGGGACTGGGACCTTTATGAGTGTCTTGGAACAGCTCTGAGGGGCACCTGTTAGAAACTGCTTCTTGATGGCTTAGATTTGGAGGCAGCTACTAGCTCCCAGCTGAAGGGAGGTGTCGAGCCTAATAAAACAGACCTTTTTCCTGGCCGGCCTGAGAGTTTCAGAAGGGAAGGATGACTATCTTGGCTGTGGTTTCCTTGATCCAACTGTTGGCTGAAGAAGAAAATCTTAGGGAAAATTAAAGGGAGTCAAACCAAGCCCCACTGAAATCTTTTGGGAAAGTTTTTGAGGTTTTCTGCAATGTTAACCTTGAGTTTACATAGGCTTAGTGCCATGTGTTGCTCTGGGTACTTTGTATGAAGTATTTCATTTAGTCCTTAGAAAACTTTTCTAAAGCATATAAATTAATGTTGTTTCCATTTTAAAGAGGAGAAAACTGAGTACAGTTTGATAATCGCACCAAGCTATACAGGTAGAAAATGAGTCATTTATTCAAAAATATTAAGTAGCTACTACTTCCTCCCCCTTTCCATAGCTATCCCCCCTTTTCCAACACGCAGGTAACTGTTTTAGGCCCTAAAGAAACACCTGGGTACAGGGCAGACAAGGCTCTTGCCTTCCTACACTTTAGGTTTTTTTCATATAGTGGTAAATGTTCTGAAGAAACCAGCTGATGAGATTGGGAATGATTGGGAGAGGATTATATCTCTGGATGTTTAAAAGGGAATTATACCTGATTTTATAGATTCGAGTTCACGATGGGGGATACTCTTGTCTTTTTTTGTTGTGTTATGTTGCGGGTTTGAAAACACTGTGGAACATATTTATTATACCTTCTTCTAGGAGATCCAAAACAGGATCTTGCTTATGAACGTCAGTATGAACAGCAGACCTACCAGGTGATCCCTGAAGTGATCAAAAACTTCATCCAGTACTTCCACAAAACTGTCTCAGACTTGATTGACCAGAAGGTGTATGAGCTACAGGCCAGCCGGGTCTCTAGTGATGTCATTGACCAGAAGGTATATGAGATCCAGGACATCTATGAAAACAGGTACTGGCCCTTGACTGAAATGACCCTTTCCAGGGAGGGGAGGGGAGTGGTTTAGTGACACAAAAAGCGGTGATGTTTAATCATTTTCTTTTCGTTAAGAGATTGCCCATAGGGTTTCTGTGACTACTTTGGGCTAGAGATAAGTTAATGTACTGGACTTTCCCCAAAACTTGTACAAGACCCAAAATGATAACATTGCTGTCAATAACTATAATAACATCAATGTATATGGCCCGTATAGATCAGGCAGTGTTCAGAGGTTTTTTCCTGTTTACTTATTTACCCTACATAGTAAAGTAAAGTAATTACTATTGTTTTTCTCATTTATGTGTAAAGAAACAAAGCGTAAGAAGGATAGGTCACATCGTTAGTGAAGTGGGTATGCTAAGTTTTGAACCAGCATAATCTGATAGAAGAGCCTAATTTCTAAAATGAACCATGCAACTTTTTTTTTTTTTTTTTTTTTAAAGATCTATTTGGGCCTCCCGGGTGGCGCAGTGGGTTGAGTGCCGCGCTGCGAGGCTGTCTGCAGCCTCTGCAGTGCCAGTTTGATCCCCGCCGGCTGGAGAGAATCCCACACGACGCAGCAGACCTCTCCTGTCGCGCCCACTGCTCCCCTCAGCAGTGTATTTCTGTTGTCTGCCTGTTTTGCTCCCTGCTCTGTCTCTGGTGAATACTCTCACCCTCCTGCGCCTCTGGCCTGTACCCCAGCTCTTGTATAAAAATAAATCTTAAAAAAAAAAACACATTTATTTGTGCATACAAGAGCTGGGGTACAGGCCAGAGATGCGGGGGGTGAGAGGATTCACCAGAGACAGAGTGGGGAACAGAACAGGCAGATTGACCGAAGTACACTGCTGAGAGGAGCAGCGGGTGAGTCAGGAGAGGTCTGCTGCGCCTTGCGGGTTGCTCCTTGGCTGGCCAGGGATTGAACTTGTGCTGCAGAGGCTGTGGACATAGTGCGGTGCTTAGCCCCTTGTGCCATCAGGGAGGCCCCTAAACCATACAACTTCTCAATGCATAACAAGCTTTAAGGTTCTGAGGGGTGGTTCTAGGATAATGGACATTGGATGAGAGGTCAGTTGTGGTTGGGGTAGTCAGGAAAGTCTTCACCAAGGAAATAGAGGTATGGGTGGACAAAGCAATAATTAAAGGTTTATTGGGTCAGTGAGTAAGAGTTAATTCCTTGAACTGTATTTTCTTCATCCCTGAAGTCTTTTGGTTAGAAGCATATAGGCCAGCGCTGTCCACCAGAAATATAATGCTAGTTTTATGTAACCAAGTGTTTTCATCTCTATGTGGAAATAAGAGAAATTGATTTATAGAGAATTAATTTTATTCACTGTATCTAAAATACTTTGTGTAACTTTAAATTTTTAATGAGATTTTAACTTATTTTTCCATACCATGTCTTCTAAATCCCATATTTTATTTAAATTCCGTATTTTAAATATAGCTAAAGTTCATGGCATTCAGGCAGGAGATGATCTTGAAGAGCTTAGTGGGTACCTATGATACCCATCACTGTGTTAAGACAGGCTCTCTGATTTGCATCCAGAAAAAATATTTTTGGTAATTAGGAATGGTGATGGTTGTAATGACATTTAATGTGGTGATCATTTTACAATATATAAAAGCATCAAATGAATATGGTGCATAAGTTAAAGAACAAAAGTTGTGTCAGCTGTAGAAGTTGGGTTGAGAAAAGTTGTGGCCATGGAGGGCCCTGGCTCCGATTCTGTTTTGGGGACATTTTGTCCTGTATGAGCTTGAGTCCTTACCTGTGAAATGTGAGCGCTGCTCTCAGGTCTTTCCTGTTTTAAAATTCTCAAATTTTTCTGCTTGGTTTTCAGCTGGACTAAACTGACCGAAAGATTTTTCAAGAATACACCTTGGCCTGAGGCTGAAGCTATTGCTCCACAGGTTGGCAATGGTAGGTGTGAAACTCTGTTCCGTGCGCTGGAGGGGATCCTATGACTGGGGGCTGTTCAGAAGCTCAGGATGGTCTGTGTCTGTTGTGCTCATCGTTTCATTTTCTGAATAACTTGCTGATTAAGGCTGAATAAAATATGAAGAGGGGACAGCTCTATCACGTATGGTAAAAGTTGAGTCTAAGATCTTTGTCTTATTTTGTTTCCATTTCTCTGTGCAGTGTTGGGGGTCACTACAACCACTCTGAAATGGGATGTCTGGCCTCTTCCTACTGTCAAATCTTCTGATGGTTTCTTACATGTGGTGTGAAGGAGGAGGATCTGCCTCAGGCTTGTGTGTGTGGAGATCCGTCTGGCACAAGACGGAAAAGACCGTTCTTTCCCATTCCTCTTTGCACCCTTGATTTCTTTCAGCAGAGTTGTGTATTTTTCAGTGTACCAGACTTGATATAGCTAACATTTTTTTTTTAGTTTCTACTTTTATCATCATTATGGTTTTAGAACTCACTGTCAGATTATTTTCTGTGTTCAGACTTTATGCTCTGTTAAATATTTTGCCTCTGAAGGTGTAATGTCGTGTATACTAAGAGCAGTAACTGTCTTCTCTGTGTGTGTGTGTGAGAGAGAGAGAGATAGAGAGACAGAGACAGACAGGTAGGGTTTCACAGAATGTTAGTATAAAAGATTTGGTAAAATCCCCTTCACTCCTATCCCCACGCCTTCAATTTTACTTCTTCTCTGGAAACATCTAGTATTAACATTTCTGGTTTATCCTTTCTGTGATACTCTGTGCATGTTAAACAAAAAGGAGTAATTTCTTTTTTCATAGAATAAAATATTTTTAGTCCTCTTTTTAACAAGTTAGCTTTTAGAAAGTATTCTGCATGCCCCGGATTCCCAAAACTACCTCCCAGGCTTGGTGATTTGCTAAGAGAACTCACAGGACTCAGCGTATAGTTCTGCCACAGCTATGAGGGTGCCCAGCAAAAGGCTACAGAGCAAAATCATCACAGGGAAAAGGTGGACAAGGATGAAGTCCAGAGGAAGCCATGGGGTTTCATGGGGTTGCATGGAGTATGCTTTGTTCTCACACTAGGAATTGTGACACCGGAAGTACCAGAGAAGCTTATCTAGGTTCCCAGTTACCAGCTGGGGACCACCTTCTCTGGCAGGGCTTCCTAAGGACGGTGGTTTCAGACGGGCTGTGTAATTCTCCTGCTGCCAGCATGATTTTTCCCTTTGTTCTTTCCAGCGGTTGTATAATAGTAGTAGGATAAGTTGCTTAAAGTAGGATTTCTAAGTCAAGGATTATCCATGTATTTGCAGTTTCGATAGTGTCAGTGCCTTCGTGGCGCTATTGCTGTTTACTTAGGTGCTGGTGTATTTAAGCAACCAGATGGCAAAAGTCTAGTTGAAGGGAAACAAGTCTGGATATGAGATAAGAGGTTGAATGAGTAAAATAAAAAGTAATAAATTTTCTCGATGCCTGTGTCCTTGGGGTATAAATCTTAGAGTTTAAATGTTGTTTAGTCTTTAAAGTGTTTATTCCTTTATTTCCCCAAAGGACCAAGACTGGCAGAAGATCTAGTTTTGTGGATTACTAAAGGACCCTTCTCCCTCTGCCTTCTTTTTCAGATGCTGTTTTCCTGATATTGTACAAAGAATTGTACTACAGGCACATATATGCCAAAGTCAGTGTGAGTGTCTAAATGTTGCTGGCAGGTTTTAAACTGCTGCTTGTTGTCCCGGGTCACAGTCATTAGCTCATGTTGCTTCAGTGTTTTCAGAGGGAGCTGCAGGTTTCCCAGCATTCTCCTAAGAGGCGATGGGGGGAATGGCTGAGTGCAGAGCATTGAGCATCTGTCTGAGACAAACTATAACGCTGCAGAGCCTGTCCCTTTCTTATTTCTCCATCCCGCAGTTCTTGACTGAGCACCCGTCACATGCTCTGGGCTGCCGGCTGCCATCTTTATTGTTCTCCAGTGCCTTCTGCCTCTGCATTGTCACTGGGCCTCTTGCCCTCTAGACCTACATGAAGCTGTCTCTGTGCCAGGTGCAATGCTTGACCCTTCCACACATGTACATGTCTCTGATCCTCACATCATCCCTGCACAGATGGCACAGAGGTACAAAGAGGTTGCTGCTTCTCAAATTCATGCAGCTAGGAAGTGGCACAAATCCTTGAGACCAGGCGTGTCTTATTGTGACACCAGCGTCCTTTCTACCACATTCTCCTGACTCTGGGCACTTGTTCTAATCTTCTTTTCTTGATTTCTAAAGTTTAGAACCCCATGTCTCTTTTTTTTTTTTTAAGATTTATTTATGCACACAAGAACTGGGGTATAGGCCAGAGGTGGCGGGGGGGGGGGGCGGTGAGAGGATTCACCAGAGACAGAGTGGGGAACAGAACAGGCAGATCGACTGAAATGCAGCGGGTGGGTCAGGAGAGGTCTGCTGCGCCATGTGGGTTGCTCCCTGGCCGGCCGGGGATCAAACTCGTGCTGCAGAGTCTGCGGATTGCTTCGTAGATTGTGTCTTAACCCCTTGCGCCATCAGGGAGGCCCAGAGTACCCCAGGTCTCTTAAAAACACCGTCTGTATTCTTTACATAACCAATGACATAAACCTTTCTATCTTTAGCCTGTCTCTAGCTCTAGACTTGTATATCCAGCTACCTGCCAGCATCTCTACTTGACTGTCATGTTGTCCTCTCAAGTTCAGCATGCCCCAAACGCGTTCTTATTTTCCCTCTGAACCTCTTCCTCCTGGGTGTATCATCTCAATAAATGGAGCCACTATTCGTTCAGCTAGACTGAAAACCTTGGCATTCTTGACTTTGCTCTCACTTGACATCTGCCTTGTAGCAAACCATATTCAGCTCTATCTTCAACATATTATTTGAAATCAGTTACTTCCTGTCACCACCATTGCTGCTGCCCTATTTCAGGTCATTATCTTCTCTTGCCTAAACTATATGGCCATTCACCTGGTGTCAGTGTCCACTCTTGCCCAATTAAACTTATTCTCAACCCTTTCAAAGCAGAGTCTCATCAGATCTCTCCCTCACAATCCTACCAGAGCATCCCGTCATGTTTAGAATAAAATCCCAGGTCTTAGTAAAGGTCCTGCTTAATCTGGCTTCTGGCTCCCAGTCTCATTTCTTATAGCATTCCCTCTCCCAAACTCCTGGCCATTTTTAGTGGCACTTCGGAGCAGAAAACACTAGCTGATACTGTATTTTTAATTTGGCATAGGCTTTTTCTTATTCACTGCTATAATCTGGTGCCCGGTTGTTGACATGTTGTTAGAGTGTACGGGTGCGCATATGTGCATGCGTACATGCGTACATGCATACCTCACCTCTCTTCCCTCTAAGGACTACTTGAACTGATGCCTGCCTTGGCACAGAGCTGCCATCGTGGTGGTAGCTATAGGAGTTCCTGATGCCACAGTCTCACAGGGGCTATGTCCTGGCGTCCCAGTGAGAGTTCTGGCTCCCTTATGTAATGACAAGTAAAGATGCTGCCATCCTACTTCCCCTCATTGATACTGTGGGGGTAGGCTAAGAATCCAGGCAGCTGTATAAATGGCTTCTTAGGGTCATGGTATCAGAACCCCCAGGTGGTGTGGATTTGCTGGCCCATTGACCTAGATCCTTGTCTGACACTGAAAGACCTCCACATTCCTGGCTGATTGTAGCCAGCGCAGCCTCGTTTGCTCTTACTCCCCAGCCTTCAGGCACCATGATTAATTAGTACTGGTTTTCCTGAAACACTTTCCCTTCTCTAGTGCTTTTCCAGATGCCTTTCTGTGTGTGGCTAAGGTTGCCGCCATGAAATCTGGCCCTTGTTCTGTATATAGGGCCCCTTTGACCTTCCATGGCACTTACTGTCTTCCCACTCACTCGAGTATTCTTTGCATAATGGGGAGAGGGCAATTTTATTTGCGCCTGTTTTCAGGCTTCATGGTAGGCCATGAGTAAAGCACATTTAAGAAAATATCCGTGTTCTGATGTCTCTGTTCTCTCTATAGGGGGGACCCTCCTTGGAGCAGAGGTTTGAATCCTATTACAACTACTGCAATCTCTTCAACTACATTCTTAGTGAGTCTGAGGTTTGGCCCGGGAGTGAGGTTATGAGGAGGCCGAGGCTTGACCTTCAGCCTTTGTAGCAGAATTTCAGTGTGCAGGTGGGAAGAGGGGTGGTCTTATGATTTAGTCCTTTGAAGGGAGAGATTATAAAATGCCTCTGTAGCCTTACTGATGAGCACTATCGTTGCCTTGAGACTGACTACTGTGGTCCCTGCAGATGCCGATGGCCCTGCTCCCCTGGAACTGCCCAACCAGTGGCTCTGGGATATAATTGATGAGTTCATCTACCAGGTATTTGATCAACTGTGCCATGATTTGAAATGATTGGTCCAAGCAAGGAGCAGGTGTTAACCATTTTTTGTTGTTAACAAGACACCTGGTATAAAAAATGTCCCCATTGTCATGCAAAGTATTCCATGGCAGTGATTTCCCCTGTTGTGGTTTTCTGGAGTCAGTGATGTCTGAGATCTCCAGAAGGGAACTTGGAAGTCAGGTTAGTTGAACTCAGGACTTTACCAAGTTCTTACCTAACGGCGAGAGGTGACCTGGCAGGAAAATACCACAGGCTTCATCCACAGGCTTTGGTGTAGGGAGAATTGGGGGCTACCCCGGTGTGCTCATAACAGTCACTTGTTGCTGAAGCTCTTCAGACCTCACTTTCCTCACCTGTGAAACAGAAATGTTGTATCTCTCAGTTGAGGGAGTAGTTACTTGATATCTACTAGATTGGAATAAAGTAGAACATTGTCAAAACAGAAATATTACTTTCTCGAGAGCACTGTTGCTGAAGGTCCATGAAGAACAGAGCCATGTGTCCATTAGAGTAGTGAGGGAGAAGCTCGAGTTTTGTTAGTCACTAACCCTGGACCTTGAGCAAATTAATCATGTTGTGTCTTGATTTTTTTTTTTTTTTAAGATTTCTTTATGCATGTAAGAACTGGGGTACAGGCTAGAGGTGGGGGGAGGGTGCGAGAGGATTCACTCAGAGTCAGAGTGAGGAACAGAACAGGCAGACGAAATGCACTGCTGAGGAGAGCAGAGGGCGAGATAGGAGAGGTCTGCTGTGCTATGTGGGACCCTCGCCAGCCAGCCGGCCAGGATAGAACTGGTGCTACAGAGGCTGCGGACAGCTTCACAGCTTGCTGCTTAACCGCCTGCGCCACCAGGGGAGGCCCTAAGATAGCTTCTTGAAATTAAAAATAATGTACAAAGGCCTCCCCTGGTGGCGCAGTGGTTGAGTGCTAGGTTGCGAGGCTGCGTGCAGCCTCTGCAGCTCCAGTTCGATCCCCGGCCACTGGCGAGGGTCCTACAAAAAAAAATAATAATAATGTATAGGGGGCTTGGCATCTGTAGATAGAGCAGTCAAACCCTTGCCTTTCCCCGGCCCGGAGTTCTGGACACCGCCCACCTTCAGCCTTGTGCGCGCGGCTGTCACTCTGGGTTCTGGGCCAATGCTCCATCTTGCCCTTTTCCTCTCCAGTTTCAGTCGTTTAGTCAGTATCGCTGTAAGACTGCAAAGAAGTCAGAGGAGGAGATTGACTTTCTTCGTTCCAATCCAAAATCTGGAACGTTCACAGTGTCCTCAATGTCCTTCATTCCCTGGTGGACAAGTCCAACATCAACCGGCAGTTGGAGGTGTACACCAGCGGAGGTGAGTGCCGCGGGCCCTCCGGCCCACCTCAGTGGAGACTGTGGGCCGTGAGCGCGGGGAGGTGCCACCTCCTAGGAGATGCCCGGCTGCAGCTGCTCCGTGGTGTTGGGTGTGAGCCGTAGCCTGAGTGCTGAGCTGAGGGGCTGCTGAGCTCGGGAAGTCTGTTGGCCGGCAGGCTGCACCAGTGCTTCCTGAGGTGTGACTTTGTCAACATTTCTACATCTCCAGGACTTCTGTTCAGTAAGAGATCAAACTTTTTGGTGTCAGGGTCACTTTATATTCTTAAAAGATTGAGAATCATAAAGTTGCTCTTTGTAAGAAATGTTTTTCAGTTAGAAGAGTGGCGTGTTTACAGATCTTTCATGTCTGACTTCAGCGAAGAGTTGAATTCTCATTTCTGCTTCCACAGCCAACCTGTTGTAATACACTGTTCAGGTTGAAGACTGAGGGGAGTCTGGCCTCGCAGACTTTAGTTGGGGAAGGGAAGAGTATCTCAGCTGCCTCCAGGTGGTGCTTTCCTCCAGGTTGGTTGCAGTGAGGAATCTGAAATCCAATCAGTGAATTTTTACTCAGGGTTGTTAGTCTGTCCTGCATCTTCAGTGGATCTTTTACCCAAGCATGTTTGCAAAAAGTACTGGTTCCTTGACTTCCAAAGATTTTCCAAATGTTGACATGTTTTCTTATAATTTTTAAAAACCACTTTTGTTATTTAACCTCGGACATCATCACTTCAGTCTTTATTAGAGACTGTTGGGCTTGTAGTGTCAAGTAAAAGTTTTATAAAATTGCTGATTGTGGCTTCAAAGCTCCAATATTTTGATGGCAGCAAACATTGTTTTCATTGAAGTGTAACAGACTCGCTCATTCACGTTTGAGAGAAAGTCTGCTGTATACCCAAGTCAAAGTATATGGTTGTGTGTTAAATGTTCTTTCACATAAAAGTGGTGTTTTATGGAAAAAATGGGGTTTTTTTAACTGTAGTGCCGGTGAAGGGCTCAGTGACTGCCAGGAGAGTTTGTTGCCTGACTTATGACCAAGTTGTGGTCGTTTCACCCAGCGCTGTCTCTGCATCACCAGTGCCAGTGTCAGCTCGGCGGGAGAGGCAGAGAGCTGCTTAGTGCTAGTAGGACAGTAGCCTTGACCTCGCGGGACCTAGTGAAAAGAGGGGCTCTCACGTAATCTCAGGTGTGTCGGGACCCTTCCCCACAGTGGACTACCATCTCCTCGCAGCTGTTGGTAGGTTTAGGGTTAGCCTCAGGTCAGGCATGCTGGTTTTGGTATTTCTTTAAGGCAGACCTGCTCCCTGTTGCAGAAGGTTGTACGGCCTGGCGGCAAACAGTTCACAGTGACGTTCACAGGTCAAGCTTGTCTGTGTTCTCCTGCCCCTGCTGCAGCACTGGCTGTTTCTGTCTCTCTCAGGAGACCCCGAGAGCGTGGCCGGGGAGTATGGGAGGCACTCCCTCTACAAGATGCTGGGCTACTTCAGCCTGGTGGGACTTCTGCGCCTGCACTCGCTGCTGGGGGACTACTACCAGGCCGTCAAGGTGCTGGAGAATATTGAACTGAACAAGAAGGTAAGTTCCTGTTTGCCCGGCCCCTCCTCCTATGCCTGGAGGCCGGCTGCTTGGGGAGAAGTTTGTTAGGGCAGATTGTAGGGAGAAGAGAAGGGAGATGAGAACTGGGGAACCATTACAGGGACAATCTTAACCTGGACAAGGTTGTTTCTCTTTGCCGTTTGCATTTAAACTGCTGTGCCGTCTTTGGTTCTGTTTGCAGAACAGAATGCTAATGGCGGATTTTTACTATTCAGCTTTCGCTAATCAGAAAGACTGGATAAGGCTCAGTTCTGAGATGATACAGGTACTGTTACAGTTAGCTGTGGTAGTTTTTTCCTAGCTATTGAAAAATAGGTACCTTTTTGTTTGATGTGTTTCTCTTATTTTTCTGTTCCTTTTTCGGGCATATTTGAAAAACCAAGGAGTAGAAAGCAAGGGAGAAAAACTGAGGTGTAGACGGTTTTAAAGCTGATAGAGATTCAGGGTTGCCTGGTCTGGTTCCTTTCTATCATAGGTTAGAAATGGAGGCCTCGGGCCACGTGGCTGCGCTTGGCTTCCTCTGGGTGGGAGCGCCCAGTGCTTCCATCTCAGCTAGCTGTAAGCTCCATGACTTTCCTCTCCTCTCTGGGATGAATGAGTGTGTCTTCCACTCCCTCCCACAGAGCATGTATTCTCGCGTGCCCGAGTGCCAGGTCACCACATACTATTATGTTGGTTTTGCGTATCTGATGATGCGTCGCTACCAGGATGCCATCCGCGTCTTTGCCAACATCCTCCTCTACATCCAGAGGACCAAGAGTATGTTCCAGAGGACCACGTACAAGTATGAGATGGTAAGGGGCCTCTGCCCAGAAGACTCCTTGGCACCTGTGCCAGAAGTTTTTGGTAAATCCCAAATATAGTTTTGCTATTTTATATGTTTTTCAACACGATGATTTCCCCCTGGCTAGCCTGCTCTTAAGAGTCTGTTGGGGTGCCTGTTACTTCAGAGGATAGCACCTTGATAACGGGGACAGTCTCTTCTGTTTCCTTTAATTCCTCAATAGTACCTGCATTGGTTTGTTTGGCAACAGTTTGCTAAATGGCCACTGGATTGTAGGTGTTAAATGAATTACATGTGGTTACTGTCCACAAACAGTTTGCCATCTGGGAAGGTGAGTTCAAGAAGCCTAGCGTGGGGTGGAACTTTCTAGGCAGAGCAAGGTGTTGAGACCAGAAATCAGCACAGTAAACCATTTTGACCTGAGGGCAGGACAGAAGTTGAATCGGGTGTTAAGATTCTAGGAGTATAGCCTTATTACCCAGATAGAGTTTTGGGTCTTTGTAGGCACTGAGGTACCACCAGAGGTTTCTGGGTAACTGGAGGAGTGACCTGTGTGGGGCAGTGGAGGATGCAGAGGGCAGCTGAGGAGGATCTGGAATTGGGCCAGAAGTTGAGTGGCGGGAGGACTGGGGAGGTTGACGGTGCGAGACAAAGGGGCTTGTCGTGAGGACCTCAGGAAGTGCAGTTCTGAACCTCTGCCATCTCCTGGCCCCAGATTAACAAGCAGAACGAGCAGATGCACGCGCTGCTGGCCATCGCGCTCACCATGTACCCCATGCGCATCGACGAGAGCATCCACCTGCAGCTGCGCGAGAAGTACGGGGACAAGATGCTGCGCATGCAGAAGGGGGACCCGCAGGTCTACGAGGAGCTTTTCAGCTACTCCTGCCCCAAGTTCCTGTCACCCGTGGTGCCCAACTACGACAACGTGCACCCCAACTACCACAAGGAGCCCTTCTTGCAGCAGCTGAAGGTGTTTTCCGATGAGGTGCAGCAGCAGGCCCAGCTCTCAACCATCCGCAGCTTCCTCAAGCTGTACACCACCATGCCCGTGGCCAAGCTGGCCGGCTTCCTGGACCTCACCGAGCAGGAGTTCCGCATCCAGCTTCTTGTCTTCAAGCACAAAATGAAGAACCTGGTGTGGACCAGCGGTATCTCCGCCCTCGATGGCGAGTTTCAGTCCGCCTCTGAGGTGGACTTCTACATTGATAAGGTAAGCTGCCCCAGCTGGCTCTCCGGGCGCTCTGCCTGTCGTCGGGCAAGCGCCTGCAGTCCCGCAGTCATGGCTGTGGGCGTTTGGCAGGTAGTAAGGATGCTCCATTCACATATGTTTGGGCTCCTCACAGGGACTTCAGCTTGTCTTAAACCAGTGGACTGGCATCTTTCATCTTTTCTGGAATATTCTTAGTATCTCTTCAATTCTATTTTTGTTGTATTCTCCCTTGGAAGTTCTTATTTAATGTATGTTAGACTCCACGTCTCCCAAGCCCTTCGTCCATCCTTTTTTCTCTTATATTTTGGGTAATTTTTTTTTTTTTTTTTTTAAGCTTTATTATTTATTTATTTGTTTGTTTATACATACAAGCACTGGGTACAGTCAGAAGTGCGGGAGGGTGAGAGAATTCACCAGAGTGGGGAGCAGAGCAGGCAGAAGGATCGAAGCACACTGCTGAGGGGAGCAGCGGGCAGCAGGAGAGGTCTGCGTGCCATGTGGGACCCTCCTTTGGTGGCTGGGGAGCAGCCGGGGATTGAACTGGCGCCGCAGAGGCCGCGGGCAGCTTCGCAACCCAGCGCTCAACCGCTGCGCCACCGGGGAGGCCCTATTTTGGGTAATTTTTAGACTGTTTTCTGATTTTAATTCATCTCTTCAACTCTTTTTTTTTTTTTTTTTTTTTTTTTTTTTTTTTTTTTAGAGGCATGTTTTATTTATTTATTTATTTGTTTGTTTGTTTTTGTTTATACATGCACTGGGTACAGTCAGAAGCGCGGGAGGGTGAGAGAATTCACCAGAGCCAGAGCGGGGAGCAGAGCAGGCAGAAGGACCGAAGTACACTGCTGAGGGGAGCAGCGGGCGGCAGGAGAGGTCTGCGCGCCATGTGGGACCCTCCTCCGGTGGCCGGGGAGCAGCCGGGGATCGAACCGGCGCCGCAGAGGCCGCGGGCAGCTTCGCAACCCAGCGCTCAACCGCTGCGCCACCGGGGAGGCCCTCTTCAACTCTATTTTTGCTTTTCTTTTTTTTTTTTCAATTACAATGCAGTGTTTCCTTGTGGACTTGGTTATTTTTTACTATGTATGGTCCATTTTCCTTGAAAAACTACTTGTTGGTATTGTCTAAAGCACCGGCTGAATGTTCATTCCCCTAGAGGGGATTGCTTTGCCTCTTCCCAGAGCCTGTGGTGATATTCTTGCTCTGGTCCCTCGGTCGACTGAACTCATAAACCTGTGGTCCCGGCCAGCCAGGTGGCAGGCCCTGCTGCCCACGGGGACGGAGGCTTTGTCCTGGCATCTCAGGGATGGTTGCTGTTCTCCATGCTCCTCCCTGCTGGGCTAGCCTTGCTTGGCGTCAGGAAAGGGGTGGCAGTTCGCTGCTGCTCGTTTGTCTTTACTTTGAGGGTGGAGTCCTTGGGTCTTAGCATGACAAGGAGACACTTTTGTCAGGCTGCCTCTCCACCCCAACTTCTGCGCCTGGCCTTAGAGTAGAGGGGCTTATGTGCTTTGCTTGGAATGGTTTCTGTTTTCTCTCAAATAGTTCTTTATTCTCCTCTCAGCTTGTGGGTACTGTTAAGAGATTTTAAAAAAATAATTTATCCTGCATTTTTGTTTCAGAAAGTGCGTTGGTGTAAAATACTGAGTTTCTTGACAGTTTTTTAGAGTAATTTTTCCCCCCGACATCTAATTTTTTAATTCATTTATGCATGCAAGAATTGGGGCCCAGGCCAGAGGTATGAGGGGTAAGAGGACCCTCCAGAGACAGAGTGGGGAGCAGAACAGGTGGATCTACTAAACACACTGCTGAGGGGAGCAGCGGGCGAGACAGGAGAGGTCTGCTGCGCCATGGGGGGATCTCCCTGGCCGGGGGTCAGACTCGTGCTGCGGTGGCTGGCAGTAGCCCGGCAACGCCAAGACTCTAAGCCCTGCGCCACCAGGGAGGCCCTTAGATGTAATTTACTCAGCAACCGTCTCAACTGCCAGTGATTCCACAGTGTTCTGTCACCTCAACAGGAAACGACCCGAAGCAGTCCTGCCAGTTCTCCCTCTCCTGTACCCTGGCGGCCATGCACCTGCTCCTCGCTCCCTGGATTTTTTTTCCTTTTTTTTCAAATTTTTTTTTTAAGATTTATTTATTTATGCATACAAGAGCCTCGTATAGGCCAGAGATGCAGGGACTGAGAGGATTCACCAGAGACAGAGTGGGGAACAGAACAGGCAGACTGACTGAAATACACCGCTGATGGGAGCAGCAGGCAAGACAGGAGAGGTCTGCCGCGCCATGTGGGTTGCTCCCTGGCCAGCCGGGGATCAAACTCGTGCTGCAGAGGCTGTGGATTGCTTCATAGTGCAGTGCTTAACCCTTTGCGCCACCAGGGAGGGCCCGGCTCCGTGGTTTTGCTAGCTCTTGCTGTCTTGGCTGAGTGGGGTCAGGAACTATGCAACCCTTCTTGTGTGGCTTTCGTCGAGCATTTTCCGGATTTCATCCAGGTTGGAGTGTCCACGCTGTCCTTGCTGTGGCCGAATGTCATCGTATCATGCGGCTACACCATGCTTTGTCCTTTCATTAGTTGGAGGAGAGTGTTTTCACTTCTGGGCTCTGTGGCTCACGCTGCCACGTGTGTGCATCCAGGTTCCTGCGTGAGCGCGCTTCCCGGGGTGTGTCTACTGTGCGGTGCTGGGTCACCTTGGGCCCGGTGTTGTTTGAGATCACGCTTTTCGGGATGAACTGATTTATCTCCCGCAGAATCATGTCAGCGACTTCAAGTGCTTTTCCACTTTGTTCCCCAGTGCCTGCCTTGTCCCTTCTCGAGCAGTGTCACTGACCCGCCTGCACCGTCGCCTCTCGGCGGCCAGCTGCACCGCGCCCTCAGCGGTCTTCAGTAAAACACTTCTCCAAAGTAGCAGTTCGGTTATTACAAATAAAATTTTGCCGTGAGGATGTATTCAGGTTAAATTAATATGTTATTAATGTCAACGAAATGATTTAAAGCCCCTATGTGATAAAGGGTTTTTCCCTTTGTTTTAATCAAAAAGTTTCAATTGCAGTTTGGGTTTGGGTTTGTTCCTCTCACTGGCTCAGGCTCTTCCTTGGCCAATAGCCATGCTCTGGGTTTTGTTTTCACTTGTATTTTTTCATCCTTGACTTGAAAATTCCCATCAGATTTCAGGATGCTTTTGGGTCGTGGCCTAGATTATATACAAATTCACAAGTTGAACAAAATATTTGGAGCTAAACAAATTTTAAAAATGGATTCATTTACAACCTTAATAACAGTGCTAGAGAATAGAATGCTGTTTTAAATGATTTTATTGTCAGATGAGTCATGTTCATTGAAAAGGACTGGAAAATAAAAATAAATTGAGCTAACAGGAAGAAAATAAAATTCAGCCATCTGGAAAGAAAGCTGCTATTAACTGGTAATGCTCTCCAGAGGGCCCCCCCACTCCCTGCTTTTGAAAAGGCTCTGTAAGGGCCCGTCTTGCTCTTCGTGATGACTTGCACACCCATGGCTGCTTCACCTCGTTCTCATCTCTGACTCTGCTTTTCCCACAGGACATGATCCACATCGCAGACACCAAAGTGGCCAGGCGCTACGGGGACTTCTTCATTCGGCAGATTCACAAATTTGAGGAGGTGAGAGGTCTGAGCGTGGTGTGTGGGCGGGGGCAGAGGTCAGGAGGTGGGTGTGGAGTTTATTTCTCATACCTGTTTCTATTAAAGCATGAAATTGGCCCTTTAAGTTTCTGAGCGAGGCTGGCTGGCTGCTGGGGTTTGGGGCATGGGGAGGAGCCTGGTGGAGTTGCTGTGTCAGCCCTCTCTGGAACATCTCTCTCCAAGATCTTCCTCTGCGTGTGGCCAACTCTCCTTTCCCTCCCTAGGATTTCCTAATAAGGGTGGATTCGATGCCTGCTCTCACCCACCCCTCCCCATCTGGCTGTTCTGCCCCAACCTAGTCAGGTCTGGCCAGTTCCCTGCAGGCAGCAGACAGGAAGCTCTGTTTTGACAGACTTGGTGCATTCTGCGTCTGGGCCTAGGAGAGGTCGTGCGGGTCAAACACTACAAGGGTGTGGGTCACTTCATGTCCATAGCTGGGAACGCTGCACCCTGGGGCTTTGCGTCTTCCAGCAGAGGTCCCTGCTAGACTAGTCTGTGCCCCAGGCTCCCCCTGTGGGATGGGGTATAGCCCTACCAAGTCTAACCTTTAGTTAGACTTGTCCCTTTTCTGTCTATGAAAGGGGTAGATCCATACCAGGCATGTGTTGTTGAGCATAAAGGGTGGGTGGAATTGTGCACTGATTGTGCTGGGTTAAGGTGGAGGACCAACTTCACGCACACAGAGTAGACACCCACACCCATGTCAGACGACCCCCCCGCCCCCCACCTCAGAGGGGCAGCCTGGGGTCAACCTGGTGACCCCTTACACCATAGGGAAGGTCTGGTGAAAATTCTGACATTGCTTTTCTTTTCTAGCTCAATCGAACCTTGAAGAAGATGGGACAGAGACCCTGAGTAATCATCGTGCAGCAGTGGAGAACCCGTTTTGATATCAAACAATGATGACAACCAGGTTATAGGTGGGCAGTGTTTTTGCCACCGTGATGCCTTTGCCTTGTTCCACCATCAGCTGAGTTGAGGTTCTTTTGAATTAAGGACTGAAATGTTTTCAGTAGATCTCAGTAAAAAACTTATTTGGAGCCAGATTTGTCATCTCTTTATTGTTGCAGGGAGTCTGTGGGTGGGGCAGCAGTAATACCTAACTGCCTGTGCTTTGTGGTATTTCTCCTGACACGTCAGCTGAAGGCGTTTGATTTAGTCCCTGGTGTCCTCTGTTCCCAGGCCGTCTCACGTTCGTATTCCTCGCACCTCACGGGAGTCCTGTGAGCTTTCAGCTGCTTTCCGTTGTGCTAGGCAGTGGGAATGCTGGGTATCGGAAAGAAACGACTGAACACGTCCTGCTGCCAGGGACCGTGCTAGAGGGTTCTGGGCGTTGCTTACACCTTACAGCATGGTTCAGAAGCCACACTCCCCCTTGATGAGGAAACAGACTCTGGAGTTCAGTGACAGGATCAAGGTCACAGATTTAAGCCATGCGTGTCTCCCAACAACTCCTTTTTCTTCCTGCCCTCTGCTTCCTCCACTGAGGACCTGGATGTCGTGGTGGCTTCCCCTTGGTGAACTTGCCGCTGCCCGTCTGCCAGCACCTCCACGGCCAGTTCAGCCGAGTCCTCTGCCATCCCCCCATGCCTGTGGCTTTTTTCCTATTCCCAAGCTCTGGAGTAACCAGGAAACTCAGAAGTATCTTGCCCACGTGGCATCTGCCCCCTAGGGGCTTCTCTGAGATGTCATCTTCCGTACCTCAAAACCTGTCAGCCCACACTGAGCCAATTTTGTAATGTTTTCTAACAAAGCCCAGGTAACAGCTGCAAGGGCGAGCTGGTTGTCCGGCTTCTCACCCGACCTGCCCATCAAGGATGGATGTTCTTGGAGCTGTAGCCACCATTCAGGAGTAAACCCTCAGAGCTCTGCCAGCTTGTACGCAATCTCACGCTTGAGAAAGAAGGGCTAGTGCCCGGGTTCTGTGGATGACAGAAGCTTGGAGTAGTTCCCCAGCTTGTCCGAAGTCAAGTTAGCAGGGAGCAAGCACAGGGCTGTTGTTTTCCGAACTTGTGTTTTTGCTTTTCAAAGTCCTAAGACCAGCAGCAAGAGGTGGAACCACCACAGATGCCCACGAAGATGGAGTGGAGTGACCCTAGCCCGAGGGGAGGGGTGTCCCTGGACTTGGAAGCGCAGCGCAGGCTGCTCGCAGCCTCCCCGTGACAGATCGCTTTAGACTTTGTGCTTATGGGCGTGTGGTTCCTTTTGTTTTCTGGCTACGCAGGAGCTGGGGAACATGGAGAAAGCCGCTGGCGTTGTGGGGATGACACTGGACTCCTGCTGAATTATGTTTTGCTTTGCTCTGTGGCCGCCAGCTGGTGGCCTTGCCTGAGAAGAAAGGTCCCTTTCCCTTCCCTGGTTTGTGAGGAATGGATGTGCAGGTGCCATGTGGCCCCGCTTTCAGTTTTCCCCTCGGGCACTCAGCAACCTGCCACCAGGAGCCTGCGACGGGGTCTGGGATGGCGGGCAGTGACTGGAGCTGGGCAGAGGGCTTCCTCCTTCCCCTGTTACGCTGCACCCGTCACCTGAGTGGGTGTCCGGGCAGCTCTTGAACCCAGGGCAGCCCACTTCTAAAGCCTGTACTGTCTCTGGGACTGTCCTAGAACTCACCCCCCACCTCCCAAAGGAAAGGAAACAACAGCCTTTCTGTTAATATGTAATAAGTCCAAGGATCTTAGGGCTCCTGGCAGCTTTCCAAGCACTTCACCTGTTCCCTTGCTGGGCCCTAATGAGGGGCCTGCCAAGGTTTTCCTGGCCAGTGCCAGCCAGGCCTCCTTACCCTCCCGGTGCCTGTCTGCTTCCTGCCTAAAAAGCTGCCTGCCTAGCACCATGTCCCCTGCTAGACCCACCTCTCATCGTAACTTTTTTTTTTTTTTAAAGATTATTTATACAAGCACTGGGTATAGTCCGAGGCGCGGGAGGGTGAGAGAATTCACCAGAGTCAGAGCAGAGAGTACAACATGCAGAGTGACGAAGTACACTGCTGAGGGGAGCAGCGGGCGGGAGGCAGGAGAGGTCTGTCACGCCATGTGGGACCCTCGCCCGAAGGCTGGGGATCGAACAGGCACTGCAGAGGCCGCGGGCAGCTTCGCAACCCAGTGCTCAACCGCTGCGCCACTGGGGAGGCCCAAGGATTAACCTATTTTAAATGAAATGCCAGGGTCTCAGTTCAAAGAATCTCTGGTCTGTGGTACTAAGATGATGCCAGGTCAAGGTGTGCCGAGTCTGACATGGCCTGTGGGATGTCTTAACTTGCTGGGCGACACACTACTTCAGGGGCCCAAGATCACACAGACCCTGCCCTGGGGCCATCTCTCATGGCTTGGTCCAGGTCCAGCGGCAGTGCCTGGGCAGTCCGCAGCACTTGTGAGGGGGCAGGCACAGCTGAATCCGCCTGGCACCGCCTGAGGAATGCAGGGCATTCAGCAGCTGCAGCCAACTCGCAGGGTTTTCATGCAGCTTGCCCAGAATGGAAGAAGTAAGCCCACAGTCCTCCCAGCCTCGGAGTGAGGGTGGTTATCAGAACGGGGAGTTCTGGGTGGTGCCAGTTACGGGTAGCACAGCAAGGTGTGTGGGCCAGGGCTTAGTCACACCTGCCTCTGAACCCTGGCTCCACCTACTAGCTGTGTAATCTAGGTCCATGTTACATAGCTTCTCGATGCCTCATCTATAAAATGGGGATAACTCCTGCCTCGGGTTTGCATAAGTTCTGTGACATACTGAGCTCAGTGCTGGGCCATGCTGTGTGATTAGGGAACAGAGGCCATGGTTGTTAGCTGGATGTGACCTTGGGCATCGGTCAGCTTACAGAGACCCCCGTGTGCATCAGCAGGGTTCCTTTGCCATGGAACTGTGGCTCGCAGCCCCCAGACTCACCTAGGGGCTTTCTCCACTGCCTATTCCTCCAAGAACCAAAGGCAGGCCCGAGATGGGGCAGATGCCACTTCACAGACAGGCTGAGGCACCTGGCTGGAGCAGCCCAGCCCAGAGGAGCTGGGTCTCGAACAGAGAGGTGGCAGTAGGTGTGGGGTGAGAAGGGAAGTTCAAGAGTGATTGAGCAGCTTCCAGAGCACAGGACTTGGTGGCTGGCTGGTGGAGGGGTTGGAGGAGATGCCCAGCTGGGGAGACAGTATAGCCACTCCCTGCGGTGGGGGTGGGTGGAGCAGGTTTGGACCCAGAGGCACATGAAGGTGATGAAGAACTGGATTGGCACATGAGTTTGAGGAGCCTGGAGGACATTCAGGTGGTGGTGTCCAGGGCATTAGAACTTGGACAGAGGCAGAGAACAGCTCTCCTAGTAACCTGGTTTTCAAACTCCAGGGCTGCTCCTGCACATAGACCAGCCTCTGGAGGCTTTGGTTTCCTTCTCACACAGTCTCTCTCTGCCTTATTCACTGAAGAGTGACCTTGATCCTTCACTCTGCCCACAGCTTTCTCTTCCCAGTATGACCTTGACCTTGGGTGGCTAATGACAACCTCCTAATCTCCAAAATGAGGTGGTAGAACCAGCTGCCATTGTCTGAGGACTGCAGCCCTGAGGTTCTAGATTTCTGGGTAACATTCTAGAATCCAAATGGACCAGGAGCCCCAGGGTCACCTGAGCAGAGGCAGCACCTGCAGTGAAGAGAATTTTTTGAACGAATGAATGATGACTGCAAGAGGGAGTGAATGAATGGGGATTGAATCAAGCAATGCAAGTGCACAGATGAGTGACGGATCATGCCCGACAGCCTTTCCAGAACGTGGAGGCACAGCATGAGCGCATGATGGATGTGTGGAGTGTCTGGCACAGTCTTTAGCACATGAACACTCGCTCCCTTCCTTGCTGGGCCTCTGGGGCTCTTCCTGACTGACTTTCATCCCAGCCCCGCCTGCCCTGTGCCATGGAGATGGGCTGGGGTCAGGAGCCTGCCTCCGGTGTGGGGGGGAGGGGAACGTCAGGAAGAGCCTGAGAGGGAGGCTGGGGATGGGCCAGTTTGAAGGTCTAAAGCCTGACTGGCAATTTCCTGATATTTTCTGGAGGGAGGGGCTGTGGGAAGCAGTAAATCATCCGGGTTCCCGTGCTCCACATTCCTGTCGAGCATGTAGCTGGAAAACTCAGCTTTTCTTTATTTCTGGCCCCACCCTGTCCCTATCCAGCGGCAGGACCACAATCCAGGTTTCTACCTCTGGCCCCCACCCCCACCGCCCTTCTCCTGTGGTCAGGGGACCGGGGACAGTGACCTTCTCCACTCTACCCACAGCTGGAGACTGGCAGGGAGCCAAGGTCCAGGTCCTGCCGCTGTCCGCCTAAGTCTGGGAGTCTTCAGACAAGTTGCTTAACTTCTCTGGGCACCCACTTCCTCAAACGGAGAGTGCTTCTCCCCACCATTCCCAGGCCCTGCTAAGTTGGGCCGATGAGCCCTGAGGTGCATCGAGAGTCCCGACTGCCCCCCAGGTGTGTTGTGCTGTGCACCTGTGGAGGGTGGAGGTGTGCCCTCTCTAACCTCTGCTCTATTTAGAGGAAAAGCAATTTGCTCTGGAGCTCAGGCAGAAAAGTCTCACTTCCTGTTTCAGACAGGAAACGCTGTCTCCCTCAGAGCTCTGCGTTGAGAGCCAGGTAAGTGGAGACAAACAGTCCTCTCGCCCTGCAGCCTGTCGGTGGTCAGGCCCTCTGGCCAGCCTAAGTGGCTACAGTCCCTTCCTGCCACTTGGTCCTCAGGGGAGAGGTGACCTTCCTGTGTCAGGGAGACTCCTGCTCTGCTGCAGAGCTGACCAGGCTGACTAGGAGGGGCGTGGGGAAGGTTCTTAGCTCCAGGGTTTCCACTGTAACCTCCAATTATTCCTAAACAGTCAGCATAAACAATGGGTTGGTTCTGCAGACCCGAGGCCCAGTCAGGTCCTCTCACCCCCTCCACTGTGGTCCCCTATGGAACCCCAGGCCCACTTAATCCACTCCGGGGCCTTGAATACCTTGTCAACACCTGAACACCAGTGCTGCTGGCCTCTGAAGAGGCCCCAATAGGCTGTGTTTACTGCAGTGGGAAGGGAGACGGACAGTCTCAGGAAGGACAAAGCTAGAGGCCTCCGGGGCTCCCTGGCCTGGCCTGGCCTCCCTGGGCAGGGCCTACTCAGCTCCTGGAAAACTTTGCTCACCACCTGGTGAGGTGCACACAGGCCTGCCTCAACATACCTGTGACACTCGACACGTGCGCCTGTGACACTCAACATGCCTGTGAAGCTTCTTGGTGGCAAGAGTCCTTGGCCAGGAAAGAGTGAGGCGGGCGGCCAGGGGCTCCTTTTGACAGATGCATGGCTTCCAGCAGGCTTGACTCTCTCAGGGCTGGATCCTCATCAGTAAAGGGTGGTGCGTGTCATGGGCCTGCTCAGAGTTACAGAGAGATGCTGAAGGGTAAAGCACACCACTAACAAAACCACACACGCACTGTCAGCCATTTGGTTAGTGCTCAGTCATGGTGTGCCAACAACATTATTAAGGATCCCACAGTCCAATGGAAGAGACACAGCACCCCCCGCACCAAATTACACATTGTGAGCAAATGTCCAAATGCTACCACCTCTAGGCAGCCCTCTGGAATGTACCTAAAGTCTCTTGGCAGGAGATGAGAGGCTATTTCCAGAAGCCCTGTTGCACTTTGCCCACCACACTCCTTATCATATCTTTCTATGAGTGTTCATGGAAATTGTTTACATGTCTGTCTTCCCCCTTTTGTCTACCAGTCCCTCTGGTAGGCACGTGGAAAATCCTCTCTGAAACAAAGATATCCCCCTCTAGGTTCCATTTAATTTCTTTTTTAAAAAAAAGATTTATTTATTTATGCATACAAGAACTGGGGTACAGGCCAGAGGTGGGGGTGGTGGTGAGAGGATTCACCAGAGACAGAGTGGGGAACAGGACAGGCAGATTGACTGAAATACACTGTTGAGGGGAGCAGCGGGGAGCCAGGAGAGGTCTGCTGCGCCATGTGGGTTGCTCCCTGGCCGGGGATCGAAGCTGTGGTGCAGCAGCTGTGGACAGCCCCATAGCTTGTGTCTTAACCCCTTGCACCACCGTTTAATTCTAAGAGTGCAATTCGGTGAGAAGACCTGGAGTCGGAGCGTCTGTATGAGCCTATGAGAGAAGACCTCACAGGAGGAGGTGATGTCTGAGTTGGGCCTTGAAGCCTCTGGAGGATTTGGAACAGCGTCAGTAGGCACTCCAGGGGCAGCCAAAGGAGGGGCGTGGATAGTGTGGCACAAGGAGTGGAAATCAGTAAGATGGGGTTTAGGCCCAGCTCCCCTCTGATTGCCCCTACCACCCCCTGCAAACATCCCCCTCCCTGGGCTCTGGTCTCCCCTCTCAGTGCACGTAGGGGTTTTGGTAGATCCCTTGTAAGGGTCCTTGCCAGCTTGGATGTTTCTGTGCCTTTTTTAACCTGCTTTCCTTCTGGGACAGAGCTAGTAGGCCAAGTGCCAGTATTTATTTCCCAGCTTGAGTACAGCCTCCTGACAGGTCACGCGTGGTTCTCTCTATTCTGGAGGGTTTAGTGGAGGCTGGTTTGGCTTGGGGGTAAGGATGCAAGTCACTTGTCCTGTTCCAGAAGATTTTCCAGAAGATGTGTGGGGGGGGCGTGGCACGGTCTGTAAAGAAAGGTCATGGGTGTCCGGGGCTCCAGGAACCCCAGGCCTCATGCAGGTGGGCCCGGGTCAGGCTCAGGGGCTGACCTGGCATGCTCAGGGCAAGCCTCTGGCCAGAGGACTGTGGAGGGTGGCAAAGAAGCTGCCACTTCTGCCTCCAGAGCCTCCCACGTGCCTCTTGCTGCCCCCAGGCAGGGGCTGAAGGTCCCACAAAGAGGCTATTGTCCACTGCTGGCCAGGCTGCCCCAGGGAGTAGCTCAGGGCCAAGAACTAGGCAGGACCCTGCTTCCTGGGGCACAGCCTGGGCAGAGAAGCACGGCAGTGGGACCCACAGACACTGGGCCAGGGAGAACCCTAGGATCTGACAGTCACAGGCGCTTTGAAGAACCCAATCCTAGAGTTAAAAGAGCACGGGCTGGCGCTCCAGGCTGCGCGGTGTGCTCGGCCGTTCCCTCGTCTGCCACTGGCTCAGCCTTGCCCAGATTTCTCGCCTTGCCAGCCATCAGCTGCAGTCCTGCCTGGTGCTGCTGTGGGGAAACTCCCTGTCACTCTTTGGGGCTGCTCTTGTTTTACACTCAGAGTCCATTTCCTTTCAGCAATGCCGACTAACTGCAAGCAAAATTGTGTTGGCGTGAGAAAGTGAAAATGAATTTTGTCAAGTAACTTGTTAATATTGTGACTGAGTAGATAGGAGGCGTCTGAAAATTAACCAGCAAGTGCTGAGGATTTCACTTATCCGAGGCAGCTAGAACAGTGAAACCCACAGTCAGCGCAGAATGGGGGAGCCCGGGGCTAGGCACGGAGGAGGAGGGGGGCAGGGGTGAGGAAAATGTTTGAAATTAAGTAGTGACCATCCTCCAAAAACTCTGTGGCTATATTAAAGCCATAGACTATATTTTATCCCTAGGTGGTTATTTGAAAAAGTTAAACCTGCTATTATTACACATTCAAACCAGATAAACCAATGATAGGGCAGTAAAAAAAAAAACATTTAAAAAACAAACCCAGAATGACGTGTGAAAAGGCAGCTGCTACCCCCCATCAACCTCACCCCCAGAGCCCTCCGTGACAGAATCAGGGCCAGCAGCCTGCCTTCCTGATTGCAGATACACAAGTGTGACATATGTGATGTCTGGGTGCTGGACACGGTTTGTTTTACAAAACCGGGATGCTATTTACCTGCCATTCTGTTTGCTTTTTTCACTTCTTTGGGGTTTATCTCCATGACGTTCTTCTTTTTAACAGCTGTGTGGCCTTGTCCAGCTGCTGAAACCTGATGACCCGTTCCCTTTATAATGAACACTGAGGTTGTTCCCAGCACTGTTGTTATCAAACAATAAACATCTTTGTGTGGACATCTTGGGGCCCCTGAGGCTGAGTTCCTAGAGGATAGAATCCTAGAAACAGAGATGCTGCATCAGAGGCAGACAGTAACTTTTAAAAAAGAAAAAGTTACCTTTAAAAAAAAAAAGACTTGTTTTGCTTATTTACGCACACAAGAGCTGGGATGTAGGCCAGAGGTGCAGGGGGGGAGGGGGTGGTGAGAGGACTCACCAGAGACAGAGTGGGGAGCAGAACAGGAAGATCTACTGAAACACACTGCTGAGGGGAGCAGCAGGTGAGACAGGAGAGGTCTGCTGCGCCATGTGGGTAGCTCGCTGGCTGGGAATCGAACTCGTGCTGCAGAGGCTGCAGATAGCTTCACGGCACTGTGCTTAACCCCGTGAGCCACCAGGGAGGCCCTACAGCTTTTTTTTTTTTTTTCTCCCAAAGATTTATTTATACAGGCACTGGGTACAGTCAGAAGTGCGGGAGGGTGAGAGAATTCACCAGAGCCAGAGTGGAGCAGAACAGGCAGACAGTCGAAGTACACTGCTGAGGGGAGCAGCGGGCGTGGGCAGGAGAGGTCTGCCCGCCATGTGGGACCCTAGCCAGAGGCCGGGGATTGAGCGGGCGCTGCAGAGGCTGTGGGCAGCTTCGCAGCTCAGCGCTTAACCGCTGCGTCACCGGGGAGGCCCCCCTACACCTTTTATAGAGGGAGACATTGGACTTTGGAACGGTGACACTCTTTTCCGGGACCTTCCAGCATGTCGGGGCAGTGAGAGCAGGTGTGGGGTGAAGTGGGGCCAGCTGCACCTCCCGCCCCTTGACACAGGCACATGGACCTCTGGCTGTGGGGGAGGGCGCCCCACAGGTGCAGAGTCAGGGGGACTCAGCAGCCAGAGGTTCTGGGGGCAGCGAGGAAGATCTTTCCCTGCCACAGCCTCTCCCGGTCCCCTTCCTGTTGGTTCTTTCATTTTTCTGAAATCTGCCTTGAGATCTGGGACGCATAAGCAGCAGTCCCGGTGACTCATTCCCCAATTCATTCCCTCCGTGCTCAATCTGCGACAGGGTCTCCCAGGCCCCTTGGGCTCTTCTTTTCTGTCCTGCTGTGGAGGCCCCCACCCCCAGGCTTCCTGCCAAGCCCCCTGACCCAAAGTAGGCAGGGCCCCACGGGGTGCCAGGGCTTCCTTTTACCTTGCCCCTGGGTCATGTTGGACGAAGGGCACCCAGGAGTCTCCCCAGCTCTTCCAGGCCACTCCTGGGACCCCTGCGGCCTTCACCTGGAAGAGATGAGAAGATTCTGCTAGCCAGCATTTATATATTTCACTTTCTCCCGCCACCGTCCCTTGTACCCCACTGATACCTCTCCCTCTCCCTACTCCCCCTGCCCCCCCACCCCCGCCTCCAGTCTCAGAAACCTCTCTTTGTTGATCAGGGGCCATAGCTTTTAAAAGTATTTTGTTGGATTGTCTGCTCTGTCAGTGTCCGACTCTTGTGCTGGTGATCCTGACTTGCTTTATTTACTACCCCGGATTCCCTCGACCGCCTTCCATTTTGCTATAAATGGCAAACGTTCATCTTTCTTTAGAAATGGCTGAATAGTACTGCTCTGTGTGGCTAGACCACATCTTCTTGATCCAGTCCTCTGTCCGCGGGCACGGAGGCTGTTTCCGTGTGCTGGCTACTGTAAGTAGTGTAGCAGTGAACACTGGTGAGCTTATCATTTTTTGAGTGGATGGTTTCATGGGTTTGTTTTTTGTTTTTTTTTTTTTGAGAGATGCCTGAGAGTGCTGGGATTGCTGGGTCATAGGGTGTTACCTTTTTTAGTTTTTTAAAGTAAATCCAGCTCCTCCCTGGTGGCGCAAGTGGTTAAGTCTCAGCACTATGAAGCTATATTTCCATAAGCATATTCACTTCTTTTTTTTTAAGATTTATTTATTTATGCATACAAGAGCTGGGGTGTAGGCCAGAGGTGCAGGGGGTGAGAGGACCCACCAGAGACAGAGTGGGGAGCAGAACAGACAGATCTGCTCAAATAGACTGCTGAGGGGAGCAGCAGGGGAGTCAGGAGAGGTCTGCTGCACCATGTGGGTAGCTCCCTGGCTGGCCGGGAATCGAACTCGCGCTGCAGAGGCTGCGGATAGCTTCATAGTGCTGTGCTTAACCTCGTGAGCCAGGGAGGCCCCCAATATTCACTTCTTAATTGATAGTTAAAAGATAAAGGCCCTGAATGAAGGACTCAAATGCTCAGTCCTAATCCTGAACTGATGGCACGATCTTGATCTCAAGCCGGTGGCTGTCTGTGGTTTCTGACCTCACCTGTAAACACAGTCCCACCTTCCACCTGAACCCCAGATTTACAGTCTGCACAACATCTTTCCATCCATTATCTCGCCTGATTACCCATAAGCCCGGGACATGGGCAAGCAAAAATTACTATCCCCATTTTATAGGATAGGAAATTGGAGCTCCCAGGGGTGAGTTGTCTGGCCTGCGGTCACGCAGCTGTGGTCATGCAGGTCCTCACTTCCCAGCATGCTGCGCTGACTCAGAGAATGATTTTATGAAGCCCACAAATGGCTCATGGGGGTGCAGGTTGTGCCACCTGAGTAAGCTATCATTATGGCAACGGGATCAAGGGCAGATCAGGAGTTATTTTCAGGGGCCCAAAGGGAGCCCCTTAGGCCAGTGAAGATGGGATAGAATCACTCCTGGGTCTTAGCGCCAACAGTCCCTGTGGTCCTGGAAGCCAAGGCAGGTGCGGGTATCAGGGTCTCGAGGCCAAGTCCCTAGTTTAAACAGGGCAGCTCCTTTCCTAGAGCTGCCTTCAAACAGGGGACAGGGCTGGGCTGACAGCATGGGGCGGGTGAAGGACTGAGAGGGCTGGCCAGGCAGCCTGGCCCATAGCAGCCACTTCTTAGGTGGCCTGGAGTCCATCCTCTGGGCCCAGATGGCGGCGGCCTTCCAACCTGGGACAGATCCTGAGTGAGGCTGTCCCAGGGTGGCCAGCTGGGTCCCCAAACCTGAACTGTAAAGGTCTGTGTTGGCTCCCACATGGGCTCGCTCCTTGACAGTTTACACATACAGGCCCAGGCGACCAGCAGGGGCCAATGTCTTCATTCCATTTTACCATGTTTTTACCGGGTACCAGGTCTCAATAGTCAGAATTTACGAGGACACCTCGGGAGCCTGTCGGTCACTTTGTGATACAGAATTACACCCAATTTGAACGTGTGGAAACTGAAATTCTGGGAGGCAGGGGATCAGGTGATTGGGGAAAGCCAGGATTCCAGCCATTTTTCCTACCCACCCTCCCAGGGCAGGGCTGTCTGATGACTAAGACCCCTTCCTCCCCTGGGGGTGGGGCAGAGACCAGGGCAGCTCCTGCGCGGGTCAGCCCTGTCCTGGTCAGGCCAGTGGCGTGCAAGGCTGGCTCAGCTCCTGGAGGCAGGGGAGCCCTCCCTGGAGGGGCAGTTGACTTGAAGGGTCTTGAAATGGAGAGACACAGAGAAAGTGGCTGGGAGTTTCTCAGACCAGACTCTCAGGCCCTGCTGGACCAGGGCCTGCTTGCCTCAGGAATTCAAGTCACCACCTTAGGGCAGGGGGCAGGGGAGACCCCTGAGCCTGCACAGGGGTGAAAGCCTGTAGGACAGGTTGGCGGTTCCGCAGTGGTGGAATGGAACCTGGAGTAATGGGGGCACCTGGAGCCTCTCCGGCAGGCCACGGGGGTAGGGGGTGGCAGAGGGCGAACTACCTGGGGGTCAGGGGTATTTTGGGAAATGGCGGCCATGGGGGAACTTTGAGGCCTGTAGGGAACCGCCTGACTGGCTTGAGCTGGAGGGAAAACCTCCCCAAGCATCTGGCCGGGTGGGGGGGGTGGGGGGCGGCCGGAAGAGCTCGGAGACGTCCTTGGGGTCCAGAGGCCAGGCGTGGGCAGGACTCCGAGGGCAGGCCGGGGGGGGGGGGGGGGGGGGGGGGGGGGGGGGCGTCCCGGGGGCTGCCTGGCGGAGGAGGTGGTGCGGCCGGGCGGGAGGCAGGGTGGGGAGGGGCAGCCTGCGGGGCTTGGGGCTTCGGGCTTCTCCCCGCGTCCTCTGAGGGGCGCGCCGCGGGGACGCGGTGGCGGGGCCGCCGGAGGCGCTCGGGGCGGGGGCGCGCCCGGGGCGGGGCCGCCGCTGGGTGGGGCGCCAGGCCGCCGCCCCCCGCCCGCTCCCCGCGGCGCGGCGGGTCGGAGCGGGGCCCGCGCCGGCGCACACCTCGGGGCCGCGGCGCAGCGGCGGGCGGGCAGCGGGGCGGCGGCTCGGGCAGGCCGGGGCAGGCCGGGGCGGGCGCGGAGCCGGCCGGGGCCGACGGGCGCCCGCGAGGCCCCGCCTCCTCCCGCCCGCGCCCGCCGCCCGCGGCTCGGCGCCCAGCTCGGAGCGGGCCGGGCCGGGCGCGCGGGAGCCGCCGCCGAGCCGCCGCCGGAGCGCCGAGCCCCGCGCATGGCGGGCCCGCGGGGCGCGCTGCTGGCCTGGTGCCGCCGCCAGTGCGCGGGCTACCGCGGCGTGGACGTGCGCGACCTGAGCGGCTCCTTCCGGGACGGCCTGGCCTTCTGCGCCATCCTGCACCGGCACCGGCCCGACCTGCTGTGAGCGCGGGGCGCGGGGCGCGGGCGGGGGGCGCGGGCGCGGCTGGGGACCCCCGCCCCCTCAGTGACGCGGGGCCGGGGCGGCGGCCGGCGCTGCCCCCGGAGGCCGGGACGCCGACCCGGCCGGCGCCCGCGATCGCGTCGCGGGTCTCGGGACCCCTCGCGGGCGCCCCTCCCGCCCGGGCCTCCCGGACCCGCCCCCCCCCCCCCCCCCGCCCCCCCCCCGCCCCTGCCCTCGCCCCCTGGCCGGGGCCCTGGTTGGCGCGCCCCTGCCCCCACCCGTGGGCACTGGTCTTCGCCCGGGGGCGCTGAGCCCCTCCAGGAGTTGACTATGAGGGGGCACCTGGCCTCTTGGGGACCCTGGGCTTCCCTGCACTACATCTCTCCCAGCGGGCGCCCGGAGCACCCCTCCCTTTGGGGCGTGGAGGCCTGCTCCTGGGGGGCTCCTGGCTCCATGAGCAGCGAGGGCGCCTCCCATTCCCTCCGGAGTCCTGACTCCGGGCGAGGAGGGGCTGGCACAGAGGGACCCTGGCTGGCTGCACCCACACCTGCCTCCCAGGTGTGCGCCCAAAGGCGCTCTGTGGGGGGAGGGGCTGGAACTCTGTCGGGTTGGACCCCCCAGGGCTGCCCCAGAGTGAAATTTTTGCCTCCAGCTGCCCAGCGAGGTCCTCCGGGGGCAATTGATTCAGACCCAGGGGGGCTGGCTTGGGGCTGCCGGCTCAGCTCCCTCTGCCTTGGGTGCTGGGACTTTCATTCACCGCGCGCTCATCCACAGACACCGCGCGCAAGTCCGGGGCCTGTCACTCTTTGTGTTTCTGGTCTCGTCTGGGAATTGGGGACAAGAGGGGCGGTTGCCTCTCTTGCCTACAGCCCCCCATCTGAGTGCTGCCGAGCCTGTGCTCCCCCAGGACAGCTCCGGCAGCTTTGAGGAGCAGGGAAGGGGTGCCGACTGCCTCCAGGGCTCCTTGGTGCAGCGCCCTGGCCTTGCTGTGTGTGGGCGCTGGCTGGGCCCAGGAGGAGAGGGTTCTGGGGTGTGAAGAAGATGAGGTGGGGATGCTGGTGGGTGCGTCGCCGCAGGGTGTGTGACAGCTGCGCTCACAGAGCCCGGAGGGCCGGGGGCTCAGGTGCGGGGCCTCTAGGGATGGAGAACAGCACCTGACCAGACCCATGGGTTGAGGTGGAGAGCTCAAGGAGCCCTGGGGGGCAGGCCCGAGGCGGGGCCAGGGGACATGGCTCCCCGTGAAGGGAACTGGGTGTCCAGATAAGTGTGTCAAGCTCTCTGGGTAAATCACGGCTCCCTCCAGGCATCAGTTTCCTCATCTGTAAAGTATGTTGGCAATCAGACCTGTTCACAGGCCCTTGTGAGCCAGACAGTAATTACCAGGGGTCACTCTGGGGTCACTCAGGGGTCACTGTCAGCAGACAGTGGGGGTGAGGGCAGGGTCTCACTGCTTCATGTGCTCAGTAAGCGTTCGCAGGTTTCCTGCTCTGGCCGGGCGCTGCCTGGTTTGCAGATATGACTGACAAAGAGAAACCCCCTTGACCTCCTTTGGCGGGTGGAGAGAAGATGGTTAAGCAGCGGTGACCTTCCACGTGGGCAGTGCTATATCAATGGCCCGACCGGGAGGGCCCCCCGGAGGTCAGCGGCCAGGGCAGGGCTGAGGAAATGCCCTGAGCAGAGCCACAGGCTGAGGCAGGGAGGAGGGTGAGGAGAAGCGGCTGGCAGGAGTGCTTAGGCCCCTCCTTGGCTAAGGAGGGTGGAGGAGCCCCTGGGGAGCCATGGGGGCTGTCAGCAGGGGAGGGGTGTGGCATGGAGGGCGGCTCCCCTCCTTAGAGGACATCGAGAGTTGTGTCCGTGTACCGGGCAAGCTAGCCCACTGCTTAGGAGCAAAGCTGAGGCCAGTTCCACGGAAGGCCCGATGGAAGGGGCGGCTCCACGATTGTGGGGTAGCATGGGGTGAGGGCACGGATCATCTTCTAAGGCAGCTCCAGCCTGGACTGAGTCTCCTGGCCAGCACCACCCACCCAGGCCTGCCCACCCCGCCCCCAGTCAGGATCCTTAAGCTCCCTTGAGGACAGGGGCCATGTGGATTTCATTTTTGCCTCCATCTCCCCCAAAGCCAGAGAGAGCGTCTTGGGCCTTTAAAACCCTCAGAAAATATCTGTTACCAAAGCCCAGATGTTGATTAGGGATGGGGCTAATCCTCCCTGAGCTGGGGGCGGGGAAGAAGCTGGAGGAAATACTGTAGTATCTTGGGGCCCATTACCGTTCTCGCACTGGTTCCAGCTGTTGTTCATTCCATAAACATTTATTGAGCGCCTTCTGAGTACCAGGACCTGCGTAGGGTGTTGGGGGCACAGGGTAGCCCAGTCTTCTGGGCACACGCCAGCTCAGTGGCTTTTGTCTCATGGGGTCTTAAAACATCCCTCTCGGTGTCCCAGGCCAGGAGGCTGATGTTTGGAGAGGCTGAATAACTTGCATAGATCACACTCTTAGGTGGTGACAAAGCAGGGGCAGGTGGGACGTCGTTGAGGGCAGAAGGAAGCAATCTGGTGGCAAAGAGGGCTGCAGCTTTGCTGCCAGTCGGCCTGGCCTTCTGGGGCTCTCAAGCTCCCTTTTCTGCCTTTGTCCCCTTCCTTGTACCTGGACTTGGCCTGCAGGAGTTAGGGCACAGGAGGGCAGGAAGAGGGTTGGTGAGGCCTGGTACCATCACCAGCCTGGGAGGTGGTTCTAGAGCTTTCACCACTTTGCAGATTTGACAATAAAGACTGCTGCCTGTGAGAGAGTGCCAGGTCTGGGGTGCAGGCCTTGGGGGAGGGCTGGCGTTTCCAGCCATAGAAGGGCAAGGCTTGGGGTGGGGCATCCCAGAGGCCGCCTAGCAGAAGGCTGAGCTGGTTTCAGCCACTCCAGCAGCCTGGCAGGGAGGGGGAGGTGGGGAATAAATAAAACCAACAGGCCAGCCAGCTGTGCCCCTTCAAAGTGTCCCCCCTGCAGGTCCCACTACCTCTCACCTGCCCCAGTTTAGAAACTGGGAAACTCACTGCTCCCCCAGGACAATTTGCCTCACAGGGTCCGCCAGCTGATGGGTGCAGCTCCTGAGTGTATATGATTTCCAGTCAAGTTCAAACTCGTCCTCTGTTCCTGCCCCATTAAAAACAGCGATCATTTGGGGCTGGGCTGGGGCCTCGGCAGGTTGGTGTGGCTCCTCTGGGTTGGTGACATGTAGGGGAAAGGCCAGAAATGTGGATCAGGGCCCAGGGTGGCCTCCTGTTGGGCCTCAAGTCCTCATCTGTAAAATGGGGCAGGTGCTGCCAAGCAGAGTTGACATGTAGATCAACTCAAGACAGGAGCCGGTGGGGGCCGCGGGGCTGGCCACGTGCCTGGCCACGTGCCTGCCTCTGTCACTGCCTTGGTCCTGGTCTTCCCTTTGTCTTGGCCACTCCCTGGGGACGGGGCTCTGGAGTCAGGCGAGGGGAGGGACCTTAGAGATCACAGACTTGAGAGCTCATTGCCCTTCCAGGGGGTCCCGGGGTGGACCCCCCACCCCACAGCCCCAACTCCTTCAGCACGTGCTGGTAGCCTCAGTGTCATCCTTGCCAGGCCCCAGGCCCCACCCCGCCCCCATCTGTGCCGATGCCCAGGCTGGCTGGGATGAGGTTGCCTCCTCTGGACCCCCTCCCCAGTCCTAGTCACTCAGATTTTCTCCCCTTTGCTGCTTGCAGGGATTTTGATTCGCTTTCCAAGGACAATGTCTTCGAGAATAATCAATTGGTGAGTCTCCAGGAGGAAGCCCAGGAGGCTGCTGGGGGTGGGGGAGAAGGCGTGGTGGCATAAGGGGTGTGGTGGCATAGGGGGTGTGGGTGAGTCCGTAGGTCCCAGAGGAGGTCCTGGCCCCTCTCCCGCCCCTGCTTCCCTCTGGCCTGCTGTACCTACAGCGCCAGACCTTCCCCCCTCCAGGCCACCCTGTGGGCCAGACCTGTGGGGATCCCGTAGTCACCCCTACCTGAGTCCCCTGTACCACTGAGGGAAGCTGGGCCTAGGCTGAGGGGGTGCTAACCTTGCCTTCTCTTCCCCCTGTGCCTTGCTCTGCCCCCCCGCCCTTCTCCTATCTCTACCACTCACCCCCCCACCTACTCCCACTGCAGGCCTTTGAAGTGGCTGAGAAGGAGCTGGGGATCCCTGCTCTCCTGGACCCCAATGACATGGTCTCCATGAGTGTCCCCGACTGCCTCAGCATCATGACCTATGTGTCCCAGTATTACAACCACTTCGCCAGCCCTGGCCAAGGTGAGGCGCGGCCCCCCCAGGCGCGAGGGGCGGGGTGGGCCTCCGGCTGTTCTCTGAGAGGCATCTTATTCCCTGAGAGTCCTTCTTCACTCATTCAAGTATTTCCTGAGTCAGTGGTACCCTGTTGGGCCCTGGGGGTACAGCTGCAAGCTGGTGGCCGCCCCAGGAGCCCAGTCTTGTGGGAGGACAGGCCAGTCAGGAAACCAGTGAGAGCTGGTGTGGAGGAGCAGAGGGGAGCTGGGCAGGCGCATCCTGCGGAGGCTATCCTGCCCCCACTTCCTGTTTGCAGACTCATCCATGGGGGTTCCCTCCAGCAGGGACCTAGCCCTGTGGGGCTGAAGTGCAGCATCCCCAGAAGTGGCCTTCAGGGCCTGAGAACTGAGAGGCTGGTGGTCTGGGGAGAGTTGGGGACCCTGCAAGCTACTTCTCTGTTCTGAGTCAGGTTCCTGGGGGGCAGCTGGGCCCTTTTCTTCAGCAGATGAGATGGTCCCAGGGAGGGAAGGAGGTGGGGGGAGGGGCGTCTCACAGTAGGAGAACAAAGCCACAGGCTGGGGTCCCGGCTCGGCTCCCGTGGGGGCCGCCCTCCTGGATTGGGGGGTGGCGTTGCCCCTCCCTCCCCCATTTCAGCCCTGGCTCCTGCCTCTGCTCTCCTTGTGGGCAATCCCAGCCTGTGTCGTTTTTTTAGAAACGTGATTTTTGAAGTCAGGGTTTTATTTTTCTTACTAAAGTAAAACTTACTACATGTATGAAAACAGCTAAATGAAAATAACCTGTTACTGCCCTCCCCCACCCCAAAATCACAATCAGGGTTAATATTATAACTGAAAAGTAGCATCGTGTGTTTTTTTTTTGTTATAACACCATATGCTATATATTTGTTCTTCTTTTTTTAAGATTTATTTATTTATGCATACAAGAACAGGGGTACAGGCCAGAGGTGCAGGGGGTGAGAGGACTCACCAGAGACAGAGTGGGGAACAGAACAGGCAGACTGACTGAAAAACACTGCTGAGGGGAGCAGCGGGCAAGGCAGGAGAGGTCTGCTGTGCCAGGTGGGTAGCTCCCTGGCTGGGGATCGAACTCGTGCTGCCGAGGCTGCGGTCAGCTTCCTAGGTTGCGTCTTAACCCCTTGCGCCACCAGGGAGACCCCCTATATTTGTTCTTTTTACTAGAAATCAAAATGAAAGTATTTCTCCACCCCTGAGGCTTTGTGTGTGGCATTGTAGGGTACGGGTTAAGAACAGGGACTCAACATTTTGGCCCTGCTATCTTTGGGCAGCTGTGGTCCCCTCTGCCTCAGTTTCCCCTTTGCAGTGGGGATTAGAATAGTGGAAATGAGTCAGTGACCTGTGAACCTGTGTCTGGCCTTGTTTAGGACCGGGGGAGCGGTGGTGTAATTAATTATTTCTTTATTTTACCGTCTTGTTTAACTAGAATCACAATCAGTCTTATATTCTGGAGGGTTCCCTGATGCTAAGCCCCAGTCTCTTTCTACTAAGCTCTCTGGAGGGCACCCTTCCAGGGATCTGCGGGTGGTTGAGTGGCGAAGGGCCCTCCATAATACAGCCTGGGCACCCTGTGGGTGAGGGTAACCCTGGCAGTCCCCCAGCTGTGCCTGGGCAGAACACCCCCGGGCCTGCGGGGGTGCTCATTGATAAAGGTACAATTTGTGCTTTTCGTACAACTTGGCCCCTAAATGCAAACCATTTGTATCCCACCTGCTGCTCAACCAAAGGAAACAATGGTGTGTTCCAGCTGGAGGCGGGGCTGCCTGTCAGCTCCCCAGATGGCCTGTCCTCTGCCTTCTGGGCAAGTGGAGGGTGGAGGGGGCTTGATCAGACTTCACTTTCCCCAGGCCTGGGCATCCTGGAGCCTGGCCCTGGCTGAGGTACCACAGTGGGGTGCCAGGAGCCCACCTCCGAGGGTCTGTGACCCTGTGCGTGTCAGCTGACCCCTGCCCTCTGGAAGCCCAGCCTGGTCTGGACCCATTGCGTGAGCGAGGGAAGCCCAGTGGTGTGAGAAATGTGGGGCGGGGGTCAGGTGGCAGGTCAGTGTCATGGGGCAAAGCATAGCCTCTTAGTGTGGCCCTGAGGGTCTTGCCCCACTTAGCTTGAGCTGCCCAGCTATAACCATACTGCATTTCTTTCTTTTTTTTTTTTTTAAGATTTATTTATTTTTATTTATACAAGCACTGGGTACAGTCAGAAGCATGGGAGGGTGAGAGAATTCACCAGAGCCACAGCAGGGAGCAGAGCAGGCAGAAGGACCGAAGTACACTGCTGAGGGGAGCAGCGGGCGGCAGGAGAGGTCTGCGCGCCATGTGGGACCCTCCTCTGGTGGCCGGGGAGCAGCCGGGGATCAAACCGGTGCTGCAGAGGCTGCGAGCAGCTTCACAACCCAGCGCTCAACTGCTGCGCCACCGGGGAGGCCCCATACTGCATTTCTTGTGCTTCTTTAAATACATCATATTCCTCCACTGCTGAGCCGCCTTGGTGATCCTCCAACCCCCAAATCTATTTTCTCTTCCACATCTCCTACCCCCTGGTTCATTCTTTTCCACTCATCCTCTAATCTTTACACTTTGCCTCCTCCAAGCAGCCTGCCCTGATACCCTCCAGGCGCTCTTTTACCCCCGACCCGTGGGGAACACAGAAGACTCTAGTCATCTCGATTACTCCTCTGTCTTACCCTGTAGACTATTTCTGTCTCGTTTCCAGCAGTGTAGCCCTGGCATCTGGCACTTATTCATTCATTTAAAAATATTTATTGGGCCATTGCTGTGTGCCAGGTGCTGTGCTAGGCCTTGGGGAGCCAGCTGAGAAGGAGACAGACGCACAGAGCTTGTGGTCTCATGATTGGGGGGTAAGGGAGAGAAGATAATCAATAAGTGATATAATTTCAGGTGAGTGTAACGAAGGACACAAACTAAGGTAATGGAATAAGAAGTGCTGGGATGAGGAAGTGGCTCCCCTTGATCATGGTCAGGGAGGGCCTCTCTGAGGAGGTGACATTTGAGCTAAGCCTTAGAGAAGGAGGCCTGTGTAGATCTGGGGAGGAGGCAGGGGACCTGGGGAAGGAGATGAGGACGGAGGGGCTGGTGGGAGTGGACATGATGAGGCTGCTGGGCTCCCAAAATTTTTGATCACAACTCGCGGTAAGGGCTGCACGTCCCATGGCCAGCCGGGTTCTTGCACATGTATGTAAGTGAAACAAGTTTCAGGAAACAGTTCTTCCCCTTACCACGTGAAGCACACGCTTGCCGAGTCTGTTTCACCCTTTAAATGTGCAGATGACTGTCCACTAAATTGATTTCAGGGCCTGTTAATGACCTGGGGTTCCAGAAATGCTATTTTATTTTCCTTTTAAAAAAGATTTATTTATGCATACAAGACTGGGGTATAGGCCAGAGGTATGGGGGGTGAGAGGATTCTCCAGAGACAGAGTGGGGAGCAGAACAGGCAGACTGACTGAAATACACTGCTGAGGGGAGCAGTGGGGAGACAGGAGAGGTTACTGTGCCCTGTGGGTCAGCTCCCTGGCCAGGGATGGAACTCCTGCTGCGGAGGCTGCAGACAGCTTCACAGTGCTGTGCTTAACCCTTGCGCTACCAGGAAGACCCAGAAATGCTATTTTAGATTTTGTTTAAAAAGTTATACAGTACAGTGGACCTTTGGGGCTATACTGTTCTCTGAATTTGGTTTTTTCTTTTTTTAAATTTTATTTTCATATTCCCCATACAATTGCAACCCCCTTATTTTGACCCCAATCCCTCCTTTCCCCGCCCCCCACCCCCCATAGAGTGTCTCTGGTTCATAGTTGTTAGTTGATTTTGATGTTTTCTTTCTTATAGTTATTCTTTTCCCTGGTCCCTTATTTCTAGATTCCTGCTATGAGTGAGACCAGGGGGTTTTGTTTTAATTAGCAGGTACAGAGTCGGTGCTCAGTGAATATTTGCCGTAGTGATAAGGTTGAGCAATCTTGGAGGCAGTGAGGGGGGGCGGCTGGGCTTCTTCTGGTACGAGGGGGTACAGGCTGGACTCTGGGCCACACCCACTCATTGGGCACAGGCCCGGCAGCTCCTTATGGGCCCCGTGGCACCAGCCCGCTTTCCTGAGCCTTTAGCTGGCACCACAGGGCCCCTTTCTTTCCCTTCTGCCCCCTTACCTTCTGGGAGAAAGCTGCCACCCCATAGGTGGGGTGCACCGTGGGTAATGTGTCTGAGCTAGTCACCCTGCCCTGGAGCCCGTGTCCTCGGCCCGCCTGGTGAGGCTCAGCCAGGGAAGCAGTGTGCCGGGGCACATAGCTTGCAAGTGGAGGCGTACCCCGGTCTGCACAATGCTGTTCCCCACTGCGTTGGGTCGTCCGCCCAAGGGAAATGGCTGCAGAGCCCAAATCTTAGGCCAGGTTGGGGCCTCAGGGTCTCTTTCCTCTTTCTTGGCAGACGGTGTCTCGCCTCCCAGGGCGGGCCTGGGACCGTCCTCCCCACCATCCGAAGCCCCCAGCCCAGCGGAGCCAGGAGCCGGGGTTCAGGTAGGCATTGGCAGCACAGGGACAGGGGCCTCGGCCGTGTTCAGGGGCGTTCTCGGCCCTTGTCTTGCCAGCTGTGGAAGTTGAGAGCCCTGGGTCCAGGAGGCACATGGATAGGGAGATGCCCAACAAGGCAGGGTGGGGGGCGGGGTGCAGGTCAGTCAGGTTGCTGCAGACGCGCCGTGAACATGGACCCCCCCCCTTCCTGTTGTGCCAGCGCTTGAGCTTCCCAGTGTGACGCCCTTTCTTCTTCTAGGCCATCTGGGAGTGGGTGTAGTGGGCACAGATACACTGCTGGGAACTGATGCTCAGAGAGGTTGGTCATTTGTCTGAGGCCACACAGCCCGTCCCCCGCTCTGAGGGCCATCTGGGGGCGACACCAGTCCCTCTAACTGGACAGCACTTCGGGTGGGCAGAAGACTTTCCCCACCTGTTTCCACCTCTCTTGCTGGAGTTGTTGCTGAGGGGGCGCCGGGCCCACCAAGAGTGCCCGTGAGCGTATGCGGGGAGGGGCATTACCCAAGGCCCGGCGACGTGAGCATCCCGGTCAAGGTCACAGTGCACAGAAGTGGAGGAATGGGCTTACGTCCACCTCTGACCTGGGAGGGGAGGCAGGGAAGGCTGGTGAGATGGGCTGAGGACGGGCACCGCAGGGGCCAAGCTGCAGGCCAAGCGCAGCCAAGGGGAGGGCCCTATGGCTGGGGCTGCCTTTCCGGCGGGGAGGGCCCAGGAACTGGAAGTCAGATTAGCGTTTGTGTCGGTGACCTTGCGGGAGGCTCCCCTGCCTCCGGGCTTCAGTTCTTCTGGCAGAAGGGTGAGCACCCCCGTGCCCACCCTGGGACTCTGGTGATGGGCACTGCACCCCCCACACACACTGTGGGAGGACATTGGCCATTGGGGGAGGGGATGGCAGGTGACCCCGTCCCCATCTGCACCCCTTCTCTGCAGAGCGAGGCACTCTCGTCCGGCAGCCTGGCGGAGCAGGGCGCCCACCGGACCCCCAGCAGCACCTGCGCGGCCTGCCAGCAGCATGTGCACCTGGTGCAGCGCTACCTGGCCGAGGGCAAGCTGTACCACCGGCACTGCTTCCGGTGAGTGCCACTCCCAGTGCTGGGGAGCTTCCAGGGTCCAGCTCCGCGGGGCCGGGCACCTTGCTCATCTGCCTGAGCATCTTGTGCATCCCCATGTTCCTGAGGTGGCTGAGGTCTGCGAAGGGGGCCTGCCTGTCACATGTGGCCGCCACGCGGGCTCAGGGCTGCTGCCTGCGGTGCCGGGGCCCTGGGCCAGCTGCCTGATGATGTGAGGTCAGCATGTCCTCTAAAAGTCATGGGGAAAAGAACAGAAATTTAAAAGTCACAGTCACAGCTTGGTTTCAGTGTGACACTCCCAGGGGAAGCCAGGTTTAAAGAAAATGGAGAGGAAGATACAGACACCTTAGAAATTGTCTGTAAACATTTTATGTGTTACAAAAGAAAGAGAAGATTGAACGGTCAAGGGGAGCCATCTACCGAGGGTATAGCGTGGTTCCATCGTGGTTGAGGACGTGTGTTTGTGTGTGTGCTTGTGCCTGTGTCTCTGTATTTATATGAGTGTGTCTTTGTGTGTGCGTGTATAAATGTCTATGTGTGTCTCTGTGTCCATGTCTGTGTGTGTGTCTGTGTGTGTGTGTAAGAGTTGGACTTGGAAACCCAGGGACCTGATGATAGCAGAAGGAGGTGTCAGGGGGTGGGGAACACGGGACTCTCGAGGAGGGAAAAATCCGCTACGCTAGCGGAGTCTTGTCTGGCCAGCAGGGCAGGGTCTTAAAACATTTTACAGTGCCCCCCAAATAAGAATTACATCTGGCACTATGCCCAGTTGTAGACATCCCTAAATCCTATTTCTTTTTTTTTTTTTTTTTAGATTTATTTATTTATGCATACAAGAGCTGGGGTACAGGCCAGAGATGCGGGGGGTGAGAGGATCCATCAGAGACAGAGTGGGGAACAGAACAGAACAGGCAGACCAACTGAAGTACACTGCTGAGGGCCCTAGCAGGCGAGACAGGAGAGGTCTGCTGCGCCATGTGGGTTGCTTTCTGGTTGGCCGGGGATCGAACTTGTGCTGCAGAGGCTGTGGATTGCTTCCTAGTATGGTGCTTAACCCCTTGGGCCACCAAGAAGGCCTCTAAATCTTGTTTCAATAGAGGCCCGTCTGGAACAAGAGTTTCAGAAAGCAGCATTTGCCCCCACCTGCGTGTCCACTCTGATGCATTTTGTTTTATTCTGTTTCATAACAAAACAAAGCCCTGCTTGGTTCAAAACCACTCAGTTGCTTTTCTGAGCCACTGATGAGTGGCAGCCTGTGCTGGGTGGTCCCCCCATCCTGATCCTCACCCCTGGGGACACCTCTGCTTCCTCTTCCAACTGGAGGCGTGTTTACAGTGGTGCTGCTGGCTTCCCGGGGTGGGGGGGTATGGTTCTCTGCTTCCGAGTGCTCTGTCCCCCCCCTTCCTCTGGGAGTTTCAGGGTCCCGAGGAGGGATCCAGGCTGACAGAGGGGAGGGAATGACTTGGCTCTGGAGAGGAATCAGGTGCTCCGGATGGTCAGCCCGACTAAGGTGACCCCTTTCTCCCTGGCAGGTGCCGACAGTGCTCCAGCACCCTGCTGCCTGGGGCGTACAGGAGTGGTGCCGAGGAAGGCACCTTCGTGTGCGCTGAGCAGTGCGCCAGGCTGGGCCCAGGCGCACGGTCGGGAGCCAAGCCTGGTCCACCCTCACAAGCAAAGCCGCAGCCGATCACAGAAGAAGCCAAGGATGGGGAGGGGAGTGTTCCCTGCCCTACGGTGGTCACACCCAAGGCCAGCCCCGAGACCCGGCCCCAGATCCCCTCCAAACCCCGGGTTCCCGACAAACCGCAGGAGCTGGCCAGCCCTCTGGCCAGCCGCCCCACGCCTGCCCCCAGGAAGACCTCGGAGAGCTCAGCCCCAATGCCCGCCACGCCCCCCACACCCCGACCCCGGGCCAGTCTGCAGCATGAGAACTCGGTGGAGCAGGTGGGCGGCAGCGGCCTAGCGAACGGTGAGCAGGTCCAGCAGAGGTCTGGGTGTTTACCCGGACGTGTGCCCTTGGGTCTCCTTGGGGCCGGGTGCTCTGTGCCTGAGCGTGTTATGTGTGTGCTGGCGTGGTTATCTGAGTTCCTATTCATGCAGCAGATCGGAGCTGAGAGCTCTGTGCCAAGCACGGCTCTCCATGCTGGGATCCTGCTTGAACCAACACACCCCTGCCCCGGCTGGCCCGGCTGTGTGTGCGGCGAGCTCGTGTTCTTTGTGTCCATCTCGTGTGCTTCAGTCTCGGGGGTGTTGTGAGTGCACGCTAGGTGTGCTGTACTCTGAGTATCTCTGGGACTGCCTGGGTCCCGGCCAGTCTGTGTTTGCACGTCCAGTGACCTCCAGGCCCAGCCTTTGTGCTTGTCCACGTCTGGCTGTCAGGCAGGCGAGAGCTCAGGGGTCGGGACAAGGGAGGGTGTGTCCCTGGTGGGGGGCTGCCCCTGAGGGCTCTGCAGTGGGGCCCCTGCCCCAGGCCCTCATCTCAGGAACTTCCCAGATGATGTCCCTGGGCCTTCATAGCTCTGTGTATCCTGAGGTGTGCTAGGAAGTGGGTGAGCTTGGGGAAGGGGGTGAGATCAGAGAAGGGTTAGGTTGGGGAAGGGTTAGAATAGGGACAGGGTGGAGGCCTGGGGAGAAGGGTCTCCCTAGGTCTCCCTGTGGGACTTGCTCAATTCTGGTCTGCATCCCGAAGGCCTGCTGTGAGTCCAGCCCCGAGCTGGGCACTAGGGGCAGACCTCTTCCTACAGACCTCTTTGTGCCTTGGAGGCACGGCCAGTCTTAAGGGGAGACAGGCCTGACAGGGGCATAGGCAGAATGTAGAAGTGTGTTACAATGAGGGCAGCAGAGGATGTTGTGAGGTTATGCAGGGCACTTGGAAGTCCCAGGAGACTTCTAGGAGGAGGTGACACTGAGATCATTTGAGGCCAAATCTCTACCCACATGGGGGAAGTGTCTCAGGCACTTAGGTTCCCCCTTCTCAACTGAAATGCAAATGGGTCTCCAGGTGTCCTGGCCTTGTCCCTTTGATGCGCTCTGCTTGTCACCTCTGGTGCTTATCTGATCTCCCTGAGTGCTGGGCTGGGAGGTTCCTGGGTGTGGCGAGGTTGCCATGGCCACCTGGAGTCCAGAACCTGCCAAGTAGGAAGGAAGGGCACTCCTGGCGGGGCACGCACTCTGACGGCCCATCCACCGCTGCCCATGAAGGCCTGTCTTGCTCTCCTTTCCCATCTAGGACGGCTGCACGAAGCTCCCGTGCCCAAGCCCAGAGGGACACCTAAGCTGTCAGAGAGGTAGGCTGGGCCCTGAGAGGCTTTTCTGCTTTGGGGGCCCTGCTGGTGGGAATGGGGGTAGCTCTGGGGACTAGGCAAGGGACGGCTTCCTCTGGGCAGGTGACCTGTCAGCCCCCCTCCTGAGGATGGGCAGAGTTCATCTCTGGGTGGGGCAGGAGTACTGTGTCCACATGCCCTTCTCTGAGGTCCCCTGGCCCCCAGCCTGATGGGTCACAGTGCTGGGGAGACAGCCACTCCAGATTCCCTTCACCCTGCAAACCTCTGCTGCCTCTAACTGGGTGGGGAACCCCAGTTCACTACAGAGTTGCAAGAATTAGCAGCAGAGAAAGAAAGATCCAGACTAGCTCAGCTGCATACCTGACTGTTGTGGGCAAGAACTTCTGGTTCCAGCTGTCTTTTAGGAGCTGGGCCTCTCTGGACAGTCTGTAGGGATAGAGGTGGCCCTGGCCAGGCCGCAGTTAGCTGTGCCAGATGCCAGTGGCTGTGCCCTCGAGCCTGCTGTGACCTTGGGAGGCGGGGATTGTTAGGGTTCGTGGGTGGGGAGACTGACACAGAGCCCAGGTGACTTTCTTAACATCACACAGCCCCTGTCGCTCTTTCCTGGGCTGGGCTAGCAGACGCAGTGTGATGGGAAGATGGTCCCTCTCCTCTCCGGGAGACGGGAGACGTGCCTGTCCCTTCGGCCTTAGGCCAGGGCTGGCCCTGCTGGGGGGAGGGAGGGCAAAGTTTCTTATCTACCCCCTTTTGGAAACAGACTGTGGAAACCATCCAGGGAGAGGATGCTGTCCCCTTGTCTCCTCGTGGTTTCTGCATCTCCCTGCCTTCCCCCAGGACCCCAGCCCCCAGGAAGGAACCCCCATGGATCACACTGGTGCAGGCGGAACCAAAGAAGAAACCAGCCCCGCTCCCCCCAAACAGCAGCAGTCCACGGCCACCAAGGCGAGTGGAGGATGGAGGCGAGGAGGGGGCGGCCCCGCAGAGCCTGGCGGCCTCTGGCCTGGAGCCGAAGCCCTACAACCCCTTTGAGGAGGAGGAGGAGGAGGAGGAGCCTGCAGCTGCACCCAGCCCGGCCGCCCACCCTGCCCCGACCCCCCTGGAGTCCACACCCAAGTCCCTGCACCCCTGGTATGGCATCACCCCCACCAGCAGCCCCAAGACAAAGAAGCGCCCTGCCCCCCGAGCACCCAGCGCGTCCCCCCTGGGTGAGTGCCCTCCCTGGCCTTCGGAGCGCCGTCTGGGGGTGGAGGGTGGCGTGGTTGGGGGGTTGGGGGGCTCCTCTGCGGCCACAGATTTCACATGCATCCTCTTATCCTTGAGCACGCCCTTGTGGTGGGAGTCGTTACTCCCCTGTGGAGGTAGTGAAGCAGGCAGAGGGTGAGGGATTGGCCCAGCTCCTAACTTGCCACTTAAGTAAGCATTGGGGTGGAATTTGAGCCCCCTCATCGGGCTGGCGTGTGTCATCTAGTGAGGTGCTGATGGAGCTGGCATCCTGCCTCTTGGGTCACTGCGTGCCGCCGCCAGCGCCTTGGGCTCTGACCAGCTGTGTGACTCCAGGGACTCTCAGCAGCTCCTTCCTGGAGCCTGTCCCCAGGCCACCCTCTGGCGCTGCGCCTCCTCCTGCCCAGCAACTGCAGCCCAGCTGCGGCACAGCTGCCCCAGGACCGCGGGGGAGTCCACCCTCAGTCGTGGACTGAGAGCACATTAGAGTGACCAGAGACAGGTGCTCAGGTGGTCCGGCCCCGCTTGGACCTCGGGCCCCCAGTGTGGTAGTCCCGGAGTGCAGGTGGTTGGCCAAGGGGCTGCAGATGGCACGGCCTGAGCCCACGGCCAGGTTCTGGCCCTGCCTCTCCGGGCAGGGGCTTCCCCTCTTAGTCTGCGGCCTCACCTGGAAAACACAGAGGAGCTATTTTGAAACCCGGTGCCCATCACCTACGTGAAGATTAAGTGGGTGCAGGGCAGTGCCCCGCTCGCTCTCCCCTCCCTGTGCCCTCAGCCTGCTCTTGTCTGCCCTCTCTGTGCACTCAAACCTGCCCTCCTGGCAAATTTGCCTTTTAAAATATGGCTTTGCTCTGGGTCTGATCAGGTGGGCTAGGGGCTGTGGAGGTTAGGGAAGTGGGGGTGCAGCCCTGCTGGATGAGGAAGTGGGTGGTGGTGAAGCACCTGGGCAGTGAGATGCACCCCAGGCGGGCAGTGCCCTGGAGCCCGCAATGCCGAGGAGTCCTCTGATTTCTGCGCGGGCGGCCTTGGTCCTGCTCTCTGGGCCTTTGCCTTGTTTCCATGTGGGGGTCATGGGTTTCCAGGACTGCCTGCAGCTCTGTTAGAGCAGCGTGTTAGGGGGTCTGGAAGCCCCGACTATGCCCCCTCACGGGTGCTGCCTGCTCGTTTGTACAGCTTTCCACGTCTCCCGCCTCTCACACTCGGAGCCACCCTCGGCCACCCCGTCACCGGCCCTCAGTGTGGAGAGCCTATCGTCCGAGAGCTGCAGCCAGGCCCCTGGTGGGGAGCTTCTGGAGCCTCCAGCCGTGCCCAAGAGCTCCTCAGAGCCTGCCGTCCACGCCCCCGGCACCCCAGCAACCTCCGCCAACTCCTCCTTGTCCTCCTCTGGGGAGCTGGTGCAGCCCAGCATGGGCCGGAAGCCGCAGGCCAGCCCCGGCTCTGCCCCTGGTGCTAGGGCCGGCCTGAGTGCCCCGCTAGCCCAGCCCCGCAGCGGCGTCGCCCCCACCCCTCTCCTGCTGGTTGACAAGGGCCCTGCACCTTCCCCGGGTACCTCCCCGCAGCTCCAGGTGAAGGTGAGTCTGTGCGTCTCCCTCGCCGGGGACTGCTGTCCTATCAAGTGGACACGGGCGTCTCAGGGCAGGAGTCCCCTCACTTCCGTCTCTGCTGGCCTCTTCTTGAGTGACCTTGACTGTGTCCACCTACCCCCTCCCCACTCACTGAGGCCCAATCCATCTGCCCAACCTCCCCCGGCTCTCCATGTGTTGGTGCCAGTGACCTGCCGGCCAGGCTCTGGCTCCTCTGGGACCCATTTACCCCACCTTGGTTCATCTCTGTCTACCCCTTTGTTCACCAAGGCCCTGTTTATGCCCGACCTTGGCATAACTCATCAGACCCTGGCTCTGGGGTGGCCCATTCCTACCCTAACCCGAGGAATGGGAGAGAGTGCAGGCATGGGGGAAGGAGTCACAGGGTTGAGGGCCAAACCCTGTCCCCTGCTGTCCTGTCTGGGCAGCTGCCCCCCTGAGAGAACGCTCCCCAGCTGGTCTCCCCCGCCCCCTGCAACCCTTGGGGAGAGCTGAGTGAACCCTCTGGGAGTCCTGAGGGTCCCGACACGGCCTCTCCTCAGTGAGCTGGGCAGTGGCTAGAAGTCGTGGTCGTGGGACATGAGGCAGGCAGGGCCCTGTCCTGTGAGGGGCTGCCGGGCTATGCTGGCCTCAAGAGGGAGGGGTCTCCCCAGGAGGCTGCAGAGATGGGGCTCTGGGTGCCCGGAGGGGGCTTCAGGGGCGTCTTCCCCTGGCAGGGAAGAGGGAGCTTCCCTCATCCACGTGCGGGTCCCATGGAAGGTGGATCCCTGCTCGCCATGTCCTGGCCGGGTGGTGCTGGGCAAGGAGCTTCACCTCTGCCCTTCCCATCTCCACTGGGAAAAGGGGGGCTGTGAGGCCTGAAGCGCTGCTCTAGCTCTGTCTGACCCTAAGCTCCACGCCACAATGGCTGGTTCCCCCACCCTGAAGCAGCTGCAGGTGTGCCCTGATCCTTGGATTTGGGTCACTCAGCTGTGAGAGGGTCATGGTGCCCATTTTGCAGGGCTGTGCTGAGGCTTGGACGGGTGCGTGAGAGTCCCCGGTGTGGCGCTGCCTGCGGGACTGCTTGTAGTGTGGACGTCTGTTGAATGACACAGTGCGTCAGCCACAGTGCTGGCCTTCCTGCCCCCCAATGCCTGTCCTCCTGCTCCTGGGGCCCTGGCCTGCTTTCCAGAGTGCCCCATGATCAGGCTGCTGGGGTCTTACTGCCTGACCCCAGCCTTATCCTCTGTGCTGTCCTTGCCTTCAGTCTTCCTGCAAGGAGAATCCTTTTAACCGGAAGGCGTCGCCCACGGCGTCCCCAGCCATAAAGAAGGCCACCAAGGGCTCCAAACCAGCGAGGCCGCCTGCCCCAGGCCATGGCTTCCCACTCATCAAGCGCAAGGTACCAGCTGGGAACCCCTAGACACCTTCCTGGGTCGGGACCCCCTCTGCAGCCTCAGGCTCCCCTGGGATTCGTGGTGAGGGTGGCCACTGCCCTAGAAGTCAGAGAGGGGGCCCGGCTGCAAGATTGCTGATCTCAACTGAGAGCAATGGACGGTGGTTGACCGCGCTATTGACAATAGTTCGGGCATCAGCGCGCACGTGGCGTGCTCCTGCTAGAATGGCTCCGCACGTTCTCAAGCGCATCTCCAATAGGGTCACTTCTGGAGTGGCCCAAGGGGGTTGGCCACAGGTGCAGGAAGAGGTTTCTTCCTCTGAGTGTGCTTGTCAGACCGGGGCAGAGCCCGGAAGGTCATGCCTTTCCCCTTCCTCGCCTGGGGTCCGGCAGCTGGGCACTCGGGGGTGAGGGGCGGAGCCCGGGCCTCCGGCCTGTGGTAGCCAGTGCTGGGGAAATGGCGCCGCTCATGGCGGTGGGCAGGCGGGAGGGCTGGGCTGTCCTTCCACTGATGGGATGCCGTCGGACAGGTGCAGGCTGACCAGTACATCCCCGAGGAGGACATCCACAGCGAGATGGACACCATCGAGCGCCAGCTGGACGCCCTGGAACACCGTGGGGTGCTGCTGGAGGGGAAGCTGCGAGGCGGAGCTCCTGGTGTGGGGCCGGGCCTGGCGGGCGGGCGTGGCTGGTGGGCCTCTTCTGGGGTGGTCGGCCGCCCCTTCCCGGGCAGAGCTCAGTGCGCACCTGACTTGCAGAGGGCCGCGAGGACGACTTGCTGGTGGACTGGTTCAGGCTCATCCACGAGAAGCACTTGCTGGTGCGGCGGGAGTCCGAGCTCATCTACGTGTGAGTCTTCCTCTCCAGCTGCGCGGGCCCCCACCACAGTCCTCGAGCCGGGTCTTGCGCTTCCCCTCCCTTGGCAGCACAGTCAGGCCGCCGGCGTGGGGCAGTGCTAACATCGACTCCCCTACCCTCTAGCTTCAAGCAGCAGAACCTGGAGCAACGCCAGGCCGACGTGGAGTACGAACTCCGGTGCCTTCTCAACAAGCCAGGTGAGTGTGGAGGGCCCGCGTCTCCCCTCTGGCCTGGGCATGGACGGACAGAGTCCAGAGCGGACTCCAGGAGGCGCCGGCTGGGTGGTGACAGCCGAGAGCTAGGCTGGCGGCGGGGCAGGAGAGGGACAGCATGGCTGGCATGGGGATCATGGCTGGCAGGGAGCACTGAGCCCTGAGGCAGACGGGCCTATTTGGGCTGCCTGCTCTCCTGGTATATGTGGGTGGCAGGTCCCCGGGAGAAGGGACTCCGGGCCCAGGGCTATCTCGGGTGAGTGAGTGACAGCGGATGCCTGTCCAGCCACTGCTCTGGGCTCACGGCCGCAGGCCAGGGATCCACAGGACTCTGGGGCGGGAGGGCAGTGAGGGCCTGGGCTCACGGTCCTGCATTCTGCTGCTGGCTGGCCCGGCGGCCTTCCCGGGCTGGTCTCTCAGCCTCGGTGGCTGGGGTCAGGCAGGAGGGAGGCGTCACTGGGGTGTGTTGGGACCAGGAGATGGCAGGTGTGTGTCCTCTGCGGGGCGGATGGCTTTCATGTGGCTGAGTTGAGGTATGTGGCCATGAAGTGAGTGAGTTGCAACTACGGGCCAAGAGGGCAGCTCTGGGGTGCCCAGGCCTAGTGCCGCCCCCTGGTGGTGGGGGCGCCGTTCTCATTGCCCAGGCAGGGAAATGGGCCAGCCCTAGGAGGGCTCTTGTCTGTGGGTGCTGGAGCTGGGCCTCGGCCCAGGCCTCCGACCTGGCCCTGCTCTCAGTCCCTGCAGCCTGCATGACGTGATGGTGGCCCGGCCTCTCCCTGGACTGGGGCTCGATGAGACTCAGGCAGGAGTCTCCCTGGGGAGGCCACAGAAAGTCCCAGCTCTTCCCCGCCATCCCCATCTGCGAGTCTCTCCCACCTCTCCCCAGCCTGGAGGGGTCCCCCTCAGAGCCGCAGTGACACCCCGTGGCTGGAGTGGGTGCCGCACCCGCCTTCTCCAACTAGCCTGGCCCTGGGCTCTGGCTTGTGGCTCAGCCTTGCTCTGGGCTTGTCATCCTGTCCCCGACGTTGCCTTTGGAGGGCGAGCCTGGCTTGCGGGGCTGCATCAGGCGGGTCTCCCCGCCGCAGGGTCCTCTCTGCTACTCAGATGAAAGTCCCGAGATGCCCCCTCAGTTGCATTACTTCTCCCCCACGAGGCCCCAGGCCCCTGTTCTCTCCCTCCCCTCACCTGCGCTGGCCTGAATCTGGCCTCTCCAAAGAAACCACCCAGGGCGTGTTTGTTGAATGAATCAATGAATGAATGAGTGAATGAATGAACAGGAGCAGGAAACCCTTGGGCATACACCGGACTCTGTTCCCAGAACATGTTGTGTGGACCCTGGGAGCACCCTTGAAGGGTGGGTGTTTGGGTGCGCAACCCAGTGTCCGCAGTCTCCTCCAGAGCTTCCTGCATTTTCCCAAAAACTCGTAATCCTCACCCATCCTGGTCCCCCTTCCTGTGCTCTTCGGCTCCAGCCCAGGGCTCAGCACTGAGGTGTTAGATCCCAGGGAGGCAGGATGGTTTCTCCCCCACTCACGCCCCCGCTTTTCCCTTGGGCAGAAAAGGACTGGACCGAGGAGGACCGAGACCGGGAGAAGGTGCTGATGCAGGAGCTCGTCACCCTCATCGAGCAGCGCAACGCCATTGTCAACTGCCTGGACGAAGACCGGCAGAGGTGACGGGCAGGGTCCAGAGCAGCCGCCCCTGCGCCGGCCATCCCAAGCGCCCTCGCTCAGCCTGGTGTAGACCCCAGTCTGCAAGAGCCGGGACGCTCTGGGCCTCTGCGGCGGGACGCTCAGCTTCCCTTTCTCATTTCAGGGAGGAAGAGGAGGATAAGATGCTGGAAGCCATGATCAAGAAGAAAGGTGTGCCTCTCCCGGGGCCCCCGCGGGTGGGAGCAGGTGGGACACAGGGTGGGGTGGCCCATGAGGCGTGCAGACTCCAGCCCCGGATTTGCGGCACGGCAGGCCCCTCCAGTCAGGAAGGCGCTGGCTTGCCGGAGGTGGATGCGGAGGTGGATGCGGAGGCCCCGGCGCCCTGGGGAGGAAGGTTGTGTGAGGGAGCGCATTCCTGTGGTGCTCGCCTCCTGCTTCCTCCCTGAGGCCTGCGGCTCTGCCGGCTCACACAGCACAGCCGGCAGCAGGTCGGGGCTGGAGCAGAAAGGACCACTGGGCTGGACACAGGAGACCAGGCTTTTGGCTGTGGCTCCACCCATGACTCCCTTTGGAGCTCAGTCAGAGCTCTGGGGCCTAGAGCTAGCTCTTGCAAGCAGGCGGTTGCTGAGCCGGCCTCTTCACTCCTCATGGCCTCGGCCTCCTCAGCTGCAGAAGGGGTTGCTACGGGCACCCACCTCACAGGTGTGTGTGAGTGTTACCAGGCTAAGGTCTGGCGCCTACAAGGGCTCAGTGCTGATCGTCTCAGGGACCCACGTTTTCCTCGCCTGTAAAATTCAGGGCCAGGACAGAGGCTCCCTCTACACAGTCAACCCCCAGAGCTGTGAGCACCAGCCTCGACCAGCTGAGCCTTTTCTTTTCTTTTTTTTTTTTTTTAAAGATTTATTTATTCATTATTTATACATGCACTGGGTACAGTCAGAAGTGCGGGAGGGTGAAAGAATTCACCAGAGCCAGAGCGGGGAGCAGAGCAGGCAGAAGGACCGAAGTACACTGCTGAGGGGAGCAGCGGGCGGCAGGAGAGGTCTGCACGCCATGTGGGACCCTCCTCCGGTGGCCGGGGAGCAGCCGGGGAACAAACCGGCGCTGCAGAGGCTGCGGGCAGCTTCGCAACCCTGCGCTCAACCGCTGTGCCACCGGGGAGGCCCCAGCTAAGCCTTTTCAAGGTCCCTGTGTGCTGCTGCTGAGTTCTCAGTCTGCTTTTGTGTTGTTATCTCCTGTCCAAAACGTGGGGGAGGGGTGTGCACGCTCCCGTGGCGGGGGGGCCTCGAGCCTGAGAAAGGTGATGTGGCTTGTCCTGGGCGCCCTGCCCAGATCCCCTGCAGTGGCGCTCCCAGGCCACCCCCTCACCTGGCTAACCCCCTGGACCTAAGCACTCCCTTTCTTTTCTGAAGAGTTCCAGAAGGAGGCTGAACCCGAGGGCAAGAAGAAGGGGAAGTTCAAGACCATGAAGGTGCTGAAGCTGCTAGGCAACAAGCGGGACATCAAGAGCAAGTCTCCCGGGGACAGGAGCTGACCCCCGGCAGCCAGCTGGGCCTTCTGCCCTCCGGCTCAGCTCCGGGGCGGTGCTCCACTGGGGGTGCCCTCCTTCCCTCACTGTCAGTCCAGAGGAAAGCTGACTTAAAGGGGGCAGCCTCTGGGTGATGGCCTCTCCCTCCTCAGGGTCCTCTGGCTGTTCTGGGCCAAAGAGCTTTCTTCCCTCTTTCCTGATCACAGGCAGCTGGGGCTCAGCCCTGCCCAGAGGCCCTGTGACTCTAGATGCTATGACTGACCAGGGAGCAAGCGGGGTTCAGGTCCCCCACTGCCCACGCCCTGCCAGCCCCTGCCGTGAGGGGGCAGCGGCTGCCCCTTCCTTCGGACCTTAAGGTCCTCGGTCTACAAGGTCTGCCCACGGGAGGCCTTAGGCCTGGGTCTCCCACCTCCGGCCGCTGCCCCCCCTTGCCAGGCCAGCTCCCGGGCGTGGCCTTGCCGCTGCTTCCTGCTCCCGCCCCGTCTTCCTTTCTGGTGCGGGTGGCCCTCACTCAGGAGCTCTATTTATGAAATCTCTGGTTACTCTTAGAGGCTGTGTCCTCGGATCCCTGACGGCCCACTTTCTCCCTCTGTCCCGACTTCTAGGAGGAGCTCCCTCTTCTCCTCTTGATCCAGAGGAAGCCTCACTTCCCAGGCCCCGGGCTGTGAGGGCCCTGAGGTGGCTTCTAATGCTGGCCCCTAGGAAGGGCCTCTGGGAGGCTGGCCTCGGTGGCAGTTCTGCTCCCTCATCATCCGCCGAAGCAGGATGTGCTTCGAAGGGGTGCTGACCCAGTTCTTTAACCCACTGTAGTCTGACTGCTGCTTTAGGCTTCCCCCCACCACCCCAGCCTAGGGGACAGGCCCTGTTCCCGTGCGTGTCACTGGTCTGCCTCACACTCATTTTGTCTGTTCTCTCCTCACTTGCTCCCCCGAAGCACTAATGGCCACTCACCCACTGGGATGGCTGTGGGAGAGGAGCAGCCGTTGGGGGACACCGGCCTTTCCCCGGGGAATGGGGAGCTCAGCAGCTCTTGGTCAAAGCTTGGTTGCTATAAGCTACTTCTGGGGCATTTCTAGCCTCCCCTCCCCCCAAACACCTCTGGGGAAAGTCACACTGTATTAACTTGAGAGGATTTTCCTCTCCCACAATAAATGGAGACAGCCTCAGTTGCCAGCGCCCTGCCCCTTGGGGTGCTTTTCCCTCAGCCAGGTGTGCCTTCTGTGCCCCCACCACATGTTGTGGCCAGGCAGCCCTGGTGGCCCTGAAGGGGCTGTCCCCAGCAGAGGCCTTGGCCCTCACGGCCTGCCACACTGGCACCGGCCAGGGCTCCTTCCCTCTGCAGTGACACGTGGCTCCCCACCTGTGTAGCCTGGCCTGCAGACCTGGAGCTGGGCTAGGCAGGTAACACGTGCACTGGGCTGGGCATGACTGAGAGCTGGCTCTGACAGGCTGTCCTGGAGTCAGGTGGGAGACTTGGGTGTGGGGACTTGGGTGAACTGGGGGTGTCTGTGCCACAATAAGGTCACAGTGCTGCCTCACGCCAGGCAGCTGCCACCTGTGGGAATGTGAGCCCCGCGTTTCTAGATCTAACCACTGTTCAAAAGAAGCTGGTGACCCAGAGTGTGTGTGTGTGTGTGTAGTTTGTGGACGTTGGCAGTGAATCAGGATTTCAATCAAGGGCAGGCCGGAGTGGGCTAAGGGCTGGGTTTGCATGCGGTTCTCCAGCTTGCTGCCTTGGGGTCAGGTGGTGGGGCCTGGGCCGAAGAGGACGGCTGTCCTCGTCATGTTTTGCCTTCTACCCTCGGGTTCTGGGGGGGGTGTGGCTCCCCACAGAAACTTCCTCTGCCAGCTCTTTATCTGGTCTATTTGGCTTCTCTCTCTGAGGCTGTCGGGCGATGTATTTTGCAAACCTAAACTCTGTATAGGCCCGGTAGGACTATGTGCATTCCTCCAGGTGGGGGACTTGGCTGAAATTCCAAATTATTTTGATTTATGGACCAGAAAATGACAGAATACTGGACACGTAGCCTCGCGCTTGCAGCAGACGTGGGGACGGCTGTGGGCTTACAGGGCCCGGAGGTCTTGGCTGCCTTGGAGACGGGGCCTCCCTGTTCGTTACACGGGCTGGGGCTGGAACTCCAAGGCCTGGGCCCCTCCCGCCTGTGTTCCTTCTGTGGGTGGTGGGGTCAGTGGGAAGACAACGGATGTGGGTGTGAGGCGCCGCCCTGCTGGTGTAGCGCGTCCGGGGGGGGGGCCTTTGTCCTCACAGGAGTAATGGGCCAGGACCATCATGGGGCTTTGTTAAGAGAATTCGTGCCACGCAGGCCCATTCCACTTGACACTTGCAGAAGCTAGAAACCATCTGTGCCTGAAAAATTCAAACTCCTTGAACAAATAAGCCTTATCCCTCTGAAAACAAAACGATGTGTGCAATGACTTAATGTTAAGTATGTTTTATTGACCAGTTAATGATGGTGGTTAAGCATTTGCCAGAGGCTGTGTGGGTCCTGAGACGGGCAGCAAAAGGCATCATGTTCATTGCTAAGTTCAGAAAACCAGATGTGCAGGACTCACTGGCTGGAGGGGTGGGCGGAGGGCCTGCTGGGTACTCTCAGGCACGGCCAAGGAGGTGTAGCTCAGGCCTTGCTCTCCCAGCGTGCAGAGCTCCTTCCTGAGAAGACTCCGAGTTGGGTGTGGGTCTCTGAGCCTGTGAATGGGTCTCAGCGGACCCTGGGCAGAGTCTTGAGGAGAATCAGCTCTGACAGGTGGTTCTTTTTCTAGGGTGCTGTTTAGGCCTGGCTCCCCGAGGCCGGGGCAGTGTCATGGCTGCAGGCCAGGGTGGGTGGGCTGAGCTGGAGAGGTGGGGGGAACCCTGCTTGGCAGGGGGCAGGCTGCCTTGGTGGTGGTCTGGCTCCCCGCGCCCTCTCTGGGGACAGGCTAAGCCTTGGTGAGGACCTTCCTAAGCTCCTCACTCCTCTGGCGGTCAATGTCTTCCATTTCTCGCAGTTTCTGCGGAGGGAGAGCCGGGGGTCAGGGCAGGGGCATGAGCAGCCACTGCGGCGGTATGAAGGGAGCCGTCCCTGGGCCACCGCTGGCCCCTCCTTTCCCGGCACATCTTGGCTGTCCCCTCCTCTCCCACGTCCTTGTCGCTCCTACCTGGGAGATTTCAGCAAAGATGATCCCCCGGTACTGTCTGCCCTGTCCCAGGGCCTCCATGTCCGCCAGGAAATCCTTCCTCTCCTGGATCTCCTTCACCACTGAGGGGAGGAGGCCTATCAGGGGGGCAGGCAGGCCCTCAGGCGCCTGGGAGGGTGGGGGGCTGGCGCCTCTCTAGGGGAGAGGAAGCTTGTACTTCTCACCCTTGGGCCCTTGACATCACCCTGGCCCCCCTCAGCCCCTCCCGGCACCTCTGGCCCACCCGAGGCTCACGTTCTTCAAACCGGTCCGGCTCGGGAGCCGGGTCCTGGTGCCGCACGGGTGGGGGCTTTCTCTTCCGCTCGTCTGAGTCCTTCCCCGTGGCGAAGATGTTTTGGAGCCTTCGCTTCTCCTTCTCCAGATCTCCTGGGGGCAGAGAAATAGTCTGGTGAAGGTGAGCAGGTGGGAATCCGTGTGCTGGGTTCCCTGGGTTCCCAGGGTGGGTTCCCATGCAAGCCCGGCACTGACCCTGGCGCCCCTGAGCTTGTCATGTCAAGATGGAAAGAACCTTGAAGGCAGCTTTGCCGAACCCCACGCTTTGCGTGCAGGGCGAGGCAAAGAAAACTCAGCGATAGGCCGGGGGCGGCCAGTGTGAGGGGGCTGGTGGGGCTGGGAGGGCCTGGGCCAAGAGTTATGTCACATGCCAACTAGGGACGGGGGACAACAGCTCTGTGAACAGGCAGGCGTGCAGGGCAGCTCTGGGTCTGGGGACCCTGTAGCCGAAAAGCAGTGGCCATGAATCCTGACGTCCAGACATTCATCAGAGATTATTGGGCTCCAGCTAATCACGAATCCTGGAAACCTTTTTAAGAACCACTGAACTGCCTTCCCCTGCACTCCGAACACCCCCAAGCTACCATGTGCCAAAGCTCAAGAGCATTAATATAAACTGTGAGGATTTGACGAGATACCTGCTCAGCTGCCTGGGGGGCTGCTTGTCCCCACGCCCCCCACACCCCCCAAGCCCCTCGAAGAAGGAGGCGGGGCCCTGGGCCAGGCCTCCCACTTACGGGTCGCCTGAGGCTTGAACTGCTCCCTGTTGTAGGCCCCGTTGGCTTGGCACACGCTGGCAGGCCGGAGGTGGGACTGGGCCGCCAGGATCGGGGGCAGGTAGATGGCGGAGGCTGGCTGCTTGGCAGGCAGGACCCTCTGGCTGGAGGTGGGGCTGCAGTGTAGGGGCAGCGTGTCTCCTCCTAGGGAAGGAAGGGGCGGGTGGGGGCCCGCCTGGTGTAGCCAGCCCAGCAGTATGGCCGACTTCTTTCTCCTCTCCCCGCTCCTCTCCCCTCCCGCCCCCTGCTCTCCCCACTCCTCTCCAGCACGGGGGTCTCCTTTCCATGCTTTCTGATGCTTACACCGACATGTTCAAAGATGTGTGTGCAGACAGGATTGTGCAGACAGGATTTGTTTTTCAAACACTGGATCATGCTGTATTATATTCCGTAACAGACTCTTAACACACCATGGACATCTTTCTAGATTGATGCACTTATATGTAACTTATTTTTTTATGCCTCTATACTAGTCCTTGGAATGGATACATTATTTATTCAACTTGTCTCCCAGTTTCAAAACTCCAGACTTTCCAATTTGTTTTTACTACTTCAAACAATGATGCTGCAATAAACCTTCTTGTGCATCCAACCTTTATACTCGCGCTTTTGTTTCTGCAGACTGTCCGCAGGCAGGGCGGGATGGTTTGGGCAGTAAGAGACACCAATTCCCTCCTTGCTCTGTCCCTCCTGGGGGAGAGGCGGGTACCAGATCTGGAGCTCCTCCCCCGGGGCTGTCTCTCCCGTTGATTTGGCCCCTCCCCTCAATCCCCAGAAGCCCAGCTCAGAGCGGCCGGTCCATGTCCACCTCTTGTACTTCCACTTCTTGTACCCAGCCACAGGCCCTGAGCACTTTGCTGGGCCCAGGACTCGGGGTTGGGAGCTGGGGGAGCAGGGTAAGCAGACTAAGTCCTGCGCACACGGCCCTAGTATGTGGATGATGAGAAAATACACAAAATGTGGATGTGGATGGTGACAGAACAGGGATGGAGCATAGCGTGGGCCACAGCGGGGCTGGCAGTCTGAGATGAGGGCCTCCTCAAGAGGGTAACATTGAGAAGAGCCCCCCACAGTGGTGAGGAGGACAGCTAGGCAGATATTTTGAGGACAGCAGTGCCCTCCGGACAGAGGGAACAGCCAGTGCAAAGGACCTGGGGTGGGAATAGGGGTGAAGGGCCAGGAATGTAGTGAGAAAGGGCAGGGCTGGGGTGTGTCCTGGAAGTCAAAGCCAGAGGTCAGGGAGGGCAGAAGCTCTGAGCCACCTAGGTCTGGAAAGGCGGGCTTTGACTGGGTGAGGTGGAAGCTGTGGGAGTATTTTGAACAAAGTGACAGGCCCCCTTTGGCTGCTATTGAAAAGGCAGTTGGGGGGCCAAGGGCAGAGGCTGCTGCCAGGCTGAGGCTGAAAGTCAAGCAGACAGGAGTGCTGATGAGCGTACGAGGGTCCTGAGGACCGGAAGGAGTGGGGAGCCATATTTCACACTGAGCTCCCTGCTCACACCTTCTCCAGGAAGCCAGGACATCTTGGCTCGTCTCTGGGGAGATGTGGGGCTTCCGAGCATGGCCCTCCTGCCCTATTTCCAGCTCTCCACTGCCAAGTGTTACCTCTTCCTTAGGCTCATTCTCAGTAAATAATCTATGTCTGGAGTAACTGGGAGTTCCGGTGAAGAAGGGGAATTTGTGGCCTGCCACAGAATTTGAGCTAAAATAACTCAGATTTGGTTGAGAAGAGAGCAGAGAGGGGATTCTAGAAGAAAGGTGACTCAGTGCCAGTGCTTGGAGGCAATTTTTTTTCAGAAGAAAACTTCTAAAGAGAAGAAAACTGCCAGCAATCCAGTTACTTTGTTGGCCTAACCACTAATGCAATTAATCCTTCCGTAAATATTGAACACCTACATGCTGGGGCTCCAGTCGTGAACAAGGCAGACACAGTCCTTGGTCTCCTGGCATTCACTTTTAGGGAATTTCCAGCACATTCTCTTTGTAGCCATGCTTCGTTGCCAAGTGTGGAGACTGAGTTGCGTGAATCAAGTGTGCAATGGCTTTGGCAGCCCAAGTTGCCCTCATTTGCAGTGAGGTGGGGATGTGACTCCTCAACTGGCTGGACAGAGCCTCCCTTCCCTGGCCAGTTCTAGGCAGACATTGACCGTATTTGCCTCTCGGGCCCTTCTGTCCTGTCCCTATGAGTCTGGGGTGGGTCAGATGTCCTTCTGACAGGCCCATTCTTTTTTGAGAGAAAGAAATAGCTTTGGGTAAAGTCAAGTACAACTCAGGTGGCTTGAGAACCTTCTAGCATTCTCTCTCAAAGACCATTTTACAGGCCTCCGTCCTGAGCAATTTAGTGCGCACTTAGTTACATCTCAGAAAGCAAGACTGTTTTCAAGATCTTAGAGAGCACTTTGCTAAGATGTCCTCATATTTCCACGTTTTGTTTTTCATAAAAATGAATAGTCCAACATGGGGCCAGAGGCAAGGCTTTGCAGTTTTCCTACCTTAGCCTGAGTTAATCTTGTTTTCGCTACCTAAGCTACGAGTGGATGAAACTCTAACTCAGACACACACCCACAGTCCTTTTCTCCGGAGAACCCTCAGGGTGTGTGTGTGACCTGGATGGGACAGACTGCAGATGTAAAAGTGCTGAGCCTATTTTGCCTGTCTCTGCTGGACTGGGGTGCCTTAGGAAGCTCAGCTGGAGCAGGACCACAGGGGGCTTGTTGTGGACCCAGGTCCAAAGAAGAAGAAAAGGGGCCTCCCCGGTGGCGCAGCGGTTGAGCGCTGGGTTGCGAAGCTGCCCGCGGCCTCTGCGGCGCCGGTTCGATCCCCAGCTGCTCCCCGGCCACCGGCGGAGGATCCCACATGGCGCGCAGACCTCTCCTGCCGCCCGCTGCTCCCCTCAGCAGTGTACTTCGGTCCTTCTGCCTGCTCTGCTCCCCGCTCTGGCTCTGGTGAATTCTCTCACCCTCCCGCGCTTCTGACTGTACCCAGTGCTTGTATAAACAAAACAAACAAACAATCAAATAAATAAATAAATAAACATGCGTCTATAAAAAAAAAAAAGAAGAAGAAGAAGAAGAAGAAGAAGAAAAGACCCCATAAAGCCAATTCCCTTAATATGGAGGAACATTACACAAGGCTGCCCTCAGCCCAGGCAGCCTCTGCGGATTGCCTCTTACTTTTCATGGTGTCCATGATGTGGCGCTGTTGGAAGTTAGTCAATCTGGACTCCTGCATCATCACTGTAAGATAAAGTGCTTCTGTGAGGCCCCCTGGGCTGCAGGCCAATGCCCTCATTTCACCTTATGGAAATTTAAGAGCGTCACTTCCTACCCCATTCTGCACTCGAGCATCCCTCTCCCTTTCCAGCATATTTTTTTTCTGTAGCGCTCATCACCATCTAAACTCTCTATACATTACTTATTAATTTTATTGTTGCCTCCTATTAAAATATTAGCTCCAGGAGAGCAAGAATCTTTGCTGCCCTCCTCCACCTATCAAATGTTGCACTTAGAACACAGTCTAAAGTCTGCGTAGTCTTTCAAAACACTTTTGAGAGGGAATGGATGAACGAACAAGTATTCATGAAGCCTGTGCCAGGGATTGGTGGGTCCAAAGCGGCACAATCCCTGCCCTCCCTGTTCATGAGTAGAGGGGAGACGGCTGCTAATGCCATGGGGCACAGCTCAAGAGCACAGACTGTAGTCTGGCCACAGGCTGTGCTAAGCCCAAGGAAAGAAGAGGTCTGGTAGTGTGACGTACATGCAGAGGTAGGTACCGTTGTGAGGGCGGCGGGTGGGGAGGACATGTGACTTCCCTGGAGAAATTGAAAATTTGACCTAAAGGATGCACAGGAGTGTACTACTGTGATTAATGCTTTGACTTTTGGCCTCTTGCACATGGTAGGACCCCAACCTTTCTGAACCCCAGGCATCTTAGCTGTAAAATGAAAATAGCAACTGCTAAGCCACAGGTCAAGTAGGGAAGAACTGAGTTACAGAGCGTAACTGTTACAGCGGCTCTTCTGTTCTTGACGCACTGACCTCTGAGCAGCTCGCAGGTCCCTGGAGTGTATGTGGCCGGCTTGGGGCAGCGCCAGAACCCGGCTCCTTTGGGCACTGCCTCCACCCTCTCCTGGGAAGCCATGAGAGGGCCCTGAGGAGGGAAAAACGCAATGACACGCCCCTCATCTCCCAGCCCTGATCTCTGCTCCCGCACAGCCCCCCATCACCCAAAGTGGGGATCGGGTAGCAGAGAATCAAGATGTCGTTTGTCAATAGTGTGAGGGCCCGATACTCCCACCCCGAACAGACACCCTTTTCCTCCCACCCCCCCAAAGGGCCCTTCATCCGGCGTCGCCTGCAGCAGGGAAGCCTCATCGGGAGGGAGGGGGCATCGAGATAACCGCGGGGTCAGGACAATGCCCTTTGGGTGATACGCCAAAATTGAAGCCTCACCCTAAAGTAAGACCCCGTCTGGGTGCCCCCGTCCCCACGGAGAGCGGTGGCTGGGCTGCAGAGACCCGAACCTCGGCTCCACCCCGAGACCCACTCCGGCACCCACTCCGGCGCCCCGCGGGACACTCGGAGATCCCGGCTACTAGAGCCCGCAGCTAGCTCCAGCTACCATGGAAACGAGGACGCGCCTCCGCACGCATGCGCACGTTATCGCCCCGCCCCCGGAAGTGAGCGCCTCCGTCGGCACAGCGCAGGCGCAGAGGTCGCGTGGCGCCGTGCGAGGCGGAAGCGCGCAGCCTCTGGGGTCTGCCCGTGTTGTGGGGCGCCGAGCCGGGCTGGGGCGCAGGCGGCGGCATGTCAGACAACGAGGACAAGTGAGTGCCCGCGCTCGGGAGGGGCGGGTGAGCGGGCGCCCGGGCGAAAGGATGCGGAGGACTGGGCGTCGCGGGCCGTGTCCGAGGGGCCGGGCTCTGAGGGCCTCCGCGAGCCGGAGCCCGGGGGGGCGGGGAGCCGGGAGCCTGCGCCGAGCGCACGAAGGCCCAGGGCCAGGGGTCCAGAGAGGATCAGTGAAAAAGGTGGCCTTCAGCAAACGTCCCCTGAGCTGGCCTCTGTCTCTGGTACTGGGTGTATTGAGGTGAATTAGGCACAGTCGCTGCTCCCCACGTGCTCCCTTTCCAGAAGATGGGACAGACCCGTGAGCAGAGCCTACCGGGGCGTGGTGCAAGAGTGTAGGATAGAAGTAATCCGGAGGAGGGTCTGGGGAGGCTTGGAGGCAGAAAGGTCTGGAAGGGTTGCGGCAGTCTAGGTCAGAGAAAGGAGTGGCTTGTACTCGGGTAGCGGTAGTAGAGGTGGTGATAAGTGGCTTTGCGTTTTCGGGATTTATTTTGACGCTAGAGCTAAAGAGGTTTCTCGATGTGTGGGAAGAGGAGAGAGCTGTACCTCAAAAAGAGGCGTGGTCACTGTAAGTATACTTGTCAAAATTTAGAAACAGCTGAGAAGACCCCAGGAATGTCAGCGGTGGGTGAGCATTTCAGCATTGAGGGGAAGGAGAAACCAGCAGCGGAGACTCAGGAGGAGCGGCCTGGGAGCTGGGGGAACACCAAGAAAGTGGGTGTCCTTGAGTCAGGTTAGGACAGTGTTTTTGCAGGAGGGAGCGTCTACTGTGCCAGCTGAGAGATTGGGCTAAATGAGAACAAGCATTGCCCCTTGGATTTAGCAACGTGGAAATCCTTAATCTGATAAGTGGTTTTGATGGGGGCTTGGAGGCAGGGCTCTTACTGTAATCAGATTATAACGGAGTGGGGGAAGGGAGGAATTAGACAGCAAAGATGGACAGCTCTCTAACAAATCAAGCTCTGTAAGGGGGAAATGACTGTATCTGTATAATCTGATGAGAATGACCCAACACAGACAGGAAAGATGATGAATGATCCTAGCAAAATTTGGGGGTTGGGCCTCCGTGATGGCTTAGGGGTTAAGTCTCAGTGCTATCATGCTATCACCGCTGCAGCCTGAGTTGGTCTGAGTTCAATCCCTGGCCAGGGAACTAACCCACATGGCGCAGCAGACCTCTCCTGTCTTGCCCGCTGCACCCCTCAGCAGTGTATTTCAGTAGATCCACCTATTTTGCTCCCTACTTGGTCTCTGATGAATTCTCTCACCCCCTGCACCTTTGGCCTACACCCCAGGTCTTGTATGCATAAATAAATAAAAATAGGATTTTAAAAGTAAGTATCCTTTAAAAAAATGGGGGGGGGCTGGTGACTCGTTAAGTCCATTGAATTGATATTTATTGAAGCCCAGATTTCTGCCCTCTTTAATGCTCTACTGGCTTTTTTTTTTCCGGTACAGTTTTGATGGTGATGACTTTGATGATGTGGAAGAGGATGAGGGGCTCGATGACTTGGAGAATGCTGAGGAGGTCAGTGTTTGGCCTTGGATGCCCCCTCTGCAGCCCACCCTGCCACTTGAGCCAGCGGGTGATGCTGCCTGAATGCCTCTGTCTGCTGCTCACAGTCAGGGGGCCCCTGCCACCTGCACCCCCGGTCGGGGCAAGCAGACTCCAGTTCTAGGTAGTGGAGAAGCCCTGTGGGTTGAGGCTGAAGTGACCCCTCTTCTTCCTGTTGGCTTGGCTGCTCCTCCCCATGCTTCTAGAGTAGCTCGAGTCTCATCTCTGACCTGTCCTGGCTCCCCAGTTGCGTTCGATGTCCCCACCTTCTGGTTCGCTCTGTTGCCACCTTCATAGTTCCAGCTGTTTAGTTCTTTCCTGTCTTTTTCCCAGTCTGTGAATTCTTCAAGAGTGGAAGCACTTAGCCTTCCATCTTAGCATCTCTTATGTCTGGCACAGGGCAGATGTTTAACCAGCAGTTGTTAATGTGTGAGGGTGCGTGTTTGCACCTGCCTTCACTCTTGACTTCGTAGCCACTTGATCCACCGACTCAGTCACCTCGTCTGACAGCTGGGGGGGTTATTCCTTGCTTCCTGCTTGGGGAGATTTGTTGTCTGTGCTTAAGGACTTCTTTATAGAGCAGCCTCCTGGGACTGCCCCATTGCCAGGCCCTGCGTGTCATTCTCCTCAGCCTCCCTCCTTCCCCCAGACACACCCTGAGCTTCTCTTCTTTTCTTTCTTGGTGTCCAGGAGGGCCAGGAGAACGTTGAGATCCTCCCCTCTGGAGAGCGCCCACAGGCCAACCAGAAGCGAATCACCACACCCTACATGACCAAATACGAGCGAGCCCGTGTGCTGGGCACCCGAGCCCTGCAGATCGCGTGAGTGTGGCTTTTGCCCTTAACCCTTTTCTGGTGAACCGCAGCGAGCCTCCCAGTGGCTGATCTGGCCCCGCCTGGTCCCTGAGAACAGACCCCCTGCTAGCACATTCTGAGCAAGGGTGCTGCCATCCCTGTGTGCCAGGCACCGTGCTAGACCCTGGCCCTCAGGAAGTTTACAATCCAGTAGGAGAACTAGGCCGTGAGCATCTGAGAAGTCAAATCACAGCACAGAAAAAAGCAATAAAAGTGCAGAAGTCGGGCCTCCCCTGGTGGCGCAGCGGTTGAGCTCTGGGCTGTGAGGCTGCCCACAGTCTCTGCAGCACCGGTTCATTCCCCCGCCACTGGCGAGGGTCCCACAAAAAAAAAAAAAAAAAAAAGTGCAGAAGTCAGTGATCTCAGGGTGGTGGAGAAGAAGAAAAAGGTGTGTGCTCAGAGGTAGCCAGAGGAGGGGCCCTCCGGGGGGCAGCCACAGGGGCGGGAAAGCACAGAACAGCGGAGGGCTTCTGGGGGTTTCAAAACGAGCAAGTTTTTCTTTCTTTCTGAAGTTTAGAACTCGTTGGAAGAATAACAAGATTCAGGAGTGAGCTAGCAGATGGGAGCGCGGAAGTCAGACGCTGGTGTATTCACCCCGGCAGGGATCAGGGCCTGTGTCTGCCAAGGTGGTGGTGGTTGGAGGGCGGACCACAGGTGCCTGCCCTTCTCCCCAGGCTCCTTGTCAGATGCGTTATCCCTCCTCCTGGGGGCACACGGAGGGCAGGCATGGTCCTGTTCCTCCCGTGGAATGTCCTCTCCAGGGAGAGACGAGGCAGAGGAAAAGCCTGACAAGCTGGGTGGGAGGTGGCAGAGTCTGGAGCAGGGGCACGTCATGGGGTGGAGGAGAGCAGAAATAGGTTGGAAAGGGAAGTGGGGGCACAACTTGTGGGGTCCTGCCCTCTAGAGAAGTGGGGCGCTAGATCTGCCTCGTCTCACACAGCGTCCAGCTGACCTCCTCCAGTCTTGTGGGGTGAAGAGGGCCCGTGTCCATCTCGGAAAGGGTTTTATGGGCAGGCAGCTTTGTTCCTCATCCGTTCCATAGCAAGGGGCCCAGGGACCACTCACCAGCCCGGCTGCCCTCGTTGCCCTGCTGGGTGAAGTCAGGCGCGTTGTGTATGATGCTTTTGAGAGCAAGGTGGTTAGGCCCCTCCAGGCTGGCGTTGGGAGCCACTGGCTGCATGTGGCCATTAAATTTCAATTAAGTAATTGATTAAAAGTTCAGTCTTTTCATCTCCTTGGCCACAGTTCACATGCCCTGCAGCCCTGTGGCTGGTGCTGCCACGAGGTGGAGCGCAGAGAGGACACGCACTCACGGCCGCGTTCAGCAGGCTCAGAACCACCCAGCGGAACGTGTGTTCTTGGGTTGTTTTCAAGCTCAGACTGTGCAAATGCAAGTCTGTCAGCTTTGAATGCGACACTGAGCTGCTACCTGTTGGGCCGTGAAGGTGATTAAAGACACAGCTGCCAGCCCCCGGGGACTACCTTGTGGCGGGGACATGGACCCTTCCCAGGGAGATGGGTGGTGCTTTGCAAGAGGTAGAGAAAAGAGAAGGGGGTCGTTGCAGGGGGCTGGGAAGCTTCAGGAAGGGGGTTGATTTAGGTGGGGGTAGGAAAGGACGGTGGTTTTGAGGGTCTTCAGGCGCCAGAAACAGACGAGGGGGCCCTGGGTGAGGCAAGCCAGTGTAGGTTATGATGTGGGAGTGTAAGTCTCTTGGGGTGTGAGACTGGAGATGCCACTGAATGCCCAGAGTAACAGGTTCACTTGTCAGATAGCTGTGCATTTGGTGGGCGGCGTGGGGCACTTAAACACGTTTGGAGAACTTATAAGAACAACAGCTTGCTATTGCTCCACGTCCCAGCCTCCTGGGAGCTGGGTACAGTACAACTTAGTTGGGCCTGTAGTGCCCTTTCTGAGGAAGGGCTTGGACACCGGCTGGCTATTCCCTGCTGCTGTGAGCCCTTGGACTGCCAGGCTGTGTCCAATCCCTAGCACTGGGCAGGGATGGGCAGCTGAAGGGCATCTCTTGGACAGTTTCTGGATGTACTCTCACTGGGGCCGTGAGCGCCACCTGGTGGCTGAGGTTTGCCACAGCCTTTTCCCTGCTCAGAGTCACTGCCTCACCTGGGCCTCACCTGGGCCTCACCTGGGCCTCACCAGGCAGCTTGTGGGAGGGCAGGTGGGTGACTGCCCTTGCATTACTCCTATCTTGAAAAAATACGGCATATGCAGACTGGGAAAAGCATATTGCCACATTCTTTTTTTTTTTTTTTTTTAATAGTTTTTTTTTTTTTTTATAGAGGCATGTTTTTATTTATTTATTTATTATATTTGTTTGTCTTGTTTATACATGCACTGGGTACAGTCAGAAGCGCGGGAGGGTGAGAGAATTCACCAGAGCCAGAGCGGGGAGCAGAGCAGGCAGAAGGACCGAAGGACACTGCTGAGGGGAGCAGCGGGCGGCAGGAGAGGTCTGCGCACCATGCGGGATCCTCCTCCGGTGGCCGGGGAGTAGCCGGGGATCGAACCGGCGCCGCAGAGGCCGCGGGCAGCTTCGCAACCCAGCGCTCAACCGCTGCGCCACCGGGGAGGCCCATATTGCCACATTCTTCAAAGCTTTATATTTTGGGAAGATTTAAATGTTTGAGAGAGGATGTGGGGGAACTAAATACTAGGTCTTTGCCTTTGGAAAATTTTCAGACTTTTGGGGAGTAACAGAAATCAAACAGCCAGTAATAAATCATTAAATTATTAGGTGTAAGCCCAATTTACCTTAGGTGTAAATTATTAGGCGCCACTCTGCCTGGCTGATTATCAGAATCACTTGGGGGAGCTTTGCAAAGATTCTGTTGAGGGTTTGGGGAAGGACCTGGAAACCTGTATTTTTAACATGCTTGCCTGGTAATGATTTGGGATCTATTCGTGAAAATATGAGCTGGACTCATGAAGCCTGGCTTCCTGGAGGAGGTGGGCCTAGAATCGGCATCCTGGTTTGTGTGTAGACCCTGTGCGGTGGGCCAGGTGTGGTGCTAGGGCACATGGTCCTGGCCCCCAGGTGCTCGAGAACTGGCAAGCTTCCAGGCAGGAGTTAGAGTACAGCGAGATTGATGCCGAGAGGACACCTGTCAGGTGAGGCGGGCACTGAGGATTTGGCAGAGGGTTTCCAGGTGGAGACATGGCGTGAGGGAGAGACTGCAAGAGGACACAGGGCAAAGACAGGGTCCACCCAGGGAACATAGACGCTTGGCCTGGCTGGAGCCTGGGGTAAATATAGGGAAGTAGCTTCAGAAGTTGCTAGAAAGATGAGCAGGGTCCAGACTGGGCTCTGCCTGGTGACCACAGGGTATGCACATGGGTTGTAAGCAGGTGAGTGCCTGACACCCCTCTCCCTGGTGAAGGTGGGAAGGGCAGGACGCCTGAGGGGGTCTTGCCAAGACAGAAGGAAAATGAGGTGAGCTGGCCTGAGGCACACCCACGGCACGGCCCAGAGCCTCAGAAAAAGCCCTTTGACTGGAACCCTGCCATGTGGCCGGCCCAGTCAGATCGGCCCTGGGGAAGGCCCTTGACTGGGGCGTGACGATTGTTGTGTGGCCGCGGAGGATGCTGACTCTCGCCCGGCTCACAGCTCCTTTCTCTGGATCTTTCGCTTATTAATGGAGGCATTGGAGCTTGGGGGCTCAGGTCTTGGCTCTGCCACCTACTGGCTGTGTGACAAGGGGAAGTTACTGACCTCTCTGGCCTTAAGTTTCCTCACTAGTAAAACAGAAATGATTAGTGCTCCCATCAGGTAAGGGCAGCTAGCTGACGAGCTGAGCAGGCACAGCCCTCTTAGCCCTCTTAGCCAGGGGTGTGTTCACATCGATAGCGAGCAGGCCCCGCGGGACTTTGTGTTTCCATCTTCAGACGAGGAGACTGAGATTTGGAGAGAAATTCACTGGTTTGGGACACAGAATTTAAATCCACTCTGTTGCCCCCCACTCGAGTGCCCTCGCTGTGGCAGTGCCCCTGGGCCTCTGCTCCCCTCCTCCCACGCCTGCCTCTGAGAAGGTGCGGCCCAGGAGCCCGATCCCACCCTCTCTGGGAAGTGAACCTGCCAGGCCCTGGCCCTGTGCTTGCCTTCTGCCCAAACCTGTCTTGCACCCACAGGATGTGTGCCCCCGTGATGGTGGAGCTGGAGGGGGAGACAGATCCCTTGCTCATCGCCATGAAAGAGCTCAAGTAAGTCGCCCAGGGCCCTAGGAGGCATCTTGGGGTGGAGGTGTCTTTGCTGCCTGCCCCCACCCTCACTTCCTGGCTTGCTCCTACGGGCAAAGGGTGGGGTGGAGCCATTGACCTGACCTCAGGATTTCCTGGTTCCTGTTACCTTTGCCCCACAGCACCCCCCCATGTGTCCCCATACCCCGCTTTCAGTGTTGGGGGCAGAGCTCTTCAGATCCCCTGTCCCATACTCAGGGGTGCATTGTGAGCCCGCCCCTGCAAAGTCCGCTGGGATCCCAAGAGGATGCTCCTGAGGCCGCAGCTTCCCTGCGCTCCCCGCAGCCTGTCCCTTCCGCCGCAGAGCCGCGCCCTCACGCGCTGTCCTTTCTCCCCTGCCGCAGGGCCCGAAAGATCCCCATCATCATCCGCCGCTACCTGCCGGACGGGAGCTATGAGGACTGGGGGGTGGACGAGCTCATCATCACGGACTGAGCCGGACGCGCTCCTCACCTGCCCCGCCCCAGCTTCCTGTCTTTCTGCGTGTAAATAATAAACCCTTGAGCCCGAAGCCCTCTCCACGCCCTGCTCCCCGCGCTGCCCGCCCGCTCCTTCCCGCGCGCGTCCCTGCGTCGGGCACCCGTGACTGTCAGCTCTTCAAGAAGCGCCAGGGGCCCTTCCCCCGCGCACCCTCCCCACCCCTCCCTCGTCTCCCTTCGCCAGCGAGGGCTGCTGCGGTGAGACACCTCAGCTGCCTTCCCAGCACACAGACGAGCCTTTGTGCCCAGGGAGCTGGTTGCCACGGAGACCCCCAATTTCCTCTCCAGTGGGGACTGGCTGCAGGGGCTTCTCCCTTCTCAGGAGTATCACGGAGCAGGTCTCATCAAGCCGCCCATTGTTTCCTGAGGACCTGCCTCGAGCCTCTTATCGAGGGCTCGGATCCCCTTTCAGGAGCAGTGCCCCAGCAGGAAGCTTGGGGTGCAGTGATCTCCTGCCCTCCCCGCGCGGAGCCCTGCCGGGCACGTCAGCAGCTGGAGATAGGACCGAGCACCTGCCCTCGGCCCCACGCCCAGGCCACTGCCCCGCGCTCTGCCTGGGCTGCCGCTCATCTGCACCCACCGGCTCCCACCCTCTGGAAGGCGTCCCTGCCGCTTCCCTTCCGCAAGGGGGTGCCGTCGGGCCGGGGCCTGGGTGACGGGGAGAAGCGGGGTTCCAGGTGTGGCACTGAATCAGGCCGGGGCCCCTTCCTCTCTTGGGTTCCGATGGGTCCTGTTCTCTTCATCCCGCTACCCAGCCTGCGGGAAGACCGATTCGGGGGGTTCTGCCCTCCTAGGGCCGGGGCGGTGGGGGGACAGGAGCAGGGTGCAGCGCGGCGGTGGCGGTGCTGACGGACGGGAAGTCGGCGCCCTGACTCCCCGCCGTGGCCTCTGCCGTGTTGCCGCCTTCCCTCCTGGGGAGAGGAGCTGGGCTCCCTGACCTCTGCCAGGGGCGGGGTCCCCGTGGGTGCGCCCTGGACAGAGGCAAGGCCCCCCGGGATGGGTGCGCGCTGGGCGGGGGGAGCTCGGGGCAGTCGGTGTGCTGCTCTGGGGAAAGGTCAGTTCAGGGAGCGGCGGACTTCGCACCGCCTTCCATCCTCCCGCAGGCCCGCGCAATCCTTTAATCAAGTTGGGTGCTGAAATTTCAGCTCTGAAATGCCGCTTTGTGCCGGCATCCCGGCGGCCGCCCTGGAGTGCGGGGGTCACTTTCTCGGCCCCGTTTCTCTAAATGGCCTCTTTGTTCTGGCTGGGCCGCTGGTATCAGATGTGATTAAAGGGAGATGGGGCTTGGGTGGGCGGGAGGAGGGGCCGGGAGGGGGGTTAACCCTTGGGGGATAAGGTGCAGAGGAGATGGGTCGAGGGGTGTTTCCTCCCGCCCTCCCCCTTTGGTTCTGCTCTCTCAGCTGGCCTGGCCTGGACATCGTCTCTTCAGTGCCTTCCAGAAGCACCTGGCCCTGCTTTCCATGTGGAGCCACCGCTTCACTGACGTCCACCTCATCTGGAACCTTCCATCTAAGGGAGAGGCGTCGGAGCTCTTCTCACTTCTCCGTGGTCATTTGTCCTCTGCCCGGGCCACTTCCCCATCCCGGCCCCCACCTCCAGGGACCTCCCCATCAGTCTCGTGAGGCTCAGGGTGCTGGCTGGGACCCTTTCTTGTTGCTGTAGCCCCTGCCCGGCTCCCCAGCCGCGGCCCCACCCAGAGCAGGAGCGGAGCAGACCAGAATAGGCAAGTGTCCGCTTTGCCACAAGGCGGGAAGGGTGGGCTGTGAAAATTTCAAACCTGTGAGGCTAGTACTGCTGATCCCTCATAAGATTCTAGAATCCCTCACCTATTTGAAAACACAATAAAGGGGAGGTCCGGGAGCCGCCATCGGGATCCTGAGGGTCAGCATCGCCCAGGGGCACTGTGTCCTCTTCCCAGTGGCAATGGGCCTGGTGGCTGAGAAACGCCGGAGTCAGTGGTTCTTGATCTCGGCGAGGCAGGGGGTCACCTGTACGGCCACGCTGGGGAGGCTGAGCTTCATGGTGACATCTAGATTTGATCGGGGCTTGGTTTTCCCCCAAGAGGAGGTGATAGAATTGCCCATGCAGAGGCACTGAGTGTGGACACACAGCCTGGCCTTCTGCGTTTGAACCTGTTTTATCAGTTACTTGAGTGAGGATATTCAAGCTTGCAGATACAACATAGCTCAGAAGGCGAGCTGGCAGGTTGGAGTCAGAGCTCCAGAAGATTTAATATAGCTCGGGAAAGGGTCAAATCCAACAGGATGAAATCTGGAAGGGCTGTGTGAAATCCTGCGTTTAAACAAAACGCCAGAGGACAGCTCCCAGCACAGGGGCCTGCGCCACCACCGAGCCCTGCGGGGCCAGCTGTGGGGAGGTGGCTGCCAGCCACGGCTCCCGTGGGTGTGTGGCCACCCTGGAGGACTGGGGAGGGATTGACGCTTCCCACCCCACCCCTGGGAGAGGCTGGAGACCACAGGGAAGAAGCGGGTGAGGGAGCTGGGGCTGCTGAGCTCAGCAGTGAGAGGGCTAGAGATTGAAGGTGGAGGTAGAGCCTGAGGGCTGTGGGCCATGGGGCGTGGGAGAGGTGAGGGCTATGGAGTCGCCTGCTCCTGATCTGGCACCGGCCCTCCTTAGCCTCAGCTTCTCAAAGCTTCAGTTTCCCCATCTGGAACGTGGGGGTCGGACGCCCTCCTTCAGAGGCCCGAGGGACATAAGCGCTTGGCCAGGGAGCACTCAGTGGGTGACACTGTGCTATTAGCTGGGTATAGGGAGGACTTTGGTTGTCAGAGGCGTCCATCAGTGGAGCACGGTGGTGACGAGACTTCCCCTGGCCCTGAGGGGGAGCAGTGCTCCCCAAGCCCAACCACTGCAGGTCAGAGTCCTGAGGAACGTGCTCCTCTTTCCTTGGCGCCTCGCACTAGGAGTTGGATGTGCATCTCGTCCTTGGTTTATACTTGCAACCCCGCGGCTGCTGTGAAGGTGGCTGCTGTGAAGACTCGGCTAGATTCTGGGGTGAACCTGCGTGTGTGTCGGGGGTGGGTGAGAAGCGGCAGGTAGCGGGGCACAGTGAAAGAAGGCCCATCCACACATCCTGAGGGACCAGGCCTGCTGGCTGCACACAGCAAGGCGCCCGGCCTCCTCTGCCTCTCTCAAATACATGCCCGGGCGTTCTTTGCAGCCCTCCTCCCGCTGGCCGAGCCAAGGGGCTGCCGGAAGGTGTTCTCATCGATTCCAGCTCGTGCCTGCGGGTAGCCCACGTGCGGGGTGGGGCGCTGCTGGGTGGGGGGGCAGAGCTCCCTCTGGAGCTTCAGTCCCGAGCACAGACTGAGCCCACTGGGATGCCAGTTGTCCCACTACACAGCCCCACCTTACGGGAGAGAAGAGAGCCCTGGGTTAGCTCTCCTTTGCATTCTACCCCTAGCTTTTTCCAGAAAGTGTTTGAGGAAGCACAGGTACAGGGATAAGAGACCAAGAGACAGGCCAGGTCAGGCCTACCACACAGGTACCAGAACCTCTCTTTATTATGTGGAATGCTTAATGCAGAGTTAATAGGGACTGGAGTACCTAGGAGAGGGGCGAGGAAAGAGGGACCTACCGAGATAAATAAGAGGGGGCAGTAATGAGTTACATGTGGATCGTGGGGGCTGCAGAACAGCAAAGTAGGGGCCGACAGAGCTACACACTTTATTCGAATATCACTGGGAGGCAAAGGGCAAAAGGCAAGGGCAGAATGTACATGTCAGGAGTTTAGTGTCTTCAGCCTGCTGCCAGCAACCTGGCTGCTGGGCCCCGTGTCTCCTGGAGCCGAGGGTTTGTGCCTGGGCAGCTAGAACTCTGGGGAGCCCAAGGAATGGGGACTGACAGAGCAGGGGCCACAGGGCCTGGTAAGGGTTGAAGGAATTTGTGGGGAGCCTGGAGAGGCTCTGTGAATTGTCTCTGTATCCGCTCCTGGAACCCCTGCCTCCTCACCCCAGGGATGTGCTCACGGCCGGGGAGGTTGCTGTGGGGTGGGACAGGAGGTTCTCCCTCCCTTAGACAAAGAGTGAGGTTATTGGCACAGAATTGGATCTGGGGGCCTCTGTGCCAATTCCTTCCTGTTTTCAGGAGGGGTGGGGGCACCCAGGGCATGAAGCCTCCCACTGAGCCCCTACCCCCAGATGTTCAAAGCTGTCCTCAGCCCCGGGGGCAGGGAAGGGCCACTCCAGGCACTGAGGCAGGCCCCTGCTTGGCCTTGCTCCCAGGTATGTAGCAGAGCTGGCTCGGGTAACAGCAACCCACAGGCAACACAGACCCAGAGAGGAAATGGGCATGGCGTGGCAGGGCCTCCCCTTCCCACCGGCCCTGGAGGCTCCCCCCTCAGGGGAGGGTGAGCCCGTCCTTCTCAGGTCCTGGGGTCAAGGGTCATGGGGGAGGGGAGGCACAGCCCTCATCCTTCAGTCTAGGGGCGGCCGCCAACCTCCTCTGCCCAGCCTGGCAACCAAGGGCTTTGCCTGGACTGGGGCCTGGATAGGATGGGGTGGGGTCCTCAGGGGCAGGAAGCCAGACGGAAAGTCTTCCCTCGACTGCCAGCCTCTGCAGCCTCCTCCATCAGGCCTGTGATGGGCGAGGAAGGGGGGAGGGGTGCACTACCCGGGGACCAGGCGGGATGGCGGTGACGGGCCCCTCTATGGCCGGGACAGCGTCGTATATACGGGCTGCTCCCAGTGTGTGGGGCTGTGGGACTGGGGCCCCGAGGGGCTGGGGTCAGAGATGGCCGTGTAGAGGGGCCGCTGGGAGGGCCCCATGTAGGAGAAGGCCGAGTAGAGGCCGGAGGCTTGGCCCGAGTGGCCGTAATAGGGTCCTGAGGGCTGGTGGTCAGCGTAGTCGAACTGGGGGCGGGAGATGGAGGGGAAGGCGGAGCCGTAATGGGGCAGGCTGAGGGAGGTGTAGGCGATCTGCGAGGTGGACGGCTGGTCGGTGTAGTGGGGGGGCCCCTGGGGCCCCGCGGTCTCCGTCTTCACCTGGGCCTTGGCATCCACACCCGGTGGGGAGACCGTGGGTAGAGCCACGCCTGGCGGCTTGGAGATCCAGGCGGAGTGTCCGCTGGCCACAGCCAGGGCGCTGCCCAGCCCGTAGCCGGCTGCCGAGTAGCCGCCCACGTGGCCTGGGTGCCCGTTGGGCGGCAGGTACTGGTCCAACTCAGCCACGTCAAAGGTCTCCATGTTGGACATTACCTCGTGGCTGATCTCCCCGATGTCCACGTTGCCGAAGTCGATGTGAGGCTTTCCGCCCTCCCCCAGAGGGCGCCCGTCCCGCTTGGGGTCTGCCTTGCCCGACTGCAGCTCTGTCTTTGGGGTGGTCGGAGGGGTGGGTGGGCCATGGCTCTGGCCTGGAAGGAAGGGCAGTGGAGAGAGAGGGGGACATGAGGTTAGAGGCTTCTGGTTTCACCGAGATGCCCGGGGCCGATCGTGTGTACGCTCCACGGGTCTGGGCAGGCCGAGATGTGTGTCTACAACGGTCTGGGTTGGTCTCCGGCTGCTTAAGAGTCTTCCCAATTTTAGGGATGGCTCCTGCCTCCCACCCAGAGCAGGACCCCTGTCTGTCAGCCACCTCCTTGGAGAGGCGGCTTCATTTTGAAAATCCTTTTCCTCTGGAAAGTTCTTCCTCAGGTCAGCAGAAGGCGGTTTCCCGCCCTGCCCCATGGCCCTCAGCTGCTGACCCCTGGGGGTGTGGCTCACTGAAGGACCCCTGCTCTGTTCAACATACACTGGGCCTCTGCTGGCTGCTCCCCTTGCTGACCTGGGCCGCCCTCATCACCCCTGACTCAGTTGCACCTTTGCCGCCTGGCCTGTGCGACCGACCGCCTATCCTAGCCCGGCTCTCCCCCAGGTCTGCTCACTCCCGTCCGGCTCACGCCCTCCCCGCTGACCCAGCCCCACGAGCGAGCGCTCTCAGCCCCTCACACACTCGCCGCCATGGCCCATCCCTTCAACTTCCGGACAGAACTCAGAGCCTGTCTTGCTCTCCCCCTGCTCCCTGGTTCATTTTCTCACCCCCATATTCACTCTGCCAACATCTGGGGCCCGGCTAAGTGCCGGCAGGCGGGATTGCAAGAGTCAGCTGCAGGGCCCCTGCCTTCCTCAGCTTGGGGGAGATCCAGAGCTCCACTCTGTGATGACAGGACGTGCAGAGGACTCAGGAGCCTGGAGGAGTCCCCCCCCTGCCCCCAGCCTGAGGGATTTGGAGGAGGCTGCACTGAGGAGGAGTAGCTGAGCTGGGCCTTGAAGGCCGAGGAGCACGCCAGCCCCTCAGTGTATTCTGAGGCGGTGGTTCTGTACAGGGTCCAGGGGCTTCTCTGGTGTGTGTCTGTGACCTGACTCTGGAGGTGAGGAGCATTTTTAGGGGAAGGGGTGGCTGGGCTGGGGATCCCAGCCCTGATCCATAGGCCGCAGCACCCTGAGGGCAGGACTGTATCTCCTCCATGAGACGGGATGCGGTGCGGGTCCTGCATGCTGAGCTCTCTGCACTGGGCTTTGAATCCTGGCTCTGTCACTCACTGTGTGACCTGCACAAACCCCTATCTGCTCCTTCCTTATCAGTAAACCAGAGACAATGCCAAGCAGCACAGACACTGCCTCCTTCCAGAAGCTTCCCTGGACCACAGTCCCGCAGTGGCTGGAGACCCGACTGGAGGGCCTCCCTCTAGCTGTCTTGAGGGCTTTGTGAGGGCAGGTTTCTCCCTGGGCTTCCCTCCCTCCTGTGCTTCCCACTGGCCCCTGGACCGTGGGCTCCCGAGGCAAGCGCCGTGACTTCTCTTCACAAAGGACCCTGTGCCCTGGAGTCCGCTTCCGGGCCCGGCGCCCGGGAGGACTGGACGCCTGTCTCCTGAGGCAGAGCTCTGCTCACGGGCACTTGCCGTGGGCATTCTCTACCCGCACACACCTGGCAGCCGGGCACCGGGCAGAGGCCCCAGAGCCCCGCGGGGCTCGTCTCAGCTGGGGGCAAGTCACTCGGTTTCCTCATCTGTTTGCAGTGGCCAAAGGAGCTAACACGCCCGAGGAAGCAGCGCGGTGTCTGGCACCCAGGAGGTGCTCGGCGCTGTTATCGTTAACGAGAATGAAACGAGACGCCCAACGTGTGACCCACGCAGGCCGCGTGCTCAAGGTCACAGGCCTGTCCGCCCCGCAGGCCCCTAGGTGGACAGAGGCCATTTAATCTCCCGTTTCTCAAATCATCCTTCGTGGGGGTAGCGCAGCCCCTGGCCCACGGCCTCCTCCACGGCTCCTCCAGCCACCGGAGCCGCCTTGCCGGCACCTGCCCCGCACCTGTGTTCCCGCCCAGCAGCAGGGTCCAGGCCCCGCAGCTCAGACTCCCCCCTCCTCACCTGAGGGGTGCTCCGGGTTCCCGTCCGACATCGGGGAGCCCTCTCCCGGGTGCCGGTGGTCCAGGTGGGCGCTCTTATAGTGGGCCTGGATGGCAGCCGCCCCGCCCTGCTCGCCCTCGGCGCCCGGGCACTCGGCCTCGCCCTGGGCGGCCTTCCCGTTCTTGCGCCGCCGCGGCTGGTACTTGTAGTCCGGATGGTCCTTCTTGTGCTGCATCCGGAGCCGCTCGGCCTCTTCGATGAAGGGGCGCTTGTCGCTCTCGTTCAGCAGCCTGCGGGGGGACGGCAGAGGGGTCGGCGTGAGTGTCTGGCTGGAGGAAACGAGGCTCCGGGGTGGGGCCCGAGTCAGGGAGGTTGAGGCCCCAGCAGGCGGGTCGCCAGGGATCTGAGCTCTGCCCCAAGCCCCTCGGGGCTGGGCGTGGGTGGCGGGCCCTGCAGAAGGCGTCAGAGGCAGGAGCAGAACTCCGAGGAAAGGAAAACGGCCCTCACCCTCAAGGCTGCCTGCGAGTGGCGCTGGCAGCCGGTTGGGGGTGAGCTCCCCGGCCCTGGAGGCATGCAAACCGAGGCGGCGTGCTGAAGGGAGGCCTGGCCTGCATGCCTCACCAGCTGCGCCGTGGCGAGTCACTTCTCTGAAACTTCCTTTACCCCACCAAGGCAGGCTGACGGGCTGCCCACCTCTGGGACGGCGGGCGTGAGCGGGGTGACGTGCTTTGCCCCTCATCTGAGGACAGGGGTGGGCGCCTCGAGAAATATTCTGTTCTGTGCTTTGTGGGGGTGGCTGGCGGGGACCTAGGTGGGCCCCTCCACTCTGGAATCCTGATCTTGTGATTTGGGTGGGTGGGGCCGGGGAGGGGGCTAGGAGGTGAGTGCCTGCGTGGTTGCTGTCCTCCCGGGGGACCAGCGCTCCTTGGCGGGGGGTGGCAGGGGGTAGAGGAAGCAGGACTCTTCTCAGACCCTGGGGCCGAGCAGGCAGGCCCTGTCTGCAGTCCCAAGACCAGCCCCTGAGGAGGCCCGCCCACCTGTCTCCAGCCTCAGGCCCAGACACGAGGGGCTTGGGGGTCAGCTCTGTCCCTCTGCCCAAGGCTGCCCCCCCCACCCCATGGGTGCCCTCTTTCCTGTCAGCAGAAGGCTGAGCCTCCCTCCCCAGGATGGGAGGGGGTGGTCAGGCCAGGCACCTCCTGGCCTGCGGATTCCTCTGCAGCTTAGCCTCCCCCCAGGGCCCTTCCCCCAGTCGGCCATGCTGAGCCCCAGAGCCCCTCAGGCTGAGTGATGGGCTGGAGACCTCAGACCAGGGCCTTGCGAGTGAGGAAGTGGGACACAGGCTCCCCCAGCCCTCCTGCCAAGCCTCTGGTGGGCTGGGCCCCGGGGAGAGGGTGGCACAGGTCCTAGAAGGCATCGGGGGAATTGCTGTGGGGCGCACAGCAGACTCAGCCGGCAGGGAGGCCTCAGGGTGCCAGTGCTGGGATGCCTGGGGCACTCTCCCACCCAGACCCTCCCAGTGCTCCCTGTCCAGCTGGCCCTGGGTGTGAATCAGCAAGAAAATGGCAGGTGGCACCGAGGAGGGACACAGGCAGAAGAGCAGGGAGACCCCAACAGTCACCCACGGCTGATGCTCGTGCTAATCCCCAGCAGGACCTGCACCTCGAAAGAACCTACCTCCAGCCAGGCCAGCCCTGACCCCACGGGCCGGCTGAATCCACCTCAGCCCCCGGCCTGGCCTCACCTGCACGCCCAAGCTCAGTTTTCTGTTCAGGCTCCCGCTGACCCCCAAAGCCATCCTGCCCTGCCACACCCTACCCCAATCTCTGACCTAATCTTGATTCCAGTGCCCTCACCCAGCTGCCCCCTCCCCACGTCACCCATGGCGCTAACTGCTAACCCGTCCTCCTCTGTGCTGCATTTGCCTCCAAGCTCCCTCTGGGGGCTCGCAGGGCGGGTGCTGGCTGCGGTTCCTCCTGGGGGGCGGGGAGGGGTGCAGGGCCGGGGGCCAGGAGGGCTCGAATGTGTGACCCTCTTCCCGCTGCAGGCTCCACTTCTTGGCTCCAGGGGGGCTCCTCAACACACAACCAGCACCACGTGGCCGGCGTCTAAGGGCCCTTCCTGGGGCCCAGGGAGGGCTGCGTGGCTGTTGGGGCTCACGGCCACCGAGGAGCCGAGCCCTGGACACTGGCCTGTGTGCCCAGGCGCCTGCAGCACCCACAGTCGCCCGCACGACAGACTCTTTGTGCCTTGGGGTCCCTGTTTTCCAGTTCTGCCGACCTACCCACCCCCCTTCCCGATGGCCGTTAGTGATGAGCCTGGGGGGCATTTGGGGAGGAGCCCCAGAGAGATGCCAGCCTGGGATATAGAAAGACGCCTCTTGGGGCCCCCACCCAGGGTCTGGGTGGCCAGCCGGCTTGCCTGTGAGCCTTGCATCTGTGGTCTGCCGCTCTCCTACCGCTGGGGTCGGGTCTTGAGCAAGCAATGCCCACTTTCCTGATGGCCCCACCCAGCTGGCCTCTGGGGGATCTCCTGAGCCCAAGTGTGCTCAGCTGGAGTGGGGGCCAGGGCAAATCCTCTTGAGGCAGCCCCAGCAGGGGCTCCAGGCTAGGGGAGCAGGGCCAGGAGCAATGAGGCGTCCAACATGAGCTCCTTGGCTGTCGGGTTGCGGGAGAAAGGGGGGTCATCTGTGCTTTGCCGCTCTCCGCGTGCTCATGCTGTGTTCTGCTCAGGGCCCCGCTCGCCCCAGCGTGCTCCTGCCTTCCTGGCTCTCGCTTGCTCTTTGCCCCGGGACCAAGGGGACCGGCCTGGCACGGCGGACCATGGCGCTAGCTTCCACCTCTGTTCTTGGGCAGAACTGGATCCTCTGGGCCACGCAGAGGCTGCTCGCCCAGCCTGGGCTGCCTCCTCCTTCCCAAGACCTTGCCAAGGTCTAAGCCAAAGGTCTAGGGCCAGACCAATCTCTGCCGTGCTGGGGCCACCAAGGGCAGGGCAGGGGAGGGAGGCAAGACGGATCTCAGTCCCACGCCCCTGCAGCCTCCTGACCACGCCTCAGCGTGAAGGGGTGCCCACCGCCATGACACCGGACGAGCCTGGCCCTGGCTCTCACCAGCTGTTACGTGGCCCGTGGGGTCCTCGCTCTCTGGGCCCGTCTCTCAGGCAGTCCCGTGGGGCAGTCAGGTGACCCCGCAGCCTCGCGTCTCCTGGAACCCTGTTCTCTTTCTGACCTGTCCGGACCCTTGGGGTGGGGGGTCGGCCATGCTCTAGGAGCTGCCCCGGCTGAGCCCCAGGTCTGAGGTTAGGGTTGGCAGGCTTTGTCCTTGGGAGAACGCTTTCCCCAGAGGTCTGAGTTGGTCTCGGGGCGTCTGGGACCCTGAGGGGCCCTGGGTAGGGAGGGGGCCGGGTTCCCTACTGACCAGGGTGCTTAGCTCCAGCTCCAGGGCTGGGGGGTGGGGTAGGAGGTTACCCAACGCGGGGTGGGGCCCCGGAGGGAAGATGGCGCCCAGATGGGGAGGGAGGGAGATGGCCGCAGCCTGGTGGCTCTGGGCTGGTAGTGGAGGAGGCTCCTTTCAGGGGTTCCCTTCCCTGGGGGATGCAGGAGCCCCAAAGGGAGGGAGCGCGGGGGCAGAAGGCACAGTGAAGGCTGGGGGTAGGCTGAGATCCCACAGGGGCAGATCTGTCCCCCGGCAACCTTCCATCCCTCCCTGAAGTTCTTGCAGGAATTTCCTGTTTACCTAGAATGGTTCCCCCAGTTCTCCATCTGGCTGCCTCAGTTTCCCTGTTTTTCCCAGACAGACCGTACGTTCTTTCCCAAGTCTTTGCCCCAGCACTCCCCCTGACCAACGCACTGGTGCCAGGGGCACCCTTGGGTGGGCGTGCGCCCCTGTGGGGACGCTGGCGCGAAGGCGGGGTGGTGCGCGCCCCCACCGCCGGCCGCCGACGGGATTCCAACCCCGAGGGGGCGCCTTCCCGGCCCCTGGCCAGGGTGGGGAGACCCGGCCTAGGCCCCGGGAGTTCGGAGCCACCCCCAGGGGGTGCCTGTGGGGGCGGGGTGGCGCCCCAGGGAGAGGGGCGCAGCAGGGCCCGTGGAGCCCGCGGGCGCCGCGGGGGCGCGCGGGGCGCTCACCTCCAGAGCTTGCCCAGCGTCTTGCTGAGCTCGGCGTTGTGCAGGTGCGGGTACTGGTCCGCCAGCTTCCTGCGCGCCGCCTGCGCCCACACCATGAAGGCGTTCATGGGCCGCTTGACGTGCGGCTTGCTCTTGCTGGCGCCGTTGACGCGCACCGGCATGGGCACCAGCGTCCAGTCGTAGCCGCTCAGCACCTGGCTGACGGCCTCGCGGATGCACACGGGGAACTTGTCGTCGTCCGCCTCGCCGTCCTGCTGCTCCTTCTTCACCTTGCCCAGCTCGCCCGGCCCGGGCTGGCGCGCAGGCCCGCCCCGCCGCCGCCGTCGGGCCCCAGCGAGGGCGCGCTCCCCGGGACAGGCAGCGGGGCTCCTCGGAGCCCACGGGGCTCAGCTCCACCTCGGAGAGGTCCTGCTCCTCCGCCATGTCGCCCCCGGCCGCCGCCACCTCGGCCGCCTCCCCGGGGCCCGCCGCGGGGGTCCTCGCCAAGAGTCCGACGCCCACCTGCGGGAGGGAGGCGCGATGGAGCGGCCGTGCGCGCCCCGAGGTGGCGCCCGCCGCGCCCGCCCGGCCCCACACCCGCCCGCCCGGCCGGCGCCGCCCCGCCTCGCCCACCTGGTCCCAACCGTCGCGGGGTGGGTGGGTTTGGGCTTTTCTAAACCTCTTTTGGGCGGAGGTTTGTTGATGGAAAGCAAGAAAAACGGAGCCTTTATGCGGCTCTAATCCTGGCGCTTGGAATTTCCCACCTTTTCTCTCCGCTGCCCCGCTGCCCTTCCAGGGGCGCCGGTGGGGGCCGCGGGGGTCAGCCTCTCGCCCCGCTGCTCCCCGCGCGGGTGCCAGGTGGGCCCCAGGGGGCGCGGGCCGCGCTCACTCACCTCCTCGGGCCTCTCCTCCAGCCTGGGGCTCGCGCGCAGGAAGTGGAACACCGCGTCCCACGGTGTGCGCTCCAGCGCGGGGCTGGGGGGCGACCTAGAGGGCTGGAAGGGGGGGCTGGGGGCCCGGAGCCTCAGGCCACGGCCTGGTCAGGGGGAGCCGGAATCCTCACACCAGCCACCCTGACCGGACAGCCCGAGACTGACTGAGCAGCGCGCCGAGGGCTGGGGAAGGAAGAGGGGAGGGAGGGAGGGGGAGGGCAGAAGGTGGAGCCTCCAGCGCTTTCCCTCATCCCCGACACTCAGGACTCCTCCGCCAGCCCCCCACCCCGGCTCCCAGGGCTGCTGCTGCCCTGGGCCAGGCCCGCGGCCTGGGCCGAGGTGGGGAGGCGGCGCAGTGGGGTGTCGGGGTGTCAGGCTGCCCTGGCGGCCAGGGCTGCAGGTGGGCAGGACGCAACCTGTTGCCTGGAGGAGAACTGGGCGCCGTTGGGACCCCCAGGCTGGGAGGCGTGAGGAGGCAGGTGAGGCCCCGTCCAGGGGCGAGGGCGGCTGGGGGCAGCTCTGCTTGACGCAGCTCGTGGAGGGCCCCTGTGAGGGGCACTGCCCCCTCCCAGGCCGCCTCCTCTGCCCCAGCCTCCAGGGCAGTGAGAAATGTCAGCTTCGTACCTGGCTGGGGGGGACCGGACACCCCTGACCCGTGCAGAAGCCCCGCCCCTTCTCCCGGGTCATCCAGCCCAGGAGTTGGGGCTGGCTCAGGTGGACGGGAGGCTGGCGAGCGCCCGCCGGGCTGGGGTTCACCTCAGGTGGGTCTGAAAGGTGTTCCAGGCCCCAGCCCTCCCTGGCTGGTTCAGGGCCTCATGGGAGAGGTTGGGAGTCCCGTCCTGGTCCCGAGTCTGTCACGTCATGTCGCGCAGAAGGGTGGGACCTGCCCTGCCTCTCTCTGTGCTCACTTTTCCCCTCAGCCCCCTCCCCAGCCGCGGGGCACCTCCCCTTTCTCGGGCCTGCCCATTCTCCCAGGACTCCGGTCTCCTCTGTCCTGGGCCTCTCCTCCCAAGTCCCTTCACGGGCGGGCGTGGAGGCAGAGGTGGGAGTGGGCACGGAGGGAGGGACGGGGGAGCCGGCCCCGGGGAGCCCCTGGACGGCCGAGCCTCCCCGTGGGGCAAGGCCTCAGGTCCACCCCAAGGGCCTTCCGTCTGGAGGGAGGCTGGAGAGGGGTCCGGGGCCTTGCGTCTCGCCTGGGAAAGGCCACGGGAGTGAGGGGGGTGGGCAGCGGGACACAATGAGGTAGTCACACGAGGCGCAGGCATGTTGGGGGTGGGGGGAGCCGACACTGGAACACACACACACACATGCTCGCACACACAACCGGCCAGACAATCGGGCCAGTGTGTCTGGGGCCGCGGAGCCCAGTGAATTAGGAGTTTGATAAGGGTTTTCTCTTTCTCTCACTTGCCGGCCTTGGACAATCTCCCCCCAGTTTTCCTCGACGCCACCCCCGGCGCTGCCAACCCTCCTCCCCCCGCCTCCCTTCTCTTCCCTGTGCCCAGACTCTTGTTCGGGGCCTTGAAACAGTGAGCTGTCTTTGTTCGAAATACAGGTGAACGGCAATCATGTGATTAACACACACACACATAAAAAGCTTTTTAACAGCGCCCGCCCGGCCTCAGAACCGCCCAGAGAGGAGCCGCCCTGGATGGACAGAGGGACGGAGGGACGAGCATCCAGCCGTCTCCGACACCCGCGGCCGCCCGCCCGGTGCCCGCCTGGCCGCCCGGTGCCCGCCTGCCTGGCATCTCGCGATCCCGGTGGGTCCCCGCTCATCCTTCCCCCCTTTGGTTCCTCCTCCTCAAGGGAAGGGCCTCCCCGTGCCCCGTGGTGTCCGGGGTCAGGCCCTCGAGCCCCTGGGGTGGGGCGGGGTGGCTGTGGAGGGAGAGGGCGCGGGTAGGAAGCGGGTGCGGGGTCCCACGACCACTCCCCGCTCGCCTCCCTGCCTCCTCCCTTCCCCTGCTCGGCCCAGCCGTGCCAGGGTGGGGGTGGGGGTGGCAGCGGGCGCTCTGCACAGAAGCCACGAAGGACAGACGGGGGCCTTTCTCTTCCCCTCCTGTCTCTGCTTCCTCCCTCCCTCCCTCTCCCTCCGGTCTCCTTGGTGCCCGCCCGGCTGGGGCTCTCTACTGAGAGGTGCTGGATGAGGCAGGTGGGCCTGCAGGGGCGCTGAGAAGGGCTGGGGGGACGGGATGGAGACCCTCTGCTGTGAAGACACACCCCCAGCCCACCACGCTGCATCTGATCCCTTCCACCCCCCCCCTGCCCCCCAAGGCCCTGGGGCCCAGTGCGCCCCAGCAGGGGAGGTGAAAGCCCATATTCATCCCTGGAGACAGGGATTTGGAGAGGGAGGGGCAGGCATCAGGCCTCTGCCCCTGGGAGGACACCCAGGGGGGCAGCAGCACCTTCCGCTCCCTTCCCTGCCCTGGGTGGGAGGGGTGCCTTCCCCCCTCATTCCTGACCCTTCCCCCGAGGATGATGGTGACCCCCTTACCCTTACCACACCCCCAGTCGGATCTGGCCTCGCGAGGCGTGGTGACTGGTGGATCCTGTGGCCTGTCCTCTCCCCAGCAGAGAGGGCCCCCGAGTGTGGTGTAGGGGTGGGGGGGCTGGGCTTCGGGCCCTGAGGGCTTTCCTGGGAACCCAGCAGGTTCATTTAAGGCTGGTCCCAGGTTTCCTCAGGATGGGTCCCCAAGAGGAAAGCGAATGAAATTCTGTCGGTCAAGTGTAAAGAGAGCTGTGGTGACCCTCCTGGCAGAGCTGCTGTGGGTCAGCTTGACCCTTAACCCCTCCCCTCCTGGAGTGTTCTTCTTGGGCCCTGGTCCTGTGGGTGGAAGGCTCCCCTGGGCGCAGTCCCGCATCTCACCTGGGCCATGGCCCCCCTCCCTGCCTCTCAGGACAGCCGGAGCGAGGGGTGCTGCTGGCCAGGTGGAGCCTCTGCTCCGGCCTCAGTTTCCCCAGAGGGGCAGGAGACTCTCCTCCCCGACTCCCTCAGAGGCTGGGCAGGGAGCAGGTGAGGGACACAGGGGAGGCTCCCGGATGAGACCTGTGGTCCAGGCGGGCTTCTCACGCCTTCCCTCGAGCCTGTCCCCCCGCCCCCGCCGTTGTAGTGCCCGGTGGCTGCGGCCTCCTGCAGGTGCTGGAGCTGGGTTGGCCTAGAATCCCATCCCGCAGTCCGGAGGGCTGAGGCTCTGCCTTTCATCCAAGCCCCCAGGCCATTTCCTAGACCCTTGGTTCTGATCAGGTGGAACGAGAACGGGCCCACCGCAGACTGGCGGGTTCTGGACTTCTGGGCGGGCGTCCGGACGCGTACTGTTGGGAGGTCTCTGGGGACCTTGCTCTCCTTCTCTGGGCTTCCTGGCACCTATGAGCCCAGCAGGCCTCATATTGTCCAGGGAGAGGGTGCTGGGACTCTGATCCCCAGAACTGGAGGCCAGAACTACATCACACTGGGGCAGGCAGAGAGTTTGGGGGTGTGGCAGCGGAGTGGCTGTCACAGGAGAGGGGCAGGGCTGAGGGGCGAGGGCCAGGGTCAAGGAGACAGAAGCTTTGTTTGGTTGAGTTTGTGGGGGTGTCCTGGGCCCCGCCTCCTCTGGACTGGGCTGTCTTCTTCTCAGATTGGGGTGCAGTGGAAAGAGCAGTGGCTGGCAGTGGGGGGGCCTGCCACTAGTCTCCAGGTGGCAGGGGCAAGTGATGCCAGGGACGTCCCGGGAGCTGGGTTTTGCGTGCGTGTGAGGCGTCCCTGCGCCAGCCACCCCCGCGCTGCTAAGCGGGCGGAGATTGAGATGAGACACACGTGGCGGGCTCCATGCATGTGGATGCGTAGTAGGTGGTCAATAAATTAGAGACAATGATTTCGGAACTGGGAGGTGGGGAGTGGACTCCCCTAAGTTCAGGGGCAGCCTCGAGGGACCTGCCTGTTGAATCCCAGCACCGTCCAGGTTCACGGGTGACCAGCCTCCCCCGCCTGCGCCCCCAACAGTAAAGGTTGCAGCCTCCAAAGCCTCCAGGTTCTGAGCGGGCACCCTGGCCCTGGGGTGCTCACCTGACGAGTAGATGCTGGAGGGGCGCTGAGGTACAGAGCGGGTCCTGAGGGGCTGGGCGCGCCCATCCCGGCCAGCGGTGGGATGTGGCCCCTGCAGGGGGGTGACCTCAGAGCGTCTCTGTCCCCAGGCCTGTGGACTTACTGCGCGCCCCTAGTCGCTGCCTGAGCTCCTGGGAGCCCGGGCTGCCATTATTTTCCTGTGCTGCTTTTCCACAAGTAGGTGCCGGGAGCCTGCCCCCCCACCCCGCCCTCACAGCCTGGGCCTAAACCAGCATCTCTGTCCTGCGGGGACCCCTGAGGGCAGGCCGTGCCTTCCTCTAGGTCTTGAACTCTCCAGGGCCCAGCACGACCTCAGAGAGTCTCCCCTGAGTGGACTCGCTGTCAGAGTTCCAAGGAGGAAGACTGGGGGGCGGCGCGGGCCGCGGGGGAGGCCTGTGTGCTGGGCCAGGGCGGCCTCTGGGCCCGGCGCGGCTCTCCTCAGCCCTGTTGCTGGCCCAAGCTGAGGGTCTCGGCCTGGGGCCAGGGGCAGCCCCTCCTCCTGCCCCACTCTCTCCGGGAACAAGGAAGCCGGGCCAGTGCCCAGCGTTGCCCCGGGGCAGCCCGGCCTCTGCCCTCTTCCTAGACGCCCTCCCAGAAGGAGACGGCGCTTTCCTGGCACCTGAGCCCGGCGCCGGAAAGGCCTTCCTGGTGTGGGCCTGGGTCTCTCGTGCTGCCCTGGACTTGGTGAGGCGTCCTCTGCGCAGCGCCCTGGCCGGGAGCGGGGCTGGTGGAGACCAGACCCTGCCCCAGGAGCTCAGGCTTTCGTGGGGGGGGACACGCGGGCCCCGGCCCAGTGCAGGTCCTTCCCGGACGAGCGGGCTGACGTCAAGGCCCAGCCGGGCTGCGGGGTCTGTGGTGAGCTTCCCCCCCGGGCCTCGGTGTCCTCATGTGCGCAACAGCGGGCAGCTGAGGTCCCCTCTGAGGGCGCGTCCGGATTTCAAGACAGGAGGTGAAGTCCCGACCCGGTGTTTCCAGGGGAAGCTGCGGGACCTGGGCTGTTTCCGGGAAAGACAGTTTTTGAGGGCAAATCAGTTTGGGAAACTCCTTCCCACGTCTTCTGCATAGAGACCCCGGCCTGGTGGTGCCGACCTTGTCCAGTCAGAGGCGGGTCTTGTTTAAAAGTCTGATCCTCAGGGTCTCCTCCTCCCCTCCCTCCTCCCCTCCCTCCTCCTCACCCCTCCTCCCCTCCCTCCTCCCCTCCTCCTCACCTCCTCCCCCCTCCTCCTCTTCTCACCTCCTCCCCTCCTCCCCTCCTCCTCCCTCCTCCCCTCCTCACCCCTCCTCCCCTCCCTCCGCCTCCCCTCCTCCCTCCCTCCTCCTCACCCCTCCTCCTTCCTCCTCCTCCTCCCCTCTCTTCCTCCCCTCCTCCACACCCTTCCTCCCCTCCCTCCTCCTCCCTCCCTCCTCCCCTCCCTCCTCCCCTCCCTCCTCCTCCTCCTGTTCCTCCTCCCCACTCTCCTCCCCATCCTCCTCCCCTCCCTCCTCCCCCTCCTCCCCACCCTCCTCCCCTCTCTCCTCTTCCCTCCCTCCTCCCTCCCTCCTCCCCTTCCTCCTCCCCACCCTCCTCCCCTCCCTCTTCCCCACTCTCCTCCCCTTCCTCCCCTCCCTCCTCCCCTGTTCCTCCTCCCCACCCTCCTTTCCTCCCTCCTCCTCCCCTTCTCCCCTCCCTCCTCCCCACCTTCCTCCCTCTTTCCTCTTCCCTCCCTCCTCCCTCCCACCTCCCTCCCTCCTCCCAGCCCTCCTCCTCCTGCTCCTTCTCCCCACCTTCCTCCTCCTCCTGCTCCTCCTCCTCCCCACCCTCCTCCCCCCCTCCTCCCTCCCTCCTCCCCTCCCTCCTCCCCTCCCTCCCCACCCTCCTCCCCACCCTCCTCCCTCCCTCCTCCCCACCCTCCTTCCCACCCTCCTCCCCTCCTCCCCACTCTTCTCCCCTGTTCCTCCTCCCCCTCCTCCCCTCCCTCCTCCCCACCTTCCTCCCCTCTCTCCTCTTCCCTCCCTCCTCCCTCCCTCCTCCCCACCCTCCTCTTCCCCCTCCTGCTCCTCCTCCCTCTCCTGCTTCTCTTCCTTCTACCCCCTCCTCCCTCTTTCTCCTCCTTCCTCCTCCTCTCCCTCCTCCTGCTCCTCCCCTCCTGCTCTTCTCCTAATTCTTTTTCTTCTCCTAAATCTTTTGTCTGACTCTGATCCTTTCTCTCCTCTTTCTTCCTTCCCAAGAGCCAAGGCAGGAGGTGGGGTGCTCCCATCAGGAGCCCTGACCCAGGGAGGGACTGGACATCCCTTAGGCTCTGTTCTCAATCGCTTGGTCCCCCACAATCGCAGAACAGAGCTCCACAACCCCAGGCCCACCCTTGGGCTAGTGAACTATGGCCCCGTCCATGCCCTCGGCCCCCCAGGACACCTTGTCTGTTGGCCCCCGCCCCTGCAGCAGGACCCTGTCCCCGTGGGTCCATGCAGCTAGCTGGTCTTCCTGCCTCCCCCCGCCCCCGTAAACTTGTAAAAGAGCATGTGCAGGCAGCATGGCGTGCATCCCGGCACCCCATTTTCTAGCTGTGTGTCCTTGGTGAATGACTTGACATCTCTGAGGCTCTGTCCTTCCAGGCTGTGGGAGGATTAAACCTGATATGTGTGTAAACACTCCCTGCAGGGCGCTGTGCTTGACCTTGAGTTTGCTAGTTTTTGCTTCCC